TTATTCAAAATGATGTGATATACGATGACATACAGCATACAAAATTATTCTGTTAGTCAATGAAATTAATTTTTGTTGTATAAATGTAACAGAATGTACCAATATTATGTGATGTCATGCACATAATAATTGTGATATTTCCTATTGATGCACTATATGCTCAAACTATTTTCTGAAAGTCTGATTCAAAAGCTTGAGCTTCAGACAATCAAATGTGGTTGGGATGTTTCAAGATTTTACTGGACAAAGAGGAGCCTTCAGTTGCATAACGCAACAATGGCACTAGTATGTCACCATCTGGACAGAGGACCCTTCAGTTGACATTCTTTTAATGCCTCAAGTTGCTGTGAAATGTTACCAAACTTTAACAACATTCACTGCTACAATGGGGCTTAGCTGTCTTGTCTATCCATGCCATTGCAAAGTGTGTTTGCTTATCAGAGCACTGAAACAAAATATATATTTTTGTCTACCACTTGACATGAAGAGCCACACTGTTTAGAACAGGTCAAACTCAACTATAATAAAAATTAAATTAAATCTAAATTAAAAAATGCTAATTATTCAAAGTAGATGAGCAGCTCTTTTCACAGAAAGCTTAATGGGGAATGCATCTTTAAATGTCTCTGTATTCAACCCTGGGTTAGGGTTGTGACAGCTACTGAGAAAGTATGGTGAAGTGTAGTATTTTTTTTATTAGTAGTGCTGCAAAAGCACTGTATGAAATGTATGCACCATAATTCTGATTAGTCTTCATGGCAAATTGCAGTTGTTTTTTTTTTATTATCTATACAATGGTAATGACACATCATTACACAATCAACACCTATGGTTGTTTTGGTGTGTTGTGATGTAATAAAGATGTACAAAATAATATAATTTCATGCTCTATATATATCAAACAGAGGAAGAGGGTGTGTGTAAAAATCTATACACAACATAATGTAGATTAATTAACAAAGCTGCATTTCTGCAACATGTAGCCTCTTTGTGCTGATGCATTGCCCATAAGCCTATCCTCTGCATCATTTCCTTATAGCCATCCACAGTCGTGTTGCTCCACGTCCATGGAATGTCTAGATAAGCAAGGAAGCGCTTTTACTTCCGTTTCCCATCTACAGCCATCACCCCAAAATGCACTCTCAGCTCAATCACACACAGAAAATAAGTTCTTTCTATCTCATTTCACGCTCCAGAAAACCAACAGTATTTGGAGTAAGGGTTTTTCTGAATCAAAAGTAATGATGAAAACTGTCAGAGAGATGTTCTGGGGAGAAGAAACATTTTTACCTCTGACCATGTACTACGCAGAATTAATTTCTAGCTAAATTCAAACATTTAAGACAACATGTTCATAGACAGTTCATTTAACTAAACTCTGGAGACAGAACTGAGTAGACAAATCCAGTGATTGGGCATTAACAGGAGACAAGGCTCCATTTGTGATAGTTCTGTCATCTACAGTAGCAACATATTTGCAACCTACACCCAGTTTAGAGACATCATTACTAAGACATGAAGGGAAACCTACAGTTTTGTAGTGCTGAATTAATGGCAAAAAAAAGAAAAACACCTTATGATTATGTGGTTGTAGTCACTGAGACCTGGTGAAGTGGGTTACAACGTCAATGATTAGTTGCTAATCAAATCTATAGAAAATTAACCTAGATATACCATATTGATTATATTATCAGCGTCGCTGGTTCCACTTTCTAAAATGTAAGGATTTGATGCTTTTCTTTATCATATATGAGTACACTGAAAATATTTGGTTTTTGGACTGATGGTTGAATATGGAAAGCGATTTGAATACATCACCTTGAGCTGTGGAAAATTAGGGATCCAATGACTCCCACTAGTAGTTAAACTGATTCTGCAGTTGAGAAGATATGTAGTATAATAGTAGTAAAGTGTTTTCATCAGTATCAACTGAGCAAATTAAAAACTTTGTACTATTATTACATATCACTGACTTAAATTGCTGGATCGGGTATCAGTGACAAGGGGGCCGATTCAATTCAATTTTATTTATATTGCGTCAACTCATAACAAAAGCTATTTCATTGCACTTGGCAATATCTGCAAAGCCAGTGTTTCGAGGGGTGGCGGTAGCACTGCAAAAACACAACCAACTCAATCAAGCACCTCCAGAAGCATCATGCCAAAGGACACGATTCCCAGTCTCTTCCTCACAAGGAGGAATATAGCTTATTAATTTTAGACTGGTATCGGATCGGTACTCAGTATCGGCAGATACCCAAAGCCCAGGTATTGGTATCAGGACTGAAAAAGTCAGATTGGTGCATGAGGTCAATTTTTGAGAAATCTAGGTCTTTTCATTTAGGTATAGTTTGGCTAGCACTTTTTATGGTCCAACAAATAAGGCGTGCAAACACAGTTACAGTGCCTGTCATTATCATATGAATAGTATTGGCGGATTATTCAACTCAGCTCATGATTCCCTCTTGCTTTAAAAGAGTTGTGAGGTCCTTTATGAAGTGTGAGCACGATGGCATTGTGACAAGCTTCAGATTTAGTCACCTGCAACAAACAACAATGAACAACATGCTAAATTCCAGCAGGCTCCAGGGCTTTTTGTAGCTGAATATGTGCTGTGACCTTTAGGGGCGGTGGCGAGTGAAAAAGTCAAATTTCTACTGCAGGGATCAATACGAGTATCACGAATAAAGCAGTGACTATCATCTGTCCTGACATGAGTCGAGCCAGGAAGAGCAATGCAGGGCCATCTAGAGAGAGGTTTACAGGACCGCAGTAATCCCGCTATCTGTGTGCCCTGCTCTGTGAGATCTGAGAGGGATGAAGAAAATAAACTTGAGATTTAGACACCTAATATGTCACGCAGCGCTCCAAAACCCCAAGCCATGCCCAGACCGATGAAAGATAAGAACAAGAAAACAATCAGAGATCAGTTTGAATGTTTGCTGCTTTTAGTGCACTCTAAAGCCACGCTGACATTAATGGCATCACTCATCACAAACATGTAATACGATGAAGCATGATGGTAACTGTGCCTCAATAGGGGTGGAAAGACATTCATGTTTGTGTTTGTCACCACATCCAAGCCGCCCACAACATCACATCATCGACCAGCACTCTACAGTGAACCAAGTTTGATGATCTCCCCTCTGTGTTGCATAATTTAAGTGGGCCAACAAAAGCAGACTCATGTCCCAAGATTATATTACAGGGTCTTCAAGGACAACTATTGTCTGAATTTACAACTGGCTAATAATGCATATCGATCAGCACAGCAGTTTTTTTGACTATTTACCTGGGTGTGCATTAGCAGGATAAATGGATGTAGATCTTTGGTGACATCTGGAAGCAGAGAGCAGCACATCTCTTTAAAGTTGGCCTATCTGTTTTTTTTTTTAAAACAACACTAACTGGACAGAGCCAGTTTATCCTGAGCTGCACACATTACATCATCTAGGTAGAGCCGGGTATCAAGCTGCAATTCTTTTTAAGTACTGACTGACTTGTGCCCATATTGGGAATTGTTGAGAGCTGGAAGTTTTCTACTTATTGCCTGGTGTAAACCATAATTTGGTGACTTTGTACTGTATTATTATTAAAGAGACAAAATCCTCCTACAGTTTTTGTGTCAAGACAACACTGATGCATTTTAGATGTTTGTCTTAAGAAAGGTGTAAAACATGTTTATGCTCTATTGAGCTGTAACAGAAAGTTTCATTTTGGTATTGGAACTAAAAATCAGGTGTTATGTTGACACTGGGATCTGTAAATTTTGAATGATACCTAGCAGTATACTTCCAGAAAAATAAAAGAACCAACATCTAATAGGGCTAATAACAGAGAATGAACATGCGATATATGGTGGTGATTATCAAGAACCAATCATTAAAACTATACATGAGTCACAGGCCTTAAAACCACACATTAGCCTGGCGACTGCTTTAATTTGTAATGCATTTTGTGCTTGAATGTCTCAGCTAACTAAATGAGTTAGAAGGAGAAATTATCAGCTTTACTCCAAACTGTCAATATAAATGACGTGTGACCAAAGAGACAATCCAACATACTGAGCATCAAAGTGAGTTTGGACTCTGCTTATCCCCTCTCGCTCTATCACAGTATAAGGCACATAAACTCTGCAAAGATTTCATGTAAATGGGGACGCCTTCAGCAGGAAGGATCTTCTGGCTGGGCCAAGAAATACATCAGAAAATCAATTATCACTGCTGATCACAGCAACATCTATTCAAGAAAGCATGTCAGTGACAAACTATAAATGCATGGAGCCTCCCAGTCCCCTCTGCTGCTCTACAATTTGTGTGATTCGAGGGATATTTTAAACAACTGCAAAGTCACTGGCTGACCTTCAGTTGATAAAAGGAGGCAGAGTGATATTGTGGAGCCCTCCTGTAAGGTTAAGTGAGAGAAGTTGGCTAACTTTCAATTAGTTGACATCTCAACATGATGCGTGAAATATAAACGAGGAATGTGATCATGCTCATCAATACTAATCTAATATCTAAACGGACGGTAAGGGAATTCACGAAGCTCATTTTTTTTTTAAAAGGTGAAAATGTCAGTGACGCATTACGTTTACATCATCAAAGCCAGTTACAGAGTTGCCTGTTGTATTACTCCACTACAGCATCCATGTTTCAGGGGTCCGAGATCCTCATAATGCCGCTGTGATGCTGGGACGTGCATGTTTCGATGCACGGTCGGGGGGGTCATCTCGTCCCTGTCTCAGACTAGCAGCAGCTAGCTAAGTCAGCGGTGGCTCGGTGGTCTGACTGGTCCTCGGTGATTCACTCATGATGCAAATAACGTTACAAAAGGATGAGATGCTGGGGTCTCCGTCGGGCTGAGCAGCTAAACGGCGCACCAAAAACAGGGGGCCCGCGCGCATTTACTGCAACATACCTCTGTTATGACACGATAGTTTGCTCTATGTATGCAAGACCGGCGTTAAAGAGAGAGAGAGAGAGAAAAGCTAATAGCCTTACCACAGATGCGGCGTAATGACCATGTCTTTAACAGTTCTTGGCGCAGGAAACAATTGAGGGGGGGTCCTTGACTCCCAGCTGCTCAAAGACAGACGGCTTCCATGAGGGTTCACATCGAACACATGTATGTCCTCTTACTGAAGACGGTGGCTAAAACATTATGGGAAGTCAAAGAAAAAGTGCTGTGTTTGCCCGTTTCCTTGAATGCAGGGTTGTGTGATGCTCAGCTCAGCTCAACTGCACTCCGCTCGCTCCTCCCTGCAGCAAGATTGGCTTTGAGCGGCAAGAAATCGCTGGAGTGGATCAAACGATGGCGGACAGCGGGCTGATCACAAAACCCGGCAATGGACTCACATGAGCGCCCGGAAACAGTCCCAGAGACCTCCCTTGCCTTAAGATACTATGGAATCGAACTACTTTAACACTTCAGTTAATAGCCCGGGTTTTTATTTGCTTCAATCACTGAACTCACAATGCCTATGTCTGGGACAGGAGTCTACATGGCACAAAACTCTTGTGGATGGGAAATAGGCTACTTTGTTTATTTCAACCAGTTTAGCCTACTATACCAAATCTGAATTGTTTACGTTAAATTAACGGAATGATAGAATCTGGTCTTAACGATGTGAAGCATCTCCATATATTTAGAAAAGCTTTAATATTTATTATATTACATTATTATATTACATTAGGCCTACATATTTGTAAGCAGAACTAGTTGAAGTGGGCGATCTGGTGGACTTTAAGAGGTTTTATACATAGAACTTCTATAAAAAAAACGACCAGGCATTTAATTGAGAGCTGCCTTTATTTGTCAAAATGTGCATTCAGACTAAACGCATCGTTAACCTTTGTGACACTTGACTCGTGTGAGTTTGATCACTGACTGCTCACCTGGTGTTCCCATGCAACGGCAGTAAAACGCGAGGACTAGGCCGCACTGTAAAAATACTAGTAAACGTCCTGCATTGAAGATGTTGCTTAAATGGCCTATGTAAATATAATCAGGAATATGTATTCATTCATTAACTATTTTGTGTAGGGTTAGGGTTAGAGTTAGGGTTTGCAACTGATGATTATTTTCATAATACATTCATATGCTGATTATTTTCTCAGTTAATCAATTGGTTTGAAAAATTCTAAAAATAGTGAGAAATGTTGTTATAATTACCCAAAGCCCAAAGCGACACCTTAACAATGCTTCGTCCACAATTCAAAATGATTAAAAATAAATTTAAATGATCATGATATTCTGAAATGGGCCATTCTGCATAATGCATTTGTCTTTTTTTTACACAGCTCAAGTAAGAGTTTGAATGTAGATCTTTTACTTGTGACAGCAATTTGTAGTTTAAGACTTTATATCTAAAAATGATCAATTTATAAAATATGATGCGTTATTATACATTAAACTAACCAAAAGTGCAAAATAAGTTAAAATGAGGTCCAAGAAACTAACAAACAAAAACAATTCTGCATAAATCTGAAAAGGGTCATTTAGCAAAATGAGTAGGCTTCTTAGTTTTGATACTTTGACTTAATTTTGCTGCCAGTACTTATTTGCATTTGCTTGAGTATATCTTGAGTATATTTTTGAATGCATATGCTTTACATAGTAGTAGTAGTATTACTGCTGTTAATTAAAGGATAGCCTATTCTTCTACCACTGCAGCTCAGAAAAGTTAAAAGTACAACTACAAAGAGCTTACACAACAGAGAAACAAATAAAATTACTAAAACTAAGTAGATTTACTGAAGTGCTACAGCAGTATACGTACAATTTGGATGTACTGTACTAGTACTTTGAGTGTTTACATTTTTTTGGTAAGCTATTATTCTTCTATTCCATATCAGCGCAAAATATTCCACATTTTACTCTACTTACAGCTGATATTTACAAGTTATATTACAGATTCTGGGTCTGCCATCACTACACACAAAGCAATCTCTGTCCCAGCTGTTCTCATCTGTGACACCACGATGGTGGAACAAGCTACCACATGCCATCAGAGCAGGATCGTCCCTCTCTAACTTCAAGAAGCTCTTGAAAAGTGTTCTCTTCCGAGAAACACTTTCTCTTATAATACCTCTAACATGCACCTCTAACATCCACTTCCTGTGCACATCTTCTTCTATCCCCTTACAATTCTCTTTTATGCACTTTTTGTTAATTCTTACTTCTTTCCCTAGGTATTTACCCTAGTGATGCCATTCGTGCTGTTAACTCTTAGTAGTATTCATTGCTGCCCTTACTAGTATGTATTGCCAATTGTAGATCTTGTGCTGTATTGATTTTTTGTTGATGCTTTTATGTTGTCCCTCAAATGTAAGTCGCTTTGGATAAAAGTGTCTGTCAAATGAGTAAATGTAAATGTAATGTGTTTTTATAAGCTGAACATTGTATAAAGTAGTTAAAATAAGCTTAATATTGACCAACTGTAACTATTGCTTTCATATTATTGTTTCAGTAATTGTATAATCCAATAATGTAATATGTTAAAGTCACATTCTGGATAAGGGACATTCTGCATAATGAAACTACAGTAAAACTTTTGATACTTTTATGCCCCTACAGGCAAATAGGCCACCCACACAGGTGTTTTCACTATTGATCTCTCTGAAGAGTGTGTGGACATAAAGGGTAGTAGACATGAGCTACTTCTAGAGATCTAAACACTTTTCCACTACTAGTAGGCTATATATATACATACATACATACATACATACACACACACACACACACACACATATACATATACACACACACAAAAACACACACACACATCCCCCTCCAAAGGTATTGGAACGGTAAGGCAAATTCCTTTTTAAATTTGTTTTTGTTGTTCACTGAAGATATTTGTGTTTAAGATCAAAAGATGAGTATGAGACAAGAGTTCAGAATTTCAGCTTTTATTTCCTGGTATTCACATCTAGATGTGTTAAAGAACTCAGGACATATCACCGTTTGTATTAGACCACAGCATTCTTAGGTGAGCAAAAGTAATGGAACAAATAATCTTAAAGTAAATACCATTTAATATTTGATGGCATTATCCTTGCTTGCAATAACTGCCTCAAGCCTGCGACCCATCGACATCACTAAACTGTTGCATTCTTCATTTGTGATGCTATTCCAGGCTTTTACCGCAGCTTCTTTTTAGCCTGTCTAAAACCTTCCACTTTTCCCTCTGATGAAGTCCTTTGTTTTGTTGGCAGTGTGCTTTGGGTCATTGCCCTGCTGCATGATAAACTTCCTCCCGATTAGTTTCAATGCATTTCTCCATAAATTGGTAGACAAAATGTTTCTGTACACTTCTGAATTAAAATAATACCTCCACCATGCTTCACAGATGAGCTTGTATGCTTCAGATCATAAGCAGTTCCTTTCTTTCTCCACACTTTGGCCTTTCCATCACTTTGGTAGAGATTAATCTTGGTCTCATCAGTCCATAAGATTGTGGTCCAGAACCTTTGCGGCTCATATCTGTACTTCTTTGCAAATTTCAGTCTGGCCTTCCGATTCTTCCTGCTGATGAATGGTTTGCATCTTGTGGTGTGGCCTCTATATTTCTGCTCTCTGAGTTTTCTTCAAACAGTGGATTGTGATACCTTCACCCCTGCACTGTGGAGGTCGTTGGTGATGTCACTTACTGATGTTTTGGGGGTTTTCTTCACAGCTCTCACAATATTTCTGTCATCAACTACTGTTGTTTTCCTTGGCCGACCTGTTTGACGTTGCTCAGTACATCAGTAGTTTCTTTCTTTTTCAGGACATTCCAAATCGTTGTGCTTGCTATGCCCAATGTTTGTCCAATGGCTCTGGTCAATTTTCCTTCTTCTCTGGTCTTCATGTTGGTTTATCCTCTTTAACAGGAAATGCAGTCTTTATAGGTTTGAACCAAGGATGAAAACTTAAACTAGTCATGCAGAGCTATTTAATGTTTGGACAATCAACCTAAAAGGCAACACCTGGGCAACAAGAAACATCTGTCTGTTCTTTTCTAGTATTTCTCACTTGAAAATGGGTGGGTTCAAACAAAGGGTGGTTATGTCCTGAGTTCTTTAACATGTAGATGTGAATACCACAAAATAAAAGCTGAAATTCTGAACTCTTGTCTCATTCATCTTTTGATACAATACTTTTGGAGGGGACTGTATGTATAGGATCTGTTGATCTGATCCTAGATCTGTTGTTGTTACAAGAAAATTAGCTAATCTAGAGATGCTAGCTCCTGTGCTAGCTACTACTAATATACATCAAGGCCATGTACACGATGTCCTTACTTATACAATAATACAACAATGTCTGATTTTATTATTGTATAAGTAAGCATATCGTGAGCAATGTATAATCCTGAGTCAAATTCCTCATATGTGTACACACGGCTGGCAATAAAGCTGATTCTGATGAGACTTTGCTTCATCCGACTCTCGCGATAAATCGAATGAGAAGTGAGGTGGAGCTGTTACAAATTGCTTAGGTAAGTTACAAAAAAGAAAAAAAATAACGTTACAGTAAAGCTAAAGTTAATAAAGTGGTGGGAAACAACTAAGAACATGTACTGTATGTGCTGTAGGTTTGAAATAGCCTGTGGAATAATAAGCTATAAGTGGTTATCTGCATGCTCTGAAATACAATTAACTTACAACTGCTATTTGGACAAATGTAACAAGGTATGGTGAATGAATTATTAAGGTAAATATCTGAGTGTAATAATGAGAGTAAGTCATCTGTCAATCATTGGTAAAATGGACCCGAGCAACTTTACAGAAGCAGCCAGAAAGAAAACCAGCAAGCCCTGTTTTCCCTCAGTGTCAATGAATGCATCAAACACATACTTGGCCTTGAAAGTTATATGTGTGTACAGCAGCAGGCAGACCAATAATAAGGGATTCAATTACTGTTTCATTTAATGCTTGAATGGGCAAAGTGGCCTACAATGTGTGTGAGTGTGTGTAACTTATGTGATGGTTTGGTGCTCATTAGTGTGTGGTGCTCCCTGTGTCTTGGAATCTGGTGCACTCCTGAGCTTTTCACACACAGTGGGGTTTATGGAAAATATTTTATGTAGCATGCAACAGTAACTTGAGAGGCAGTCTATGGGCAAGGGGTGTCCATAAACTCTTCTCATCTGTCTATGTCTGTCTCAAAAATGGCTGGATGTCAGATTTCATGGCTGGCTTACCCAATCTGACCTCTGACATGCTCCAATTTAAGCTTTTCCTCTGTCTCGCTACTTGTCATTACCAGAATAGACCTTGTCATGGTTAACCATTTTCATTTCAAAGCCTTCTACTGGGAGAGAGACTGTATAAATGATGTGTGGGAAATCAAAAGACAATCCATGAATTCAAATGTTAAAAGTTCACTTTTGAAGGTGAAATCCCATTTTCTCTATTCCAGCAGTATGACATAACATACACTTTGCTGTTTGCTGATATGCATGACCATGAAAATGCAGATAATATGTATTACATGCGCTGACACTGGTAGAGAGATTTTTAATCCCAGCCACTGTAATTCGAATCTATTATTTTTTATGATTATGCTGCAGTGACAGTAGGAAAAAAACACGATATGTTATACTCTGGTTGCTATCCATTGGAGGTGGTCGATGAAATGTGAATAGTTATATTTTAAGTTGCTGGTGATGGGATCAGAAAGAAGCGGTTTCTCTGTGGGACATGTTTTGCATTGCGCAATTTGATAACAGACGAAGATGATGAAACAGGTCAGCTGACTGATGACGTTTCAGCGGGGACAAGTTCACGTAAAAGACAGAAAGCATCTACGTGAAGCTGAGCCGGCAGGAGGACAAAAGCCGAGGATTTAAGTGTAAAGAAGTAGGTTGAATAAAGAAAAGGTAAGAAGTTCAACATCAACATCAACATGTCGAGCTTTTCAGTTCGTGGCTCTTTTTGTACTATCTTTAGCGACTTTAATCTGTACGTGCCGGTTCCTTTCTTGTACAACGTGGTCCACAGCCGGTGTTCCCCTGTTTCCGGGAGAGTTCCCTGGTTGTTTTTTATATAAGCTGAATCGCATGTTTACTGTGAAAACAAATCCCCATCTAACTCTCATTCGATACTTTTTATATATCGCATAGGTTTTTGACTAATGTTGGTGTCTAACATTATTTGACTGTTGTGTTTTAATTATTTATATTTTGTTGCTGGAATTCATCATGTAACAGCGATCGTAAACGTGTATAAGTGCTGCTTGTGTTTTATCATAGGTACTATGTTATTTAAGAAAAGTTACCTAAGTCGGTTTTGTAACAGTGCTAGGGGCACATTGTTGCGCAACTTGTAACCTACTCCCCCTTGTGGCTGAATGAGGATATCGTTTCTTTTTCTATTAATCAAAAGCAGCCACATAATGTAAAACAAATAATAAAGCAATTAAGACCAATTGTCCTGTCTGTATTGTTTTCCTCCAGAGAAACCATGCCTGGAGACATCGACAAAGGCAAGAAAACATTTGTGCAGAAGTGTGCCCAATGCCATACTGTGGAGAATGGTGGAAAGCATAAAGTTGGGCCCAACCTTTGGGGTCTGTTCGGACGCAAAACAGGCCAGGCAGAGGGCTTCTCCTATACTGATGCCAACAAAAGCAAAGGTAAATACTGCACATGTGTATTTAGCTACAGTATTCGAACTGTCCAAAGCATCATGCTGTGTGGATCAAACATTATTCTCCTGTGTGTCTGCCCACTTTAATTCCAGGCATTACCTGGGATGAGGACACCCTGATGGTTTATTTGGAGAACCCCAAGAAATACATTCCAGGAACAAAGATGATCTTCGCTGGCATCAAAAAGAAGAATGAACGAGCTGATCTCATTGCATATCTTAAGTCTGCAACTTCATAAAAAACTCTTCATCTGTACAGCTTTGCCAATTTTTGAGTCCATACAAACTGCTCAAGAAGTCAGTACTCGTCTTTCTCATAAATCAGGTAGAACTGCAAGTGTGCCAAGAGTGATGTTGGCATGATATGTTTGTCACAGCTTTACCTCTGTTTCTGATATGATCCTCTAGTGGATATGTAATATCCCCTGGTTTAACAGGTTACTTTTACAGGTTATTAAACCATATACTGTGTATTCAGAATGTAGACATGAAAAGCTGTGTTTATGTTTGCTAATTATCTGTCATCCAATATTGTCTGAGAAGTGTCTTGGTTTATAATCAAGTTGTCTTAATTTTCTGTTTTCAAACATGAATATCTGCTTCCAATTTGATGATACCTCAACTGTATTTTATTGTGTCATATTTTTTAATTTGCAAGTTAAATAAAACTGACACTAAATATTATTTTTTGCAATTCGTTTGATTATGTTCCTAGATATGAATGTATTGGATTTCATATTAAAGAGCAACTACAGGGTGTGGATGATCATGTCAGGCTATAATTATGTTTCTGTTTCAACAGTTTTGGCTCATGTCGATTGGTGAACCTTAAGTAATGGGTCTTATATTTTCCCCACTGAGTGGAAGTGGATAAATATTACTTTTTCAAAGTAATCTGGCTAAGTTGACACCAGTTACAGTTTCAATCACCAGACCAGGGATGTCTATGATAGGAGACAACAGCGAAGACTGCTAAATTATATCCAGTGGTGCGATGTAACTCGGTACTCGAGCGCTAAACACTTTTGACACACGTGTAAGCTAAATATAGAGTATTTTCATTTAATGCTACTTTATACTTATACTACACTACATTTCAGAAGTAATTTTTGTACTTTTTACTTATTTGACAACTAGTTTTCTCATAAAAACACATGATGTTCTTATGTGATATGATGCAGTACGGTGCTACTTATTTAGTGGTATGCAAGGTATCTAAAATTGGCTCCACGTTGATGAACTACAACATTAAAAAATTCCTACACACATATGTTGTTGATAAACACATAATTTTCTTTGATAAAGTAACACTTGAGAGGTGCCTTTCTTTGGGTACTTGAGCACTTTTACCTTTGATTCAACATTTGAATTCAGGACCTTTACTTGAAATGTATTTTTAAACTATGATATTCTACATTTGCTTAAGTGAAGTATTTCAGTACTTCTTGCACCACTACTAATATCCGTCATAATTGGGCTATTTCTATATTCCCACTCCAAATTGTGGAGTATAGCTCCCTCTAGCGTTCATATGACACATCTGCATACAAATTCTAGTGAATTTGTATGCAGATGTGTCATATGAACATAATAATGTATAAAGGGATTTGATTTTCTGACAACCTCCTTCTGCTCCCCAAAAAGCCGTTGTTACATGATAACAAGGTTTAGACCTACCACTGCAGATTCCACATTTGCCAACGTTTAGGGGGGTTGTGAAATAGATGTATTGTCAAAGTGGGCCTATCTATATGCTATGAAACACATTTTCATTCACTGAAAACTCTTGTCAGCCAGCAGTAACCTACCATCGCCAAAGCCCTGTCAGGGAATGCATAGGAATTTGGTATTTTTGACGCTTCTGAAGCATAATTTCATTAAATTAAAATCTATCGCCCACATGGGGCCGTTGCTTTTATGCGCCTGTTAAATCTGGAGTATAGCACTGAATCATTGCTGAAAATAATGTCCATCAATGGGCAAACATCCACCACGACAGTCCACCGTTTTTACATCTTAATATAGGCTAGCTTGCAATAGGCTATGCATCATATATTCTGCGTGAAGATGACAGCTGAATTCTCCTTAATTATCATCATCCTCAGCATCATCAGTCGCTCTAAGGAGGGCAACCGGTTCAAATGGCCAGAGGGCTGACTGCTGAAGCAACCCTGAGCTCCCCGTCTATGTGACGAAGCGAGCGTCAGCGGGACCGAGCCAACCACAGCCAGCGTCATTTGCACACAAGAAGACCCAATACGACGGCGATGCTCGGTAGTGGCTCTCTGTGAGATTTCCAATCCCTGTGATACTCTGCGCGAGCCTCAATTTGCTTCCACGCTGCTTTTCTTAGATTTGCTTTAATGTTCTTAAATGAATATGCTGGTGCGCAAAGGGAGTCTCCATCCTTCACAGAGTGGAAGCTGGATATGTAGCCAGAACCCCAGAGGTGTTTCCTGCATAATGCATCGAGGAAGTTATGGTATGCACATGATTCTCTACTTTAATTCTCAGTAAAAACATCATAGATGGTATTTCTCTGCGGGACTTCATGGATTTGGTTCACTGAGGGCCATCTGAAGAACTGACATGGCAGTGCCAAATATGGTGTTCTCTGACGTGGAAAGTTTTCTGGACTCGCATCCTGAGTTATTTGAGGACTACCTGAACAGAAAGGGGAATTATAGCATGGTGGAGAAATGGCTCAAGAATCATCAGGCGAGCAAAAGTCCGGCGGCTGCAGCTCGCGCCGAGCCGAGAGAGGAGAAGAGCAACGCGTGCAAGGACAGCTGGGCAAGCAAATGCGATGGTCTGCAAAGGAGAGCCTCGCAGAAGGAGCTGCGCAAAACTTTCGCCAGATCAAAGGCCATTAATGTCAACAGGACATACGACGAACATGTTAATTCCAGGGCCCAGGAGCCCCTGACGAGCATGAGGAGGAGAGCTCTGCTGAGGAAAGCGAGCTCTCTGCCCCCGACCACTGCGCACATACTGAGCGCACTGCTGGAGTCCAGAGTCAACATCCCCCAGTACCCGTCCACAGCAGTGGATTTTAAATATTACCTCAAACAACACAATGAAAGAGAGTTCTTCCTGGAGCTTGTCAAAGACATATCTAACGACCTGGATCTAACGAGTCTGAGCTACAAAATCCTTGTGTTTGTTTGTATTATGGTCGATGCAGACCGGTGCTCCTTGTTTTTAGTGGAGGGAACGGGCAATAAGAAGACACTAGTGTCCAAATTCTTTGACGTGCACGCGGGTACCACAGTTTTACCCTCAAAGAATTCAGATGAAGTTCAAGTGCCGTGGGGGAAAGGAATCATTGGATATGTGGCTGAACACGGAGAGACAGTGAACATTCCTGACGCTTATCAGGTGCCCGCTCCTCTTTGTGCATGCGTGCGCGTGTGCGTTTGCATGCGTCACAGAAAAGTGTGTGTGTGTGTGTGTGTGTGTGTGTGTCGGGGTGTCGTTTTCTTTTAGCCTGTCATTTTATCTGACACAATTAATTGATCATTAATCAAACTGTGTAACAGAGCTGAGAGCAGGGGAACCAACACCTACAGTCAGCTGAACCAAAGCATGTGTCAAACCACAGATTCACACCAAACATCACTGAGTAATAAAAATAAGGCAATATGTTTTTGCAGTCCCACTGTGTTTACCTTGATTTTAAGTAAGAAAATAAGATGATATTAGACTGTATTAAAGCAGCAAGAACAGCAAATTGCTTAATGATGCCAGTAGCCCCAATTCAAAAGTTTGAGCAGGTTTCTTCTTGGTTGTCCAAACATTTACATTAGAAATGAGTAATAGAAATGAACAGTTACATTGCTTTAATGTACAAATACAGTGGCCATCTGATCTGAGCACCACTTCTTCAAGTCATACAAAAGTCCAGTTTTAATTTTACTGAGCAATTCGGAAATTAAGCAGTTGTCTATAACATTGCCGTCATTGTAGACCTTTTGTGCTTGTAAGACATGGAGTCCTGCTGAGTTGTACATTTTACTGCACCTGTCACCTGAAAGTAAAAAGGGAAAGAAGTGCTTACATTGTGTCTTTATTTTGTACTATCCCCCGGGTTGCAGGATCGTCGGTTCAGTGATGAAATTGACAAACTGACAGGGTACAAAACCAAGTCACTCTTGTGCATGCCCATTCGCAACAGTGACGGAGAGATCATTGGAGTTGCTCAGGCCATCAACAAGTCCTCAAGTGGCGATCTCTTCACTGAAGATGATGAAAAGGTAATTTCATTATTATAGTTGTGAGTATAAAAACTGGGTGTTTTTGTTTGTTTGTTTCATTGGGGTGTCTGAATCAAACAACTTTTCCAAGCACAAAACAGAGGAAAATACTTTTTGGGGCAGGTGGTCATGGTCACATTAGTGGTCCTCTGACTGGCTTGACAAGGAAAAATGTCAGACAGCTGAAATTTGAACATTAGTTTTCACAACTGGTTTAAAAATACTGTAATACATTTGGTTATACACTGACCTTTTGCGCCATCATCAGGTCAAAATTTCAAGTTGTTCAATATTTTGTTTAATGAACCTGCAAATTCCTGTCAATCTAATTTGCAGATGTTAGCATACTAATACACTAAACTAAGATTGTGAACATGGTGAACATTAGTTGCTAACTCGCAGCATGTCAACATTGTCATTGTGAGCATGTTGTCATGCAGACCTTAGCATGTAAAGCTTTACAGTGATGCTAGTATGGCTTTAGACTCTTAGTCTAGTTATTATTGCAGCACAATAAAGTATAGTGTAGAGGAAAGAATAGGCCTGAAGTAAAAAGACGTCATGATTCATGTGTGGATTTGTGATTCATTTCAAGGATGTTACTCTGTGTTTCTGTAGGCAAATACTGTTATGTGGTGTTAGTGGTACACAAGCATAGAAGGGCTGTAGTGATGTCATTTTTCATTGCTGTCAATGCTGTCATACTCACGTTTGCAAAAGCAGATATATTAAAAACAGGATGGATTTCTCTGATGTAAAAAAGTTTATTTTCTCACATTTTGGATTTTGTTTGTCTTATTGTCATCTGCAGCATCGAACATGCTATGAAATATTCCATTCATTGATTGGTCAGTTAGAGGAACCTTTTTTTGGCCTGATATTCAGACTCTGTAGCCATTTTGTTTTTACTTCATTATTTGAATTACTATAACATATTTGAGATGTGGAATCTGAGCTTTGTCAGGTGCATTGTCCTTTGGTTGTTTTTAATTTTAATTTTAATTTTTGAATCAGCCCAGCTCAGTCTGACTTGTTGTATAGCCAGGTCATAGCTTGTTGCTCAGCATCATCAAACTTCTCTAAGGCAGTATATCTTCCAAAGGCCAGGACCCTGTTGTAATGCCACCAGAATCTCTTAACTGGTTAGTGCTTTACTTGTGTGCTTAGTGGGACAGTGTCAGTCTTTAATTTAGTGTCACCATTTGTGTGATTTTTGAATGGTTGCTAAAGTGATAACATTGTCAAACTAGGACTTTTGGCAGAGTTTGAGGGACCCCAGCTGGCTTCTAGGTGTGAATGTATGTGCAGGACAAAAATGGATGGAAAGAAGTTGCTTTGATTTGTCCACAGGGACTGATGCATGCTGATGGATAACTAATATTTATTATTTTACCCCTTTGTGAATCAACTCAGTCTGTAAACAAATCAGTCAAGTTGGCAGTTCAAACACAAAGACACAGATGTTAGTGAACTAATATAATATACAACTATAATATGACAAAGCAGCAGGTGGGGGTGTTACATCTCGCACTGATCCAGTCAGTCTTCTGTTTCTGAATGATTGTTTATTTGACTTACCATCAGAGAGGCATGAGGAGCACGTGTTTAGATCATCGGCTCACTTGAATAGATGTCTCAGAAAGGCGGTGACAAGCCGATAACGCTAACTTGTTTTCAACAAGCTTGTGTTTTTGTTTTTGACTTAGATTTCACTGCAGCAAATGATGCTAGTTTTTGTTATTTATGTTGTATGTGAAGCTAGACTCTATCCATTGTTCAACAGATGCAGATTAGGACTCATTTTTTCTTTCCCATGTTTTTAGTACGTTTCACATTGAATTAACATCACACTAATGCTTGGGATGGCTACAGCTGAATTAGTAATGAAATGCAATGCTAGCAGCAGAAAACACAGTAAGCTCCCTGCACAGCACAGCTGCAGCTCTGGTTTTATGGAACACAGTGTAATAAGAAAACCTATCACACTTTTCAAAGAATTAAATGATACTGCAATAGCAGATGTCATTAGAGACTTTTGTGTACCTTTATTAAAACAAATGTCGTTCTCTATATACTGAAACTTACGGGATATTTTAACCCACTAAATGGCTGGTTTTAAATTCCACACTGCTTTAATTGTGTTATGTTGCTACCCTGCAGGATTGGAGTCCTTTGGGGAGTTTGGATAATGGTTCAACCCACAAATAATTGCATTGTCTCATTATCTTCTGTAGAGGAATATAGCTATTGACTTAATTTAAGTGTATAAGCTGACCTCTTCCTGCTGTCTTTGTATCTTGCGTTATTATCTTGATTTAGCTTTTCATTCACTTTGCGAATCTTTTAATATATTTAATACATTTAACATAAAATGTATTATTCAGGTAGAGATTTTCATGAACTTTCTGTTAATAAGATGCAAGTTCCCCCATGTAGGTTTCATTTGCCAATACAGTTTAACATCTGTGTGAGTGGATTGTCAAATAGCATTCTCCCCTCACCGCTGTGCTTCCCTCTGGCTGCCAAACTCCCTGTCAAATTGGCTTGACGCAATATTATAATAACTACTTTCACACAATTACCCAATCTAAATCTACAGCTAAAGAAGAGAGAAGAAGGTTTCATTTAATTTATGCAGTGTATATACCAAACTGATTCTTTACAAAGTTCTTTCCGTAACAGCAAATTGTCACCCAACTCCACTGAAATCAAGAGAAAATGAAAAAGTAATGACAACGGCATTTGTAATATTAGGTATTTTTTAATATGTGAGTAAAAATAAAATGGAAAAGATAGAGGGGATGATGGAGTGATTAAGGGCTGGGTATTGAGTCTTCAACTTCAACACTGATTTGTTGCTTGTTATCCTGTAAGCATTGTAACTGTAGTTTTTTCCAACTGGGCATAATGCTCACACCATTTTGTATTTACAAGAGAGAGAGAGAGAGAACATTTAGCTTCAAATTGAAAAAAGAAAAGGTCCAAAAACTGTCCCGTGGGTGATGCCAAAGTAGGAGATTCACTCCTACTGCAACAAACCAATATCTGAGACAACTCAAAACAAGAACACATACTGATAATGATTATGGGTTGGCTTTATTGCCTATAGGATAGCATGGATAATTAAGGACATGTGTGTGTTCAACAGATAAAATGTGTACCAGGGTGTAATCAGGGTGTTTTCATGAAGCACAGAACTTCTAGTTTTAAGTGAAGACTAAAATCACAGTAATTTATACCTATGTAGCTCACCACCACTGACCTTCACTGATTTTGTTACACAAAGGAACAAACTATTAAAGACTACTACTAAGTAATTAAAAACACTACACTTAAACACTCTGATACCAGCTGTGTAGTGTACAAAACTAAGTTAACACCCTGGTTCAACTTTCAATTCAATCAAAAGCGGGTTTGATGGTGGCATTGTTCTTGGAGGAAGAACTGAGTTTAGTCCTTGCCTTTGTCTCAGCCTGACCTGTCTAAGCATTACTAACTATGCACTTTCAGTTGTTCAGTTGTAGTTCTTCCAAGTCAAATGCTTAATCTGTGTGCTTTTAAAGTGAAAGGATTATTTGACATTGTATATGCTATTAGGAACTATGCAGAGCCCATTGTCGCTGTTTAATGGAGACATTGCTTTTAACAAGTGCCGCCCTTCAGAAAACTGTTCTGTTTTGGTCATAGATGACACAACAGATTTAGCGTCTCAAATTTATGACTGAGCTACAAAGTTACCCTCATTGATTACAAAGCTGCTTTGTGACATTATGCTCTTCATATTCAAAAACTGCAGTTGTCACAGCTATATCTACTTAGATTGTCCTGAATTGGAAGACTTTGTTGTAAATTATTGACATGAAATACAAACGTCAGTCTTTATTTTTATGCTCTCTCCTGTTCATCTTTTGAAAGACAGGATATATTTATTTATTATTATATATTTTAGGTTTTGTCAGAATTTGTTTACAAAGTACAAGAAAACCTCAAAAGGGTCTGTAGTTTCATAAATCCGGTGTAATTAAGTTTCAAGCATTTATATTGGCCACAAGAATATATCTATCAATAAATAATAAACAATAATAAACATCGTTACTTAGTCGTTGTGACTTTTCTTGGTACCTTTCTTATCCTATCTAGTATATATTAAATGCTACATTTAGTTGTATGAAATTTTGATTTGTAAATCTAAAGGGATGAAACACAATCCTTCATTTTCACCTTATCTGTGAAGTGTCTTTTATTGTATGGCATTCATTTGACTATTTATACAGATAAAAATGATATAAAACAGTGACTTGCTTTACTGTAAAATTTGTTGAGGTGTACAGTAGATTCCTGTTGCATAAATATTTGATGTCACCTTCAAAAGAAGATATCATTGCTAAGTGTATTTGCAAAACTGCTATGTGCTTTGCTGACACAAGCTAGGAGTCCCATATGAGATCAGAGGACATGGAGAGCTTAATTTTTATTCCTTTCTTGGCAAAACAACACTGGCTTCACCTTACCACACATGCAAAGTGAGCACAGCCGTTTAAATCAACTAGCAGTTGTTATTCACGTGGTTAGTGGAGAAAGAAGGTGTGGGCTATGTTAATTTCCCTGGGCTTGCCTCATATGAAATTCCAGTTGTGGGAAAGGAAGTCATTGAGGTTAGAGGCACTGAAGGTCCCTCAGGCCTTGGCCAGTTAGTTTCTTTATTAAAGCACTCTTTACTGGTCACTCCACAGGTCTTTAGGCAAAAATGTCTTGTTTGTACTGCAACCTTGTATAATGGCCTGCCTGACAGAATGTAATTAGAGGGAGCAGTGCTTTTCTTGGGTTTGCCTGTTCCATAGGCAGATCCATAGCCAGATTCTCAAAGTCCTGCTCACTAATGAATCTGCTCTTGCTGGGGCTATTGATGGCCACTGCCTCTCAGGAAGATCATTATTAGAGAATTCCATAGGACAGCTGAAATAGCATTACATGGGCTTATTACTCAGCATCATCTGTTTTCCATGTCTGAAAACAACTGCATAAGGCGCTTGATTATGTATAATGACTGCAAAAAGGGCACAAAGTGAATGTACTCATTAGCATGGCAGAGTAATATTTCATATCACATTATGATTAGGAATGTTATTAATTTAGTGATTTCATTTCAGAATATGTGCTTCAATGCAACATGCCAGGGCAGAATAATTCTTATTATTCATGGTGTTCACTGATTGAAGATTAAAAAAACACTTCTATTATACTATAACTCAGTACATCAGTTGTTACAGTCATTGAGGAATGATTGAGCCAAACGGCGGCTTTCTATTGTGGTCCTTCAAAATACGCCAAAAAAAAAAAAAAAAAAGTGAAACACACATCCATTCAGCTGAAGAGCGACAAAGCTCTTTTTGTGTTTAAACTTTTACCATAGGATCTGGTTTATATATATGAACATGCATGCTTTCACACGCCAGCAGTGTATGTATGCGTTCCCTCATTCTTTTGCTGCTTTGTCACTGGAGTCCGTCTTTAGTACAAACAATTCATGCTTGCTATAGTCAACATGCCCATTAAATTATGATATTTAGCTGTTTTTAGCTCTATAGTTATCACGACCCCAGCAATTAGAGTTGTCAAGTTGTCATGTGAAATCGTGAATCAATCGTAGAGCAGCAGTAGAAGCCCAAAAGATACTTATTTATATATTCTACTAAAGCATATCAAGCAAATAGCCAATATTAGTTTATTAATTTCCTGCATGTTCAACTGCACGATTTCTCTCCAAAATGAGTCCCTATGTCAAGGTTGTGAACTATCAAATATATTTTTTGAATAGGTATAAGCTTTTCCAGTGATCAACACAGTGCTATCGGATTCTGTTCGTTACGTGTTCATTTGTGGCTGATGAGTAACTGATACATGATCTTTTCTGAAAGGTGAAAGAGATATCCCTGTATCAGCAGCCACAGCTGAGTAACTTCCCATTCATGTATTGTTGTAGTGTCCCTACCCTCAGGTCGCGCTGAAGGCTGGTAAATATTAGTAGGTTTGTTGTACTGATTGTATTGGTTACACAGCAGCCAGATGCTAAAGATAGATTACTAAACAAAGAGGCAGAGTAAGGAAGCACACAACCTAAATTCTATTGATTCCATGTTACAGGGGCTGAGTGTCTCTCAGATAAGGCTACATTGTGTAGTAATGGTAGTCGCATAGAATTCAACCCCGGTATTTATATCACAGCTGTATTAATAGCATGCAGTTGCAGTTGTAGAGTGTGCTTGCATATTGATGTTTATTATGAATCAACAACAGTCAGGAAGAAAGAAATGTAGTTTGATTCTAAACTAGTAAGACGTTGATTCGATTTTAGGGAACATATTTACTACAGTCATTAGGCCACGTCAAGTGATCACATTATTTATGTGCAAAAAATATGAGTAGAATAAGGAGTTTATGTTATCAACACAAGGCACAGTAACTCAAACTGTTCAGTACAATGGTAAAATGTCAGTTGAATTGATTTATTTGTCCTAGCAAATAATGATGCCATTGAAGGGCCATTTCTTATTTGTTCCCATTCAAAAAGTTTTTCTTGCATGAAAATATTACTCACTTTTTTGTTTGCTTTATTTTTCAAATGGCTTTCATTTTACAACCAGTTATAAAATTTTGGCTACAACCAGGGCCTGACAGTGTAGGCAAGATTCAAAATCCATCCCACATATTCGTGTTCTCAGATATGTTAAGAACGTAATGTTGTAATATTACGAGAATAACGCCATAATTTAATTAGAATTCATAATATTTACTACCTTCCCTGAGACCTGAATCAGCAGGTGGAAATCGAAGCTAACTGAAAACACTTGTGATCAAGCAGAAATCTCTCCGCAAATCTACACACATATTAACTTCAGCAACTCTAAAATCCAGGTCACAGTCCCAAACAAACTTTCTCTTGCAGCACACCCTGACATTTTGCACCCTAGGCAACCATCTATGTCGCCTATGCCACGGGCCGGCCCTGGCTACAAAATAAAAGGTGCCCTGCGGCGTTTTGCCTTTGTTGGCTCACGTTACTGCTATCTGTTGTGGACTAGCGTGAAACCGCTGCGCAGGACTGGGTATTGCTTTGCTTGTGTGCATACAGATACAGACAAATTGGGCACCCATTCATAAAAACACTTCTGCTAGCACTACTGGTCTTTGATGAATAAGTGAGTCAATATGTCCACAGGTGCTGCAGATGTACCTGCCCTTCTGTGGTATTGCCATCTCCAATGCTCAACTCTTCGCAGCCTCAAGGAAGGAGTATGACAGGAGCCGGGTAAGGGCCACAGGGCCAGCCATGATTATAAACTCCCCATCACTGGGATCACCATTACTTCCTCCCCCTGATTCTGACATAAAAGCTGAGTATTGATCAGCGGCAGCCCACTTGCTGCCACTGCAGTGGGGATCACAGCGCTGCATGCAGCCCTGCATGGACATTTTCTCTGGATCTGTAGTGGGGGATGGTGCAGCATACAGGTCCATGATCTAAATTTCCTAGGGAATGGGAAGAGATGTTATGGAAGAGAACATGATGAGAGCACAGTGAATAGAGGAGAGAAATGAGGAGAGTTCCCTTTACACCATATGATTTTTATGTGCTTGTGGATTGAATTGGATTGGCACTGCTAGATAAAGGGCCTAATTTACTTTTACTGTGGAAACAAATCATGTTATAACATCCTGTTGCTTTATGGTTTAAGGATAATAATAATAATCATGCTCTTATAGCTGAGGGAGGCAAAACATCTTTATTTAATGGGTCTTCACTATTACCTGTTGACAGATTTCTTAGTTAGTGAATTTACAGCAGCGTGTAGTTCAGATAGGGGAGTAATGCCAGTGGTGTCTTTTTCTGTTGCTCGTGTTCAGGCACTCTTGGAGGTCGTCAATGACCTGTTTGAAGAGCAGACTGACCTGGAGAAGATTGTCAGGAAGATCATGCACCGGGCCCAGACATTGCTAAAGTGCGAGCGCTGCTCTGTTCAGTTGCTGGAGGACATTGAGTCACCGGTATAGTGTTTTTCCCCTGCTGTGTATGTGTTTATCTGTCTGTACATTTGTGCACATGCATGTCTGTTCTTCCTTTCTGCCTCAATTTTTATCAGTGAACACTGTGTACTCTCTGTGCAATTTTTCCAAGAGCTTTAGAGATTTCTTCCCTTTCATATCTTTCAGGTGGTGAAGTTTACCAAGTCATTTGAGCTATTGTCCCCTAAGTGTAGTGCAGACACTGAAAGCAGGTTTGTATGTTCAGTGTTAAAATCTACTCTGATCCTCAATAATATCTGGCCTGATGAAAAACAAAGCTTTGCCTTCCGTTTTCCCACCAGTAAGCTTCGTACTAAACAGTTGTATCTCCACCTTTGCTTGCCTTTGGCACCACGGCATCTGTAAATTCTGCACAGAGCGTCATTTGAATCTGTAAAGCTTCCATCAAGGACAAAAAATAAGGGAAGTATAAAAAGTGAATATTCTGTAGTGCTGTGGGAGTAATATGCTGATTCTGAATAGAAGGCATACTGTAGGAGCCCTACTTAATTGGGTTTTGCTGCTTCTCTCCACTGCTAGCCATGGCTGACTGGAGAAAGCGAGGCTTAATATTGTGTGGGATGTTTATGGATGAACATCAATGCTGAAAAGAAGACAAATTATCCCCCAAGTCCTGCACTTGCCATAACCGATATGGTCACTACAAGGCAGTAGTGATAACTGCAACAGAAAATAACAAAAAATACCAATAATAAGAAATTAGTAGTAATGAAAGGAATGTCAATCTGTTTGACTGGCCAATTTAGTCTTTCTTACTAAACACACTCCCTACTGAGCTGTCTCAATATTTCTTTATGAGAAAAGGCACAAAACTGTACTTTCAGTGTCACATAAACAATAAAGTTTGTGGTTTCAAGTAACTGAACTGCAAGTTGAAATGACAAAAGTATAGTATCTCTGTGATGACACTATTTTTCCTAAAGGATTACATCTGAATAACAAGGGCTGCTGTGCAAGATTTATGTGTGTAATTAAGTGAATAAATTTGGTGTCAAAAGGCGAGCGTACTGTAGGATTTCTAATGTGCCTTACAATCCCCAGCCGCCCCCACGGGGAGGATAATGTTGAGCGAGTGCTGCTAGTTTGTCCATGGCAGCTAAATGACAGACGTGAGACAGGAAAGAGAGAATGAAAAGACAAAGAGAGCAAGAAACATAAAGGAGGTAAGGCATCTTGCCATCACATCCATAAGGTTTATTCCCTGCCGCACTGTGGGTTTCACATCCACACACAGCTGTATCACTATATCAAAGGGATCTAAAAGATCTGACATCAGTGTCTCGACAAAATGAGCCACACTAAACATTTACCTTGTTATGTGTGAAGGTAAAAAGTCAGTGAGAGCCAACTGCAATTAATGTGAATGGGTGCAGGGATGCAGGTGTTTCTATGGCAGAGTGTGGGGGCGTTTGGCAATGAGGAAGACAATCACACAATTAACTTTTCATTACTTCATAAGCTGCAGCAGAATATATACTGTATGAGAAGTTTATTAAATGCAAGTCAACTTAAAAGAGCGTCCACAAGGAGAAATAAAATGGCCTTTTTGCGAGAAGAGAATAAAACCGTTTTTACTTGAATACAATAAAAAAGTCTAAAAAATATATATTTTCATGATAACTTAGTTATCAGCTAAAGGAGTGTGTGTGAGTTCCAGTAGTGTTTCTTCCGCTCTGTTCCTTTTCACATCTCCCCCCTTTTATTTTCTGACCCTAGTTTCAAAGACAGTATGGAGAAATCGTCTTACTCCGACTGGCTCATCAACAACAGTATTGCAGAGCTAGTAGCATCCACAGGACTACCCGTGAACATTAGTGATGCCTATCAGGATCCTCGCTTTGATGCTGAGGTAAACACACAGCAACATACGCGGCAAGTATGCATAGACAGACAGATGGTTTGAAACAGAAATGTAGGAGACCATGTCAAACTGTAACATCCATCCTTGAGCTGTTTATCAGTTATGTTGCTCTCCCAACATGGTTTCAAAACCATTTACACCTTAATGAACTGGACTCTGATCTCTCACTTGATTGTCGTGTGACCTTAATGCTCACACATGATTCATCCAGGGGCAGGATGTATCATATGAACATACTGATATGCAAACGGATGTTTAAGGCTGTTTCTACATTCATTTCTACTTAACTTACTTGTACTTGTGCACGTGCGTTCAGTTCCACCTTGACTGAGATGTATAAAACAAGCTGCTTTATAAATCTTGATGAAAAGAATGCATATGAATATTTCTGTGTGTGCGCATGCATTTTAGTCATGAATATGCATCTGCTGCCGAGGTGTGAAGATACACTCAGATTTAAATGGCTAAGAGTCAGTAGGACCGAAAAAGCCTCTTGGAAATTTCTTCAAGACCAAACATAAAGTCCAGTTGCCTTTGACTTTGTACTTTTATTATAACAAGCATTAAATCTTGTTTTATTTGCACATGGTGAGAAATTACATACCACACATTTTCCTTTTTGTCAGCTGTTAATTGATCTCTGTATGATAAAGACCCTTTCAAACCAGAAAGCGGAAACCGCAGCGGTGTGTGCTGATGCTGCATTGATCTAAACAGAATCCCACAGCGGCTAGCACAGCAGTCCGCTCTGCATCCGGCTGGAAGCAGCAAAAGTTGACATGGTCAACTTTAAACAGCAGTGACATAAACGTATAAACGAATAGAGGCTGCAACTTGCTGCGTCTAGCTTTTAAAGGGCCTTTAAATTTCTTACTGTACACTGCATCCCACAGCTCCTATCTTTGTAGCTTAATGCTTTGGTAATACAAAGCAGATAGTTTCTAAATAAAATACAGTTTAAACTGACCAAAATTATGATTTAAATATTAAAATAGCAGCTTTAAGAACAAGTAAACAAGGAGGGCTGCAACTGAATATTATTTTTGTAACTGATTAATTTTGCCAATTAATGCAGATGGATGGTAGTCCTCATTTTATACTATACACTCCCACTCTTTTCAGGCAGACCAGTTCTCAGACTTCCACATCCGCTCCGTACTTTGTGTTCCCATATGGAACAGCAACCACCAAATCATAGGTAAGTTACCAAATGGAGCTTCCTCTTCTCTTAAAGAGGTCATATTATGCTTTTTGGCTTTTCCCTCTCCTTTAATGTATAATATATCTTTTTTTTTAAACTTACCACTTCCAGTCTATTTTGCGAAGCTGGTTCGTGTTGTGTCATACACAGCTCAAGTGAATTTGTTTTGGATCACACTACCTTGCTTGTCAGGACCTGCCCAACTCTGCTTCTGATTGTCTAGTAGTCCTAGGTACTGCATATGTGCAACTCCCAACAGAGATCTTATAGAAGTGAGATGCCTCACTCAGTATCTAAAATGGAGCGTTCAACACACAGGGTGAAAAGAGGTGCCACAGCAATGTGCAGCCTGACAGCAAATGTGTTTTTGAAAATCAAACCATGTAAACCTATTCTGGTACAACCCCTAAATAAAATTATGAACCTGAAAATGAGCATAATATGACCACTTTTAACTTATTTGATGTGTCACTTTTTAATGTTGCATATACAAGGGTGTTAAAGTCAGAGTAATACACTATATGGTATCCACATATAAAACTATGTGGATACCTGACCATTATACCCATGTCATTATCTAATTTAAAAAACATGGACATTAATATGCTATATATCAGTCTCTGCCCTTCGGGGATGGCTTCCAACAAGATTTGGGAACCTGGCTGCAGGGATTTGATCTCATTCAGCCACAAGAGCATTAGTGCGGTCAGGCACTGTGGTTGGGCGATAAGGCCTGGCTTGCAGTTGGCACCCCAGTTCTTCCCAGAGGTGTTGGATGTCGAGGTCAGTCTATGTGCAGGTCAGTCAAGTTCTTCCACACCAAACTGAGGAAACACATTCTTTATGGACTGTTCTTAGTGAAATAACAGTACCTTCCCCTAACTGTTGCTACTAAGTTGGAAGCTCATGATGACCTAATATATCATTGTATGATGTAGCATTAAGAGCCACCTTCATTGGAACTAATGGGACTAGCTTAAAAAACTGCCTCTAACCAAAAGAAAAGGATGTCCACATACCTTTGGCCACATAGCGTAACTATGATGCAGGAACATATTCAGCAATAAAATCATATGGCACTCGCATGCAGTCATAATGTAGCCCCCCCTCCCCATTTTTGCTGCATAGTAGACAATAGGTATGAGGGGAGCTTGAGCATGTGTTCAGCTGAGGCTTCATGTGGGTGATTAAATCCATGCTGCGCCATCACTCCACACTTGGAGGTGGAGTTCCCTTCTTCTAGCTGTGTGCTTTGTGTTTGTGAATCAGCCCCCAGGCCAACACCACACTGACACTCTGATAAATCATTGATCTCTCATCTGGTTTTGGAGCTGGATATTGCAGGCAAGGAGGAGCGATGATACCAGCTCCACTTGGTCCATTGAGATCTGACGCAGGAAGTCATTAGTTTTATTTGAGTGCAAAGTGATCAGCATATCCGCCGCAGATGGTTGGTTAAGACTGTGTGTGTGTGTGATGTTTGTTTTTTTGGGTTTTTTTTGCGTAGGTGTAAGTGCATTTGTAAGTGAGGGGAGAGGGAAAAGGAAAAAAAACAGAAAGAGTGAGGGGAGAGAGAAAAATTCAGTGTGTGGGTGGCACCTGAAGATCTAGAGTGAAAAAAACATTATCTAAACAACGCAGCAGGAGATGAAATTCTCAAGCAAAGGATACATTAAACCTGGAGTGCAGAACTTTTGTCTCCCCCTTCTGACAGTGAGAGTAATTACACGCTTTGTTGACATGGTTTTGACGTATAAGCTCTGCCATAATGAGTTGCTGCGGTCGCCACGTTGCTCCCACCTTCAGCTCCGGCAAACCAATCATTGCTGGTTGGCATTAACACATACTGGGTCGCCAGTGCGGGAATGTCACCACAGACACGGTATACTGTAAATACAGAGAGATCTCCCTGACAGTGATATGTCTCATCAGCATTGCAGCATCACCTGCCAAGGTAGATAGAATACTGTTACTTCAATTCAATTCAATTCAATTTTATTTATATAGTGCCAAATCACAACAACAGTTATCTCACAGCGCTTTTCATAAAAGAGCAGGTCTAGACCGTACTCTGTGATGATATTTACAGAAGCCCAACAGTTCCCACCAAGAGCAAGCACTAGGCGACAGAGGCAAGGAAAAACTTCCTTTTAAGAGGCAGAAACCTCGAGCAGAACCATGGCTCAGGGTGGGCGGCCATCTGCCTCGACCGGTTGGGGGTGAAGGAGAGAGAGAGAGGGGGAGAGACTGAGAGAGAGAGAGAGAGAGAGAGAGAGAGAGAGAGAGAGAGAGCAGGAGAGGAATAGAGAGAAAAAGAGAGGGATGTAAGGAGAGAGAGGGGAGGGAGGCAGCCTACACAATATACACACAGAGGTACAGACAGTGAAGGTGATGTTGCTATAGACTAAATGAAAAATGGTACAGATATTTATAATAGTGTTAATGGTAACAATCGTAATCTTAATGATTATAATAACAATAATAACAATAAACTAGCAACAATAGTCGTTGCAACAGAGGGTGTCGAGCAGGAACACGGGGGCAGCAGGTGACCCACAACCACAGATCCAGACTCCACAGCTCCAGAGCCAGAAAACCTGCAGGAAGTGATAAGAGGAGAGAGGAGAGAGACTAGAAAACACAAGACTACCAGAAAGGGGAGAAGTTGTGTTAGTAACATGCAATAATGGGATGAGGTTGCATACAGAGGGAGAGAAAGTAGAGGAGAGAGGAGCTCAGTGCATCATGGGAAATCCACCGGCAGTCTAGGCCTATAGCAGCCTAACTAAGGGATGGTTCAGGACTCACCTGAGCCAGTCCTAACTATAAGCTTTATCAAAGAGGAAAGTCTTAAGCCTACTCTTAAATGTGGAGATGGTGTCTGCCTCCTGAACCCAAAGTGGAACCTGGTTCCACAGGAGAGGAGCTTGATAGCTGAACGCTCTGGCTCCTAGTCTACTTTTGGAGACTCTAGGAACCACAAGTAACCCTGCATTCTGGGAGCGCAGTGCTCTGGTGGGGTAGAAAGGTACTATGAGCTCTTTAAGATAAGATGGTGCCTGACCATTAAGAGCTTTGTAGGTAAGAAGAATGATTTTAAATTCTATTCTGGATTTTACTGGAAGCCAATGCAAAGAAGCTAAAACAGGAGAAATGTGATCTCTTTTCCTGGTTCCTGTCTGAACATGTGCTGCAGCATTCTGGATCAGCTGAAGAGTCTTAATGGACTTTTTCGAGCAGCCTGATAATAAGGAATTGCAGTAATCCAGCCTAGAAGTAACAAATGCATGGACTAGTTTTTCTGCATCATTTTTAGACCGGATGTTCCTGATTTTCGCAATATTACGTAGGTGAAAAAAGGCGGTCCTTGAAATTTGCTTATGTGAGACTTAAACGACATGTCCTGATCAAAGATAACTCCAAGATTCCTCATGGTGGTGCTGGAGGCCAGGGCGATGCCATCCAGGGAAACTATATCTTTAGATAATGTGTCACGGAGGTGCCTAGGCCCCAGAGCAATAACTTCAGTTTTGTCTGAGTTTAACATGAGAAAATTACAGGTCATCCAGGTTTTATCATCCTGAAGGCACATTTGAAGTTTAGCTAACTGATGAGTTTCATCTGGCTTGATCGATAGATATAACTGAGTATCATCTGCATAACAATGAAAGCTTATGGAATGTTTCCTGATAATATTGCCTAAAGGAAGCATATATAAAGTGAAGAGGATTGGTCCGAGGACAGATCCTTGAGGAACTCCATGACTAACTTTGGCATGCATGGAGGACTCTTCGTTAACATGTACAAACTAAAATCGATCTGATAAATAGGACTTAAACCAGCTCAGAGCAGTTCCTTTAATGCCAATGAAATATTCCAGTCTCTGCAATAGGATCTGATGGTCAATGGTATCAAATGCAGCACTAAGATCTAATAAAACCAGTACAGAGACAAGTCCTTTGTCTGATGCAATAAGGAGGTCATTAGTAATTTTCACCAGTGCTGTCTCTGTGCTCTGTTACTGACTATAACAATAATTTTAATGTTTAATACCAAATAAGAGTAGAATTACATTAATGCTGATGTTAGCAACATGCAATGAAAGTTACTTTATTAACAGTAGATGCTAATACAAGGTTTTAGTTACCCAAGATTATAAAAAGCATTTTGCTAGCTTGAATTGCCACTTTGTCCATTACATAACTTAGGTAACTTCCAAATAAATACATTAATAATTTAACTGAACTGCCTCAGGCCGGGAACACTACCAAAGCGCGATTATACCACAGTTTGGTTGTGACCGCTGATTTTCAAGCCAATGTTCAGCCTGTGCTGGTCACTCAAAATAGGGCAGGGTACCAGCTGATTAATGAATATAGCAACCTGTCCAGGGTGGACCAGAACATTAGCATTGCTGCTTTTAAGCCATTCCTATGACTTTATGTGCAAACTACATGTCCCATTATGATTAACAGCTACTGTATGAAGATTAACTTTGAGTTTAGCTTGGTTGTTTGATATAGTGAGTTAACGTAGTGCTGAGATTGTTGGTCTATGTGAGACCCTAAGCAATATTTGACCATGCCCCTGGCTTATGCTTGGGGCCAGCTATGCTGCAACTCATCACAAATGATATGCTCATTACAGAGGGAGCAATACTAGATCTGAGAAGACATCAGTCCTGTATTTTAAAGTTAATGACACCGTAATGAAATGTGTTCTTAGCTACAGTACTAATCCTGTTTCACCTCTGTGGATCTCCAGCTATACATTGAAATTAAAATGTCACTTTAGCAGGTTTGTTTGACCTCGTAGAGAGAACTAAAAATGATAATGTAGTGTGTAATTACTTTTTTGCATAATTTCTCAGTGGCAATAAGTCAGTATTTATCAATTAAATGTTTATTCTTTATCATCAAAGCGTCTCTGTTTTTAATTAGATGATGAGAGAAGCCATCTAAACAAGGAGTACTGCTGTCAAATAAAAAAGGCTTCAATCCCACTGCTGCATTGTAGACAAAAACTGGATGTCCTATCAAAGATAACATTAATTAAATGCCACTTTCACCAGTGCTTTTGTACATCTATGTGTCATTATAATAAATGTGTTTTATGGTTCACCAAAAAGTCTACACGTTTTTAATAAAGTTTGACACAACAAATATTACTGTTGTAGAATATCTGAATATACTGCTATTAATGCCGTAGGATGTTGTGTCCCTACTTAATTTCCATTAATAATGCCTGTTAGTCAATAACATGGAGAGAGTAGATTTGATCCTCTTTTAATTGGAGGCATGTTATATGCACTGGAGCTGTGCTAATATCAAATATCGCTGTTAAGTTGTTATTGTATGGCTAAACTGGCTCTGTGTAACAGGTGTCGCCCAAGTGCTGAACAGGCTCGATGGGCAACCCTTCGATGACGCAGACCAGCGTCTCTTCGAGGTATTACACTTGCTTCTATATCTTTTCAACATACAGTAGCCTATAAGTTCTGCCCTTGAGTATGTCTGCTTTTTTATTCTTTTCTTAGGCGTTTGTGATCTTTTGCGGACTGGGCATCAACAACACCATCATGTACGACCAGGTGAAGAAGTCCTGGGCCAAGCAGTCTGTGGCTTTGGATGTAAGAAAACAACATCCCATTTGATTCCCTGCCTCATATCCAAATTTGGGAATGAAAATAAGCAATTTCTTCCATGTTTAGAACAATAAATCTTTTTATCCGCTTACATTTGCAAAAACATTACTATGCAAACTGTGCAGCTCCAGAGTGTTGACTCAAGTTGATTCTGCACTGCTCCTGCTTTATACTTTTTAGTTTCCTTTTGTCGTGCCTGCATGCTCATTGTGTTTATGTTAGCCTCGTGCCCTCCCTCGGATGATTTTTCCTTGTGTGTCCTGTCTGTTCTTCTATTCCATTAGCTATAATGGTATCTTTATTTTCCTTTTCCAGTCAACATATGCTCTGTGCTGAACCATTGACCCAGAAGTCAGTGTAAACAACGGCTGTTGCATGGCTAATATAAAAACTCTTCTTACTTATTCTCTCAGGGGTCTTTGTGCTTGGCTCCTTTTTTAGTCTCATATTTCCACAAGAATGTACACATGGAAAGAAAAGTGCTGATCTCTCTTTGTAGATAACCTTCTCACAAAGGTTTTATTGAAAATTAATGAGAGGCAGAGAAAAGCAATCCCTCATCTGCCTTGCAGTATGTAGCCATTCAGCACTAGTCAGCCTTTGCAGTATGTCCTTAGATTACAACAGGGAGCTTTCAGGTGCATTATAGTAGTTAGCACTACTTGGTTTCAAGATAGGAGAAGCAGAAAATTGAGAGATAGAGCATTTAAAGGAGAGGCACAGAATGAACTAATATGTAGATGCATTGCTTCTGGCAGCACTGAATAAACATGAGCGTTTATGATCAAATAAGCAACTGCAGGTTTGTGCGTGGTATTTCTCTCAGGAAATGAAGGGAACATGGCGATGGAATCAGGGCTGACATTGCTGCTCTTGTAGATTGTTCTAGGGGCGAGTGTTAACCTCATCTGGAAGTGTGCAGTATTTTCAAGCCGTAGCCACAGTTGTGCATCTCCTAGAGCCCTACTGGTTATTTTAATGATTTGAAAAATACAGTGATACTGTGTCATTATTTTGCAGGTTCTTTCTTACCATGCCACTTGCTCCAAGACTGAAGTTGACAAATTCAAGGTAACAGATATTCAATATGTCTCTCAGTGCTTACAGTAGTCGGGGGACTTAGTTTTTTAAACTCTGAGCTCGACACAGATATTAAAGTCACAACTCACGTGAGACGTTGCTTGTTCTTAAAACCTTGTCCTTTAACTGTAGTAACATAGCTGTAAACCCTTTCATGCATCAATTATGACAGCCTCTGTCAGGATTTTTTTCCTGTGTTTTTATTGCTCTTTAGGCAGGAACAAGAAAATTAGATTATTTTTTTCTAAATAAACATTTTCAAGGAATTTTTTTACATGGACAACATTCGCATAAGTTTTCAACTGAAGAAATATGTAATTAACAAACCAATGAATTATATGATATAGTATGTGAAAACTATAATGCTGTTAAACTAATGTGGTCACATATTTTAACATATTCTAATACTGTTTAATGCAATGCAGAAAAATTTAAACTCACCTCGGAATTCTCAGACTCTCTCTTCCTCAGCATCCTCAGCTCCACTATCACTGCTGCTAGCATTTGGTGATTCTCCTATTTCTGGCAGCCATTCATCATTACTTGATTCTGATCGAATTTGCTCCACTATCCTGAATGCCTTTATATTACTCACTACAAAAAATATAGACACTAAATGTTACTCACATAATGGAACTAATCTGCACAAAATATTGTTTTTGTTACAAAAACTGCAAGTTTTACATTGATTTACATCCAGAAAAGTTATTGCACATGACGTATTTTTAAGAAAAATAAAGTCTCAGTAATAATTAATTGTAGTTTAAATATAGCCAGAGATGCATAATGTCCAGTTTAGTGGACAGATGATTAATGATAATTTCCTCCAAACATAAAATCAATACTTGGAAAGTTTAACAATTGTATTACTCCTTAGTTGTTACTAGATGTTACCAAATTTAAGTTGCACTTACAATGGCTTACCAGGGTGGCAGTATATGGCATGACGCACTAGCGTCCACTGTGTTGGTTGATAAGCAACTATACCATAAGAACCTCTGCCAATACAAGTAAACAGCTTTTGAATAGCTGTCCACTGTTCTAAATGAAGGCGGGATACGTCACAGACAAAACTTAAAATGCTATTTTGTGGGGTCTTTATTGTCTTTTCTAACCATGGGGTCTTTAACATAGAAATGACAAATTTAAGTATACATAGAGTTTATAGAAAATGTAAATGTTTTAAAGGAGTGAAATGCATTCAACAAGCACCTGAAAATAGTCCCCAACAAATGTGCTGTTTACTCCTGCTCTAGTAAGGTTTGCTTAAAATTATGTTTCCCAGCGGTTTTAGGAAAAAAACTAAACTTTTATTATTAAAAAGAAGCTGATATAGCCATTTTTAAAGATTTGCATCTTAAATAGAAAAGAGTAGGCTTGGAGCCGAGTGTCACAGACAGAGTGGGGAAGTGACAAGAGACAGACTAAATTGCTTCATTGGTTTTGGTCTTTTCATGGGATTTGTTGACAGAAAGAAAAAGATAAATCCAACCTTTTCCTTTAAACAAACCCTGTAAACCGATACAAGACCATGACCAAGACCATGTTATTTCTGTTATTGAGTATAGTTTCCTTTAAACAATATTACAAATGTTGCTAAAAGGCTAACTGCAGCTCTGAGTAACTTCTTTTCCACAAAGTAGAGGATATGGGATGACAAGTCCTCATACCTCAATGACAAAATAGGTCATTGTCTTAAAAGGACCCATATGAACATTTTCTGATCTGGTGTTTTCAGGTGAGGACAGTTTACACATTGGAGTGTTCCTCGGAGTGTATTACAATTTGTTATTATCGGGTTTGCTCTGGTGGTGCTGGTAACTGCTGTAATATAATTTCATTGTTTTTTAGATGTATTCCTTAATGTTTAGGCTTTATATATTAACAATATTAAAGTCTTGTTATGATTCTGCTAAACCCTTTCATTTAACAAAAGTATGATGCAAGGCAACAGCAGGAGATTTCTCTGATGGCTAAAATGTTTATGGGAAAGTAAAATCTTGGAGATTTACCTCATAATGCATTTGCTTTGCTCACAGGACCTTTGATTAAGCTATGCTTTTCTAATTAAACGACAATCCCTTATTAACTTTAATGGGAAAGAAAACATCTATGGCAACAGAGAGGTATTATTGGCAGCCTGTCTTCTAGATTTCATTTTCCAGTTTTTCCAAAGACAAGCATAAATATGGGCCAAGAATTCCCCACTGAAAATAAACTAATTGTGGTATTTGAAATGGATTACTCCAATAAATAGTCAATCATTCTAAATGAATTATTTAAAAAGATGAAAATATCTACATTTTTAATTGGCATGACATTTCTGAAATATAGATATGACCTATTTTCCTGCACTTTCATGTGCAGGATTTTCCCCTGTGGCCATTGCAGCAAAGTAGGAACCCTGTTTTCCAGTCTGCTCATATGATCTTTCACACACCCCCATCCAGTGACGCGCTATGCTTCCTGCCTTTCCCCTACTTTCTTTCATAACTGCTCTACATATGGAGCCTTGAGTACACTTGACTGGGATTCCACCAGAGTGCAAATGGCAGCGACAAACAAACCTGGCTGACATTTCATAACCCGGGGCTGTGAATTAAGAGAGAGAGAGAGAGAGGAGAATACCTGATGCCCTGACATGCAAACATTTGTGAGGGAAACATGGTGCTCTGGTGGCTGTAAGAGAGGAGAGAGAAAAGAGAAACACAGGTGCACTGAAACTATAACACAGATTGGTAAGAGAGCTTTGACTTATTGGAAAGAGACTCAAGTTAGAAATTGTCATATTATAAATGCTGACCTGAGGCAGAAAAGACATATCAGATCATTGTGCTCATTAGACCACATCGGAGACAGAAGACATTGACGCTTCAGTATCAGTGTGGTTAATTGGAATCACGTTTGTTTTTGTTTGAATAATAATATTGGAAAAAAAAAACAGCTGATGATTACTACTGCACACCTACATTTGTCAATGAGCTCTGAAAGTAAACAACAGTGAAATCTTTCGGTATAGATTTCTCATTAATCTTAACCCTCTCTCCGAATGAGTACTCAGAGTCTTAATTAGCATGTCATTATATGTATCATCTGAAAATGGCACAGCATCCTCTGACCTCTCCAGCCTCTTCTGCTCTGCAAACTCATATTCTCATGTTCTCTTTCCTCCTTAATGTTTTCTCCCGCCATGATGAAACAGGCTGCTAACATTCCTCTGGTTTGCGAGATGGGCATAGATAAGCTCTCCTTTGACGATTTCTCTCTGGACGTTGACGCCATGATAACGGCTGCTCTGAGAATGTTTATGGAGTTGGGAATGGTGCAGAAATTTAAGATAGACTATGAGGTGAGGCTGCTGTCTTTCTTTATCTGTTTTCCTTTGGATACTTGACTGAATTTGCTCAAAACACTGTTCCATAATGTATTCTCATGACAACTGCTGACCCATGTGCTCATCTCTGTCTCTCTGTATTACCCTCCAGACACTGTGCAGATGGCTGCTGACTGTCAGAAAGAACTACAGAATGGTTCTCTATCACAACTGGAGACATGCCTTCAACGTCTGCCAGTGCATGTTTGCCATGCTTACGGTAAAGATCATGCTGCTATAACTGTAGATAATGAGATCATTTTTTAGTCAGAGACACTTAAGGAAGTGACGATTTATAGAAAATTTTCCTTAACGAGTTTTTATATTAGCCACCCTCCCTAAATAAACACATAGAATAGAATAGAATAGATTTTGGGACAGAAGTAGGAAGTTAGCACTGGTGTAAAGCAACCAAGTAGTTTACTCAAGTACTGTACTTACGTTCATTTCAGAGGTTTAGAGGTTGTTAGCAGTTCCACAAAACAGAGATTACCCCTCTAAACATCTCAGATGATTTTATTTAAAGAGGTCATTATATTTTTTGGCTTTTTCCATCTCCTTTATTGTGTTATATGTCTTTTTTGTGCATGTAATCGATTTGCAGAGTGAAAAATCCCAAAGTCCTCACAAAGAGAGTTCCCATCTTCTAACAGAAAACACTGCTTTGAACTGCCTGAAAACAGCTTGTTTATAGTCCAGCCTTTTCTTCTGCTTTCTGGTGATGTCACAAGAAAACACGCGCGTCATAGTGCCGCGGCCAGTTGGACACGCCCTCAAAAATATCGGTAGAAAACACACTGAGCTGGAGCACACAGTGATGTCCGCCTGCTGTATCTCCTTTCCCTTCCAAACATTAGCTACCTTCCAATTGTCCCAGTCAATGGACATAAAGTTCTTACCGTGATGTAGAGACAGTATACAAATAAAACTTTACGGATGAAAGACAACCTTGTTACAAATTAACAACTCACCACTCTTGACTAAGTCTATGTTGCTAAGCTGGTATGGGGAACATACAGCCTACACCTGAACCGAAGCCATGTTTACCGGCTTCTCACGACCCGCCCTACTCTGCTTCTGATTGGCTAGAAGTCCTTAACTAGGAACTGCGCATGTGCTACTCCCAACAAAGATCTTGTAGAAGTTAGATGCATCACTACATAGCTAAAACGAATCGTTCAACACACAGGGTGAAAAGAGGAGCTGTGCCAATGTGCAGTATGAAAAAAAATATGGTGTTTTTTGAAAATGAAACCATGTAAACCTATTCTGGAGAAACACCTACATAAAATGATGAATCTGATAATGAGCACAATATGACCACTTTAAATAATTGTTTGATGCTGAAGGATTTTACATATATCTGAGAAAATTCTAATTGTGTGGCAAAACTCTGCCACTCCTCCATCCCACAACCCCACAGATCAGTCAAAGTAATTTTTCTTGCAGAACCAGAACTTTTACATTTGATACTTTAAGCACATTAGCCTGATAATGCTTTCACCAATGTGGGATTGCGAATGAAGCACTTTTATTTATAATAGAGTACCTTGACATTGTTGTATTGGTACTTTAACTTAAGTAAAGGATCTTAATACTTCTTCTGCCTCTGAAGGTTGGGGTGGTGGACGGCATGAAGATATCAGAGGAAAAATGAGACACCTGCATGAATATTATTGGACGTTACTAGTCAGCTAGTTGCCTAGCAGCTGATGAATGAGCCAATGATTGTGAAGCATGAATGAAGCCTGACTTCTGTGCTGGTTGAAATCTTATTATTATTATGTACATGATACATTTCTGTTTGACTTGGGTTGAAATTGATGAGATTCAAATTACGGTTCATTGTACTAATAATACAAACAGCCAACTCTGTGCAGAGCCAAAGCAGAGATGTTTGTTTGAATAGAGACCCCAAGAGAATTACTTCATGTGGTTCCAGGACACCTTTACTTTATCAGGTCCTTGGGGCAACACACACTCACACACACATGCGTGCTCTTATACAAACACCACAGTGTAGTTCATTAATCAAGCATAGCATTAAAGCATGGTGTCCCATCTGAATTGATTATTGGCAGAGGGAAATGAAATAGTAGTATGTAAGCTGTTCTGGGCCCCTCCACTCTCATGCCATGTGTTTTAATGAGTGGGCTGAGGGCCGAGCTATCTTTGCCGCTATCCCCACAATGACCTATAGTGACTCACTCAGCACATGGCCTCCAGAAACCATTCATCTGAGCCATAAAGCTCCCTGTGTGACTGTGTTACTGCAGTCCCAAAGCTATCAAGAGAGATACTGTTTTTAAGGATGATGCTGCTGTTTCATTTTTATTCAGGCCTCAAAGTTTCATAGAGAAAAGAGAATAATGAGTTTGTTTGTTTTCTCATTGGCCTCCTCTCTTTTGTGACAATCAGACGGCGGGCTTCCAGGAGACTCTGACAGAGGTGGAGATCTTCGCTCTTATTGTAGGTTGTGTGTGCCATGACTTGGACCACAGGGGCACCAACAATGCTTTTCAGGCCAAGTAATTGTACCTGCTTTATCTCTCTGTCTCTGCCATACACCCACTCACACACATAAACATGCTCCCTCCTGCACACTGTTTATAGAGTATTTTCCCACCTGCAGCAGTCTGAGGTAGTCCATCCCAGATCAGCAAGAGTCAAGTGGCAAGTTGTGTAAGGCTTATATAAGGGTCTGCTCAACGACTGTTAACACTGCTGACTCTGAGCACATTTTGATCAGCAGCTAAAATCGCTATTAAATTGCATGTTCTCACAAAGTTATTATAGTGACGTGAACCTGAAAACAAGATGAAAGAAAGACATAGTCGTGGGCTACTGCTGGTTTAAAGGAATTTGGCTTTTAAGACTTTTAAGTTCTCGAAATGGCAGTGTTGTGATGAATAAAAATAGTTTGAGTTTGTTTTAGAATTGTTCGTTATTTTGAGCTAAATGGTCTGAATTGAATTGACTGTTGACTCGGCTAGTGCTAAATTAGTTTAGGGTGACAGATGACAAAGGAGGTAATGAAGCTCTTGTAGCCAATAAGGCTGATTTTCCCAGGAAACACATATGAACACATCAAAATTGGAGCCTTTAGCTTACTGGCCATGGCGATGTGTTTTGTCTTCATCAGAGGGTGCACTGTAGCTGTAGTTGAGGATGTATTGGAAAAAGAAATACAGTTTAAAAGCATTTATGATTTTGTTTGTTTTAGACAGCAACACGTGCTTCAAAAATATGCAAAATTCTGTCATTAAACATCTTAAAATCGCCACCTGTACCACGAACATGTAACAGTTTTCTAGTTTTCGTTCTACGCTCCAACAATTTTAAGTAAGAATTTCAATGACTATAAGGTTCAAGTGCAGACTCTATGCTTAAATTTAGGGTGTTTATGTCCACAGCATAAAAACAGCATTGGATTAATATATTTTTTTGTACATAGTTCCCAAATTTAAGGCACAAGAACATTATTTTTAAAAGATGACCAAGACTTGTATTGCAGCTATCTTTACCCCTTGATTGTACTGAGCAACGAAATCTGCAAAGCTCACCCAACATGTGATGTGAACACCCTCAAACAGCTAAAAGTCAGCACTTTTACCTCATAATCTCTGTTTCATTTAAAATCCAATGTACTGGAGTACAGAGCCAACACAATGAAAACTTATTACCATCCTAAGACTTTCTGACTCCGCAGTAATTCTAAGAGTGAATTCAAAGTGTATTTTTATAGTGGAAATAAAAACTAAACTTAACTTCAAAGAAAATAACACATTCAGTGATAAAATATCCTAAAAACTAATGTAATGTATCTCAAACTTTAAAACCCTCATGCCTCACCCTCAGTACACCAAGCTCACGAGTATTTTTTCTCCACATTAAACGATGATCATATTATATGTTGAACAGTTGAAGTTCAGCTGCACTTAAGGTTATGGCTCTCCTACTTCTTTTATTATTGAGCCATAAGCTGGCGACAGAGTGAAATGGTGAGGGAATTACAACAGAATACACCAGACTTTGTTTCTCAATATGTGTTGAATGCTGATTATGTTATCCCTCTTCTTGATCCCCGTGTGCGTTTGTGTGTGTGTGTGTGTGTGTGTGTGTGTGTGTGTGTGTGTGTCAGAACGGGCTCAGCACTTGCTCTGCTTTATGGGACCTCTGCTACACTGGAGCACCACCACTTCAACCATGCTGTTATGATCCTTCAGAGCGAGGTGCACTATGTCCCAATATCTGCTGCAATGCAGTTACAATGAAGGTTCTGCTAATGTCTCCCGCTGAATGTTGTATTCAACACATTCAATTGCATGCCAGACCAATTCAAACACCATCTACAACTAAGTTCTAAACTCTGTAACACCCTTCCTCCCTTTGAGACACCATATATTTAAGGTTGTTTACGCCGCTGTGTCTTGGACTTTATTTGCCTACCCTCATTAATATTAAAGGGGTGGACAAATTAGTAGAAACACCTGTCAGAATAACGGAATACAATACAACAACACCACAAACTGCAGTCTCCAAAATGATCATCAGCACCTCTTTGAAACAGTTAAACTGAAACTGAACATTATAAATGTCATGAAAAGCAGGAAAAGCACAGGTGAAACTAATTTCATTAAATATGGTTCAATTCCAACAAGTGTAAGCCCAGTAAGCCATGACAGTGAGCCAGTGAGTTAACTTTTCCTGCTATGACATGCCAACATCTCTGCTGTTGTCCTGCAGGTAGAACGGTGAGTGGCAGAAGATTAATGTGATGTCCTTGAAGGGATAGTTCAGCATTTTGGAGAAACACACGTATTTGCTTTCTTGCAGAGAGTTAGCTGAGAAGATCGATACTACTCTCACTTGTGTATGGTAAGTGTAAGGCTGTAGCCAGCGGATGGTTATCTTAGCTTAGCATAAAGAATATAAACAGGGAGAAGCAGCTGGCCTGGTGCTGTCCATAGGTCCCAACACATCTTCTTTGCTTAGAGTTGAGTCAAAACCTGGGACATCTGTGGCATTTTGCTGTGTGATGAAACTACACAGTGGCCTTTTATTGTGGCCAGCCTAAGGCACACCTGTGCAATACCCATGCTGTCTGATCAGCATCTTGATAAGCCATACCTGTGAGGTGGATGGATTATCTTGGCAAAGGAGAAGTGCTCACTAACACAGATTTTGACAGATTTGTGAACAATATTTGAGAGAAATAGGCCTTTTGTGTACATAGAGAAAGTCTTAGATCTTTGAGTTCAGCTCATGATGAATGGGGACAAAAACTAAAGTGTTACGTTTATTATTTTGTTCAGTGTATATTTAACAGACAGATGTGAGAGTGGTGTTGATCTTCTCATCTAACTCCCAACAATGTCAAAATATTCCTTTGAAGTAATGTAACTTGTACCTAAGATACCGTGCCTGTATGTAAGCGAGTAAACAAATAGGTCATGCCACCCTCAAATCAATGTAATTACAGAGGTGATAGATTTTGTGGTAACTGGTTGAGAGACACTTTTTACCAGGTGACTGGGTTTGCATGAAGTTGTAATTAAAGACGTTTTGATGGTGCAGCTGAGCTAAGCCCCTGGCTTAGCAGGGTATGTTCCAGTGGCTTCATTATCATCGTGCTGACAACACAGTAAGCTGACAAATGTTTGCTTGAAATATCATAATGGATTCTGTTGATACTGGGGTTGAACTACTGCTGAATCATTAGCATATAAATGAAAAGAGTGGCTAATTCAAGTAGAAGAGGAAGCTCACGATTTGATCCACCAGCCCGCACGACCAATTCATTTAAAATGTAAACTTTTAAACGTCACTCACTCCCTTTGTATCTATCAATTTCCTCTCGTCATTCTCACTTCCTATTTTACTCGCCTTTCTTCTTCATCTGCTCCAATTGTGACAGAATGAGAGAAGTGCTTTGTGCCTCTGTTGTTACGTACTTCAATATTTGATGGGAACACATGAGCTCATGAAGGGAATCACGGGCGCGCTGAGACCGTGTTCAGACCTGGATTCTCAGCGTTGAAAGGGAAAACCGTGGCCATCCAGTTTTGAAGCTCTTAGCTAATTTCTGCAGGTTATTGTCATCCTCTAATTCTGGTCCTAGATCTTATATTTTCTCCACAGATAGCCCTCTACATCAGTTCAAACCATCCTCTAGAGCAGGTTGCCTAAGTGGTGAACAAATTTATAATACATGATGGGGAGAGGGTTGTTTTAATGATAGAAAGCCTCAAGTGAGAGATGTTGCTTACTGCTAGGGGCAGGAGGGAAGCTACTGGCTTCCCTCCTGCCCCTTCAGAGATCCATTCATGTTTATTACCATTACGTTTTAGGTGTGCAAAAAGGCCTTTTTAATGAAAGGATTTTTGACGTCATCAGGAAAGCAAAACCAGGGAGAGTGGTTCACTTCCTTCTATATAACAGTTTACTCTATAGTGAGCAGTAAATTTAGATTCAGACACTTACAAATCATTGTCATTTTGCCTCATCGCAAACAGGTGTTGTGTTATTATTTTATAAACCTTCTTTATATATCTATTAAATGTGACACATTGCATTGTGGAATTGGTATCAGAAAGTAGTGTACTTGCCATAAACTCTTTTTGTCATTCCTTTGGGGGAATTTTTAAGGGCACTATGTAGTTAATAGAAGTAGAAAGTAAATATTAGGCTGTACTGGGTGCTTGCTGGCTCGCTGTCACATTGTCATGACTTACTGAGACACTTGAATTGAACAGAGCTATCGTTAATGTTAATAGTAACACGTGCTTTTCATTATTACTATTTGAAGTTTTTTCTTTTTGAGTATTTGAATCACTGAAAAAATGGAGATGTGAGCAACAATTTAGAGATCTTGAATCAGGCTTTATAGTTTACACTTTATACAAACCCTTTAACAACATTCAACAATGAAAATGTTTGTTTTTTTAACCTTTGCTTATCAAAGTACCAAAGACTGAATATTTTCACACTAGCACGTCTGTCAACAAATCCAGTGATCTGTGATAAGATCATTTGATTTATTTTAGGCTTTTTGTGTGCATTTGGTTAGACTTGTTTAGAAACACTTTATCATGTTTTCTCTGTGTTTGTCTCCACAGGGTCATAATATCTTCTCCAACCTGTCGTCCACAGAGTACAGTGACCTCATGCAGCTGCTGAAACAGTCGATTCTGGCAACAGACCTCACACTTTACTTTGAGTATGTTCTGCTAAACACTGCCCTGCTTATTAAACTATTAAATCTCCGCAGAGCTTGGCTGACTCCAGTGTACTAACTCATTTACAATGAAGCACAGTGAGTCTGTGTCTGTACAGAGGTTTACTATAGAACTTTTAGGTGATACCGCCCCCTTGTGGATTTGATGTAATTTACACCTGCATATACTGTTGTCTTGCTTCCCTTAAGAAACAGAAACACTTTCTTTGAGCTGGTCAACAAAGGAGAGTACAACTGGAATGTGAAGGCTCATAGAGACATGTGCAGGTAATGCCCTGCACACAGAAAAATGCTGTCTTTGAATCCCTGGAAACCTTTAATAATCCATAATAAATACTAAATCCATCTCATTCCTCTCAGATCCATGATGATGACAGCGTGTGATCTTGGTGCTGTCACTAAACCTTGGGAAATATCACGCAAGGTGAGAATTACAGGATGAACTCTCTTCATGTGTTACAAAACCATCCACCTAGAGCTGAAACAATTGGCTAATTAATCGATAGCTGATTGACAGAAAAAGAATCAGCAACTATTTTGATAATAAATTAATCGTTTTAAGTCCTTTTTCAAGCAAAAATGACAAACATTTCCTAATTCCTGCATCTACATTGTAGCGATTTTCTGCTTGTCCTTACCTTATGTGATTGTAAACTAAGTATCTTCAGGTTTTGGGATGTTGGTCAGACAAATAAAGCAATTTGATTTCATCACCTTAAGCTTTAGGAAATTGTAAAAATAATTGGCACATTAATCCGTAGTGGATAATCATTAGTTGCAACCCTACATTTTTCTTTTCTTTTATTCCAGGTGGCAGAGCTGGTGACCAGTGAGTTCTTTGAACAGGGCGACAGAGAGAGATCGGAGCTGAAGCTCACGCCCTCAGTGAGTACATGGAAGCATCTCTGTTTCACTTCTGTGACCTCCATGAGCCGGTGATGCTGAAGATACATTTTCTCCACGGTTCCAAAAACATACTGACTGTGTAGGAAACACGAGAGCTTGCGTTTCGTAGTGTGGGGAAAAGTGAATTGTCAGCTCGACTGCTCCTCTGCCTTGCTGCTGTGCCAAGATCAAACTGTGGATCATTCTTAAAAAAAAAAACTCCTCCTACACAGGATTCAAAGCAAACCCTGACCTTTCTATTCATTCAGCTGTAAACACAAGGCATTCTGTATTGTATTGTGTATTGGAGCTCAACTAGCCTTGACTGGCTGATAGTTGAGATGATAAATTGTCTCATACAGATGTAAAAACAAAAAATAAGAGAGTAATGAAAAGACTTTGGTCCTAACGAAGATGTTGTCTTAATTCATAATGTATTCATACTGTCCTCAAAGCCACAGCACCACATCAGAGGGGTACTGTGTGTTTGATTGAGGAGCTTTGAAGACTAAACTGTGTTGCAAGTTCTTAAAGGGGAAAAAACCAACAGCTTTCTGTGTGCAATTAATGGCTGTTGACTAATCGAGCCAGGCCACATTGCCTCCACTCTGAAATAACTAATGCAGTAGCCTCAGGTCTGCCGCGTGTGTCAAACCTTTACCGCTCTGTGTGTGGGTGTTGAAAATTAAATATTAACTTCCAAGTCGTAGCCCAGTAACTATCTCTGAAGCACAGCCTCATTGGAGCCTCTTAAGTTCAGGCTGCAGAAGAATGAGGTAGAAAAGAAAATGAAACGTGAAATAAACGCAGTTGTCTTGAGAGCTGAGAAGAGAATTATCTCTGACTAAAGCAGTAACAGCAGCACTTTAGGGACTGCGGAGAAAGCCTGACCTATAGTAGCCTTACAGTAAGCAGAATCACATTTTTTTGTTTCTCCACTGTGAGCACAAATGTAGGTGTGAATGAATTCTAACTTTTGCTGTTTCAGGCCATCTTTGATCGAAACAGGAAGGATGAGTTGCCGGGGCTTCAGCTGGAGTGGATTGATGGAATTTGTGCTCCGCTGTATGAGGTAACGCTCAAAGCTTCGCCGCTCTCTGGTCTTCATTGTGTTGCGCTTGTCACACACACACACACACACACACACACACACACACACACACACACACCCGCCTCTGACATCAGTATTCGCTGTCCTTCCTCAGCTATTGTCCCCCACTGACGCCATCAATGAAACTGTCACTAACAGCTATTCAGCTTTCTTTGCAGTGGCAGATTTCACTCTGAAAGAGAAATGCCTTTTTTTCTCCTTCTTTTTGTTGAAAGCTCTGACACAACTTCAAGGTTGCATCCTGTTCTTTTGAGAACAGCAGAATGAGTGTGCACTTTCTGACTGTGAGGAAAAGCTCAGAGGCAGTGGAGTGTGTGAATAGAGCTGTGATGGTAGTCGGGTTAAGTCCCCTCAGTAAGACAGTGTGCTTTGGGCTTTATTGCACAGTGATAAAATAAGCAAGGGCTGACTCTTGACAGTTGGCTAACACGCGGATAGAGAGGCTGATTTTTATTTTAAATGTTAGGGTAAGAGTTAGAGCTAGTGCTTATCTTTCAGGAAATTCATGGAAATCTATACTGTGTCCTCGCCTGTATAGTAATCTGTGTGCGTGTGTTTCTGAGTGACGTCAAGAGGCACACCTGGCCCTCCCACTGTCGGCAGCAGCGGCTGTGTGGGAGAAAGACGCAGGCTGACTTACTGAGGAGATCAGGTCTGTTAAGAGATGAGGCGTGTTGAGGTAAACTCATGAAAGCAAACAAATCAGACGGAGCAGTTGTGAAAGGAGTCAAGGATAAAATAGTTTATTCTTACAGCACCGGGTGATTTTCTGCTGCTTTTGTGCTGTTAAACTGTAAAGCAAGACCTCCTTCCTTTTTACTGTCATATTAAACACATTACTCTTAGTCATCGTGAGTAGACAACAAACGATAGATCATCTTCACATCTATTGAATTATCCCAGGATCAGTGTTGAAAGTTAGAGCAGACTAATCTTCTGGTTTCCCCATTGTTACTGGCTGTGTATTGTTGATAAAAAAGCATCAAAGCGGCATGTGTTGTCTGCCTAGGGTGTTGGGGGTGGGGGGTCTCAACACTGCCTCATATACAGGCTGATGTTTGGAGAATGCAGATATGGAGCTCACGATCATGCTGCTGCCAATTAAATTTGCAAGGGGGAGAACAGAGGAAGTACAGAGGCAGCAGGGTTTTTGTCCGTGGGCGGAAGAGATCTCGTTCTTGATCTCGCTGATCTCCTTCTCCTGGTGGTGGCTCACTACTTTGTGGAATATTAATCCCCCATTATATAACCTTCCATCTTTCTACCCCACCACATGACAGTCTGTCTGTTCTTCTTCTTCTGAGTCTACCTCAGTGGAATAATGATGACAGTGTCCCACGGTGGATTTATACGGCGGAGATGGAGAGAAATTGTTCTCCATTAGAAAATGATCTTTTTTAACTCACAGATGAGACAAATCCATAAACATGAAAGCAGTCAATGCATTCGGTTTTCTGTAGTTTTTGAAAAGTACAGCTGTATGCAGGCCAGATGTCATCACAGTTGATTTTTTTTTTTCTCACAATCAACACACACTTTTTTAACTCATCAGACTCTGCAACAATCATTTTCATGCAGATAACTTTCACCATGAATTGTTTGGTCTATGAAATAAATATAGAACTTCACTTCTTTATCCATAAAAGGACCTCGTTCTGGTCACATACAACGTGGAGGTTATTAAATTTGTTTATTTCGAATATATATGTAAGACAGAAACATCCAACAAGAAATAATAATTAAAACAAATCAAAATGACAGACTTGCAATGAATTAGATAAAATATCACTGTTATTGTTAATTATTGAACTGTTAAATGACATAATTTTGTGTCCAAGATAAAAAAAAAAATGAAATAAAGCATCTAAAAAATAATAACAACAATAAATACACCAGTCAGAATAGTGGCAAATTCTAATTTACTAAAGCCAAACTTGATGTCTTCAAATAGCTTGCTTTGTCCGATCAACAGTCCAAAACCCCCAAATTATTGATTTATAAACACAAAAAAAGCAGTAGATCCCTCTGTTTGAGAAGCTGGAACCAGTTAAAATGTTTGGCCAAAAGTACATAACTTGTTATTCCATTATCAAAATAACTGCTGATTAATTAATTAAATGAATTAATTTTCTGTTGATTCAGTTAATCAACGTATACTTCAGCGCCACATCGCCATATACAGTACAAATGCACACATATAAAGCCAAATACATAACTGAGGCAGTCCGACTCCGTAAACAGCCATTGACTGTATCTCAAATCACGAAAATGGAAATCCATATTGTCTCCAAGGTCGCCTTGGCATCACAGGTAGACAGCTTCATAATTAGCGGCACACATATTCCAGCAATTACAATATTATGAATTATTGAGTCACACGCAGCTTTTCAAAACACCCTTCAGGACCCACTATGAAATCCTAATGAAAAAAAGTGGGCAGACAGCTGTTTTTTTCAAACAAAGAAAATAGTCTTGATGTCTGAACTTGGCCACGTTATAGAGCTTTGCCCCAGTCGACCACCCACACAAGTGTTCATATGAATTAGTGAATACACCCTCTGAATATAAATGCATCTCCAATCGCCCGCTTGCATTTAAAGTTCAGTTAATTGGCAGCCGTGCTTAGCTGTGTTTTCCCCAAGTGTAACAACAGATTTGATTTCCCTTTCATACATACAATCCCTAGTGTAGGTGTACTCAGTTACCTACCTATTTATTTCATTCATTTCTATAATGGCTACCCATTCAACTCCCATATATGTGTGTGTGAATAAATGTCATTTTCATTGTTTTGTATGTGGGACCCATGCCCACATGTTATATTTCCATATGAAATGAGGTTATGGAAACAATAACTAATTACAGACTGCCCTGGAAATCCAATACACACAGCATGGGGAACAAAATCTCCTCGTCTCTCAGGTAATTTATTAAAATGGCGGATGGCAGCTTTGTCTACACTGCCACTTACAGTTCAACACAAAGGTAACTTATCACAGTCATACATGTGTTTCTAATCTTTAAAGAGCAGCCATTTCACTGCCTTAAACTATCACACTGCTGGATGTTGCTGTTATTGTAGCAGGGTGTTCTCTGTATTGTTTCATTTGTTTTGCCCATATAGTGCATTCGATGAATAATGTGCTGCTTTTCTAGCCCCAGTCTGTTCCTCTCATGTATTATCGCTACATTGTAGTCACAGAGCAAAGGACAAAAATAAATACCCGTCGATCTTTGAAAAACGCAGGAGGTCGTTTCAACCAAACTCCATATATTGATGGTATTTCCAGACTCCTCAATGACTCTAACCGTCTGAATGGAAAATGATTCTGTTTGACGCATGATAAAGATTTTTAACCCCTTTCTTAAATTGCAACTCTATTTCTTTATCCAGGTAGCTGGACGTGATATTATACAAAACAGGCAAAATATTAACATGGTATTTTGTATGAAAATATAAAATATTTTGAAAAAACATCAAGACTTCTTCCCTAAGCTGTCTGAGGCAAAGATCAAAGCCGGCATATAAATACGGGTATAATATATGTTTGTTATTTTCTGACTTTATATAAGACACAAATTTGCCCATTTTCTCGTTGGAAAGTACAGCCTCACAGAGCTGCCAGGTATTTTTATGAAACACAAATGCTGAGCGGTGTGTTCTGATATCAGTGAAATTGTAACACATGAGGGGCACAAACAGGGGCCTCTGCTTTTCATGATGATGGTATTTCTCCCCCCCCCCTCTAGACTCTGGTCAAGTTGAATCCCAAACTTCAGCCGATGCTTGACATGATCAAAGCCAACAGGGCCAAATGGGAGGAACTGAACAAGAAGAGACAACGTGGCCAGAGTGTTTCTCCACCCGCAAGCCCCTGCAGTGGCGACAGCACAGAAACAAGTGGCTATGCTGTGGCCAAAACGGGCTGCACACCCTGCTGTAGCGGCGATGCTGATGGCACACCATCTAGACCTTTTAGTTAGCTTCTGATGCCATCTCCGAGCTGATCTCTTAGGCTTATTTCCTCTTACATGCAGCCTGCAACAGAGGCAGTGCAGTGCATGCAGAGGGTCTTGGGCTCTGCTCCTCTTCGCTTTTGCTACTAGAGATGAGCTTTAGACTTGAGTGCGGCGCAATCATACAGGTTTTTCTGCTCCCTTCAGTCTTCCTGTGCTGAGGGCTGACAGAACTGTGTTTGGCAAGCTTGTCGGAGCAGCTACAAATCAGCTATGTCAGAAAGGAAACTCAAACCACTGTGTCAACATGTCAACCAGTGAGTTAACACTGACTATTCTGGGCAGTGCACAGATTTTCAGCACAAGGCATGGAGAATATACGAGAGGAATGTTCGTTGCTGTGGTTCGTTTTGCTCTTGGTAACGTTACCTCCTCGTTGCTCGCATTTTGTCCGGGGTAACAGAGATATTTTTTGTAAATCTGTACATACGCTTTTGGGTTATTAATAAGTGCTGTTTAAAAACAACCTGTACACACTGGATTGTGATGTGGCTGTAGAGTTTCTGAATTAAAAGGGGTGCAGGAACAGCAGGACCTGTGACATTGCTTGCAATGCAAATTGAGTGCCCCGCTCCTACCCTTCCTGTGCCTTGTTTTCAAATTCTAATGAAAAATGCATGGCCTCCTCATGTTAACCATGACATGTTTTTGCCATAATTTGTAAAACCAATGACTGCAGTTATGTCTTGACCCCAAGCATTAACATTACATATAAAAAAACTATTTTGCTCAATTTTATATATGCAGGATCTCACTTGTCACACACACACACACACACACAATGTGCCTTGATGACGTTGTTCTGATATCACAATCATTTCTGAAGAAAAGGTCCTTTCATCTACTGATGTATCACTAACCGCTGAAACATAAAGCAATGTAATGTTATTTAATATCAACTCCTCACTAAACTACATTTAAAATAATAATTTAGAATAATAGAAATTACACTTACTTGTGTTCTGGCGAAAAGTTAGATGATGAGACCACTCTCACATCTGTCTTATAAATATAAGGCTGACAGTTAGCTTAGCTTAGCACAAAGACTGGCAACAGGGGGAAACAGCTAGCCTGAGTCCGTCTAAAGGTAATTTGCCAACTAGCACATCTACAGCTCATTAATTCAAACATTATAATGACTTTATAATAAAGTCTGTTTAATCTGAACAAAAACCTACGTGTACTGTTGTGTCAGACTATTCCTCAGCTAGAAAGACCGGTAACTTTCTACCGTTTCGATGTTAGCCAGGAAACTCGTCTGAGACAAGAAACAGTCTGACATATACCCACCCCAAAAAACACCAAATTGCCTTTTACCTCTTTGGTTTTTGTACGGATAAGATAAATGGGATATAACTTGTTAGTCTGTGAACTTAAGAGGTGTTGGTTACCTTTGGATAGATTCATGCTAGACGTTTCCCTATGTCCTGTCTTGTGCTAAGTTACGCTAACCAGCGCATGGCTGTGGCTTTATTTAAAGGTGCCATAGAATGGAAAACTGTATTTACCTTGGTATAATTAAATAAATAATAAAGTTAGTTTCTTCCTTCATATGTAACTCTTGCACATGCAGAAGACCCCGGAAAAACGGGCGAATGCTACTATGCCAGATGTGACATATCATCTGGGATCAATAATATTAACGCCCCCAAAATTTACATATACCATCCGACATTACAGAGAAGCGGTCATATGAGCTCATTGAGCTACAGCTGGATCTCGTTCAGAATGTCTCAAAGAAAAGTGCTTTTATGGTTATGAAGAAAAGGTAAATATTTTCTGGTTTTCCCTCTGATGTCCTCTGGCTGCTCTGCCTCTGCGATTTATTAAGTTTCTTGATGGACAGATAGCTTTACTTGTTGCTAACACTAGAGTAACCGCTAGGTGCTGCTAACGGTAGCTACTGTTATCAGCTGGCTTTGAATCAGCGGTCCTCAGCTTCAGTACTAATGTTTGACCCCGGAGCACAAAGCTTCCAGAAACAGAAATAGGATGGCTAGCTGCACAGCTAACTGAGTAGCTATCAGCAGCTGCTGATAGCAGTAGTTAGTGGCTAAAGTAACTCGTAACATACAAACTCCTTACATCACCAAAAGTGGAGGCAGAGCAGCTGGAGGACATCAGAGGGAACAGACAATATTTCCTCCATCAACTGTAATCCAGTTTTACCGAAACCAGTGAAGAAAGTTATAAAGTTCTTTGTCCAGTACTGTACTGTAATCAGTGAGGCCTAGCATCATATAACAGAACAAATAGCTGTTTAGCTATGCCCCGCCCCTCTGCTGTGCTTGTAGAAGTTGGCCAATCAGAAGCAAGTGGGCTTTCAGGGAGGGTGGCCTTAAAGAGACAGGAGCTAAAACAGAGTGTGGTGGAGGGTGAGGAGGTGTTTTTGAACATTAAAGCATGTAACAGTTAAACATTTTCTAGTGGAAACCCTAAATACAAGTATGAACCTGCAAATAAGTATTGTACGGCACCTTTTAAGGGAAAAATATGAGTGTTATCCTCTGATCTACCTTGCCGCCAGACAGCAAATGAGCATATTTCCTAAAATTTTGGCCTTTTCTCAAAGCTCACAAATGCTACTCAAACAACTTTTACAATCTCCAAAAGAAGACTGAGACACTGAAACTTACAGTACTGAAGTGCCCATGCAGTCACAAGCTGTTATTATAAGCATTATGTTTTTGGGGGGGGGGGGGGGGGGGCATCCTTATGAATTGTGTTGTAGATTTGTTAATTGGAGTTTAAAATGTGACTGTGCACATTGTGTGGCATGGATCTGTGTGCTCTACTGTATTTTAAATGAAGAGCTGAATTGAAGTCGACTAGATTTTTTTTTTTGAATTGCATGTTTTATGCAGTATTAAATTCAACCACTTGCTAAGGATGTAGCAAACGTGAGCCAACAAATACCTCGTATTTTGTCATTATCTCATCGGAAATGCATGATTTAAATTCTATTGCATCATGTTATGTGAATTATGAATATTGCTGTTCTATTTTTCTATTAGGTCTCCAAATGTGGCCAACTTCTACTTTTTTGCAATGTATCCTGCTTCTTGTATTTCTTCTTTCCTCTCCCAGTTTAGGTTCATTTACAGCAGGCTAAACTGAAAGAAATGTAAGGCATGAAAAGGCAAATGTGCAATGTTTCTTTTCAGAGTTTAAATAAAAATATGCTGCTACACGTCTTCTGGTTTATTCTGACACAAAAGTACACTTTTCGAACACTGTACTCGAGTACAAACTTGAGATACTTCTACTTTATTTCCATTTAATGTTAACTTATATTCCAATAAAGTTTAGAGGGAAATATTGTACGTCTTACTCCACCACAAAATATAATGAATTGTTATAGATTAAACTACCCAACAGTAGATCAGATTGTTAAAATTAGCCCCACCTCTACGATAGTAAAATGCTTCTTACACTTAATTGCATTAGTAGTAACATTCTAATAATATAATAATGGAAAAGCACTCTCAGGTACCGTTTTTCTGCATTTGAAGTACTTTTACTTTATATTTCACTAATAATACATACATACCTTTATTTAAGTAACACTTTAAATGCAGGACATGTAATGGACTATGTCTATATTCCAGTATTGCTACCCTTACTTCAGTAAATACCTTCACCATGTATTCAGCCTCACAGTATTGTACAGTATTTCTCCCAATGCAGTGCTGACCTCATGTGGACAAATGTATTTTTACACATGGAATATGTCTCAATGAAATACTGCAGGAATACGCACATCTCTTTGAGATAAAACTAATGAATAGAAATGATGCAGTCTAGTTAGATTCATCTGTCATTCTGACACGAAAGTGACAAGAAAGAAAGTCTCAGCATAAAACTAGTGTGATATAGCTGCAGTGTATTTCATCGTCCTAGGCTGAGCTCTATTGCTGTTGATAGGTGGCGGTGATGTCATTAACCAGAGTGTGGGAGGCTGTGTGGGTGAAGATGACTCCCAAATGAGACTGAATGTAGAATTTTTTTTCCTGTCAGGGAGCAAAAGGTAGACTCTGTTAAACCGATATGTACTGGATTACCTTGAGCTCAGTGTGGCACAGGTAGAGGAAGAGCAAAACAAAACAAAATCCTGCGCCTATTGACCCTCCTGGCGCTGTCTTGAAAGCAGAAACAAAGGCGATGATGTATGAGTTGATGCAGATGATTTCTGTTGTATTTGACAAAAGAAAAAACAACTGGGATGTTTTAGTTCAATTTATTGCACAAATAGCATTGACAAAATGTACTTGTTGGCTGTTACAATGGTGTTAAGAGAAGAGGAAAATAACAAGAAAAAAAAAGGTATATCCATAACATTTACAAGCTCTCACACGTTTTTTGACAGAGGTAAAATGTCACATGATGGGTCCCTAATAAGTCCTCTTATTTGGGGAAAATGTTAATTAAAAGGACATGGTGGTCCAGGAAAATGTGACGCACAGATCAGAAGGAGAAAAAAATGCAAGATTCCTCAGAAAATAGCTCTTTTTAAGCTTAACTTCTTCAGAAGCGATGGTTAATAGTGACAAATAGTACAAGTTTGGTATCTAATTGTAGATCCATTCAAAAAACCTTTACACAGTACATATGCACTAATGAGGGAAACTACTTCCGAATGAATTTCTTTAACAACAATTATATGGAGCAGAAATAATTTAAGAGGGTCTCAAACGTCAGAAACATAAAGTAACCATATATAGATAGATAGATAGATAGATAGATAGATATAAATCTATATCTCTATAAATCTATCTATATATATAAAAAAGATATAAAGTTGTAGCATTTAACAGTCACAAATGTCTACAGCTCTCAGAAGGGTTATCTTTGCATATGCTGATAAAAAAAAATGCAAAATTAGCTGTGTATGAAGTTACTAAATGTGCGTGAAGGTTGTGGGTTACACAGTCAAACACATGTTTACAGTATGTTTGCATGATCTGATGAGTCTTTGGTACGATGTGAGCACCGGGATCCATAGGCCTAAAGATTTGAATACGCGGTCACACTGAAGCAGGAGGCATGATCAGAAAAAATAAACACAACACACACAGAGTCCAGAAAAAGTTTCTTATGGCAATAGGTCAGTACAACAAAAGTCATGAGGGTGAAGAAGATGAACTAGAGACACAGAAAACATCATGTCCAAGTTAATTTTGCTCCACAAAGGGACTCAATGCACACCAGCTGCGTGTATAGTAGGAGTAGGGGACGGCAGACAAAAGCTTTAGAAAGGCACAGAGCTTTAGAAAGCGCATTCATCTTGAACTTACCACTAAAGGAGTGCCATACACACACACACACACACACACACACACACGAAAAGTAAAAAAACACAGATGACTTAACCATGTTGGCAAGGTTAATAAGAAATGGTTAGACATAAGCAAATATGACAAAAATCAAGGTTTTGTTGCATCATGTCTAGTTGCATCGTGGCTGTAGAGGTCATGACCCAACAGCAAAAGTCAGTGTCACCATGAATGACAATGATTGTTACAGCATACTAAATGCAATATAATGTAAAAGAAAAGGTTTAGGTGAATCAATAAATGGCACCGAATGACACTTTAGATGAAAGACACAAGATTCGCTGTTCGTTTTTTAAATTCATAGTATCTATTAATCCAAAATGCACAGGGTGCTTTTAGAAAAAGTGGTGAAGTAAAGATGGACAGGAACGGGAAATTAAAGGAGGTTCCTGTTGCCGAAGATGTTATTGGGGTCCACATAGTCCTTGACAGACTTGAGCATCCCCATGCCGACATTGGAGACGGTCTCTCTCATCCACTCCTTCCGAAGTTTCCCCACTGAATGACAGGAGAGAGAAAATAAATAAATAAATAAACTCAAGGAAGAGGACCGAGGGGGAGAAATAGAGGAATCGGCACGGCTGATTGCTCAGCAGGCTGCTGGGAGCCAATCAATCTTGTGAGAGTGAGTGAATAAACAGAGGGTGATAAATGCTTTTATTCAGAGAGGAGAAATGTTTTGCATGGCATGATTTATGGAGCTCAGCAGACTATCAAACTCATTAGGCTCTGTGTGTTCCCAGAGGAGGGGCCGGCTGGCGGCTGTAGCGGGCCGTCCCCGGCTCCCTCACTCTTTGAGCCACCACTCCCCTCCATTTCCCTCCCTCCAGAGTCACTGGAGCATTTTCTCTGTGTGTGTTTCTGTCTCATTGTGCACACGAGCGCGCTCCTCCAGCTGACCCGCGAGGCTGTTGTGCTTGCTTGTCCTGAATGCCGCTCTGCACCCTCTGACACTGGCCTGATCACCAACAGGGTGCCAAAACCAACCACGGAGCACCACACAATGGTCCTCTGTCAGCGGGACTTTGGCTTTCAGCCGCTCTTCACCCTCCCTCCTCCTCCTCCTCCAAACCCCTAACCTGAGGAGCGAGAGCGGCTGTGGCACGAAGCCTAGTGAGGGTGCCCATTGCTTCACCAGCTGTCCAGTCCGACATACTCCACAGCTTCTGTACCCGAAAGGTTCTTAGCGGAGATTCTGGAGCCAGCGAGTGGTCTGTTGACTGCGGAGGACGGAGAAAACCTCACTCGAGAGCCAAACTCTAGTTAGGGAACTTGAAATAAAATAAAAACGTTTTAACCCCAGACACAATGAAGTCCAACTTTGAGCTTTCACATTTTCTATAGATGCTGAGGATTTGAATTCAACATTTTTGTTGTTTGGCATTTTGCTTTTATTCGATAGTGGAGATAGAAGAGACAGACAAAAAATAAGGGGTGGGCAGGGGGAGTGACAGCCAATGAAACTCCTGCCCGAGCTAAGCAGGCAACGGCCCCAAAAACCCTAAGAGCCCCAAAAGCCTCAGGCTCACCGTTAATAAATTACAAATTTGTTAAAGTATTTGAACCACTAAGGTACAATATCAACTGACGTGGACCTCCCAGTATTAGCTTACATTGGTATATATTTCTAAATAAATTGGATGTTTAATAAATTTACCACAATAGAAGTCCAACTGCTAATGTTTGCCCCAGCACCACCTAAAAGGCTAATCCTGTAATGTTTAGCAGAGTCTAATTAGCCAATTAAGGAAAAGAAAAATAATGAATCAATCGTCAATTGTCAAAAAAGCCAAAACCTCTCTGGTTCCAGTTTCTCTCAAAAAAATAAATGATAAGAATGAAAACCACTGTTAATAGTTGCACCTTTAGGAAATCAGTTTAGAAAAAATAACTAGTCATTATCAGAAGATTTTATTAAATAAGGCAAAGAGCCTTAATCAAAGGACTTGAGGTTGGCTACATTACTAAAAGAACCAAAAATGAATGAAGTGCAACCACCAACAGAAATTAACATAAAATATGTCAGATCTGAGCTGGGTAAATGTTAACTTTTGGAGGTCATGCCAACTTCAAAGAAACACATGATATCTATATTCCAAATCTCAAAAAGATAAATTTGAGAACAGAGCGGCAGAGAACAGGTGCTGCTCGCTGAGTAAACACTTGAAACCAGCAGTCTAATCATTTCAGATTAGATACAGAGGCCTGAAAATAGGTAAGGTGTATGATGGGAGTCTTCACACGCCTTCCCTTCCCTCTCTACACGCCTCTCCTTGCATCACTAGCAGGAGAGCTCCATAGGGCATGTTGAGAGAGCGGGCCGCCGTGATGCATTGGTGCGCCCTGTTATCAGAGTCCAGCCAGTAAAACCCAGATGGGGATCAGCCATGAGGCTGGTGAGGCCCATCTCCTGACAAAACAGGGCAGACAGCAGGGTCACCAGGGACTCTGATACCACACGCACCTCCAGATGGTGACAGAGGGACCAATCAGATGCTACCCAATAACTAAGAAAGTACCCTGCTCTTCCCAACCTCCTCCTCCTTCAGTCCTTCCTCCTTGTTCCACCTCCGTCCCTCCCTCCTCTCAGGAAAAGGAGAGAAAACAGAAGGTGCTGGGACTGCATCATTGCCTCCATCACTGTGATAATTTACACATCTATCTTGTCATATTCTCTCTTTTTTGCTTGCTATTGCAATCAATCTCTCCAGGCTTGGTCTGTGCAGCTGAGACATGCAAAGAAGTGCAGGTAGTTATTTCAGAAATGACAGATTTATTGTTTTTGTCATATTTTTCTTGTGTGAAAAAGCGCCGGGGCAAAGGCAAGAGGGGGGATTCACTAAATCAGGTCATTTTTCTATCTTTTTTCTATCCGGTTGGCAAGGCTAGTGAGATTGGAGCTTTGCAGGGCCACAGGGTGAGGATGCTGGGCACCCCAGGGAGGCCCTTATACAGAGGAGACTATAGAGGCCAGGGTGAGCCTCAACCCCTCGACACGCTGCTCTCACTCCTGTGGGGCTGCTCTGACAAATGGGGGTCAGGACATGGAAGACAGGGTAAGGTAGTGGCCCTGTGCTCCTGTGATATGGCCGAGCCGGAGTATTGGCTGAGAACCCACGGTGCAGGGCTGATAGATGGATGGCTCTCGTGGTGATGGATGTTCAACAACTCTTCACCGCTGTGACACCGGTGACCTAGTTAAAGAGGACATTTTCTCCCAGTTTTCTCAAAACCAGCGAATAATCAAACATATAACTGAGCTTTTGCCTTTAAGTAAGTGTGATAAATCTGGCTCCATCCAAAGTTAAAATTGTCAGTATTTCTGTGGGCAGCAGTCAACACATGGTGTGAGCTGAGTATTATGTCCTGCAGAGAAACAGGTACAGCACTCTACACGCCCAGATTCACTTACCTACGCCCACGCAGCCCCAACACTGACCTGCTGTAAATACAGGGCCACAAAAATGTATATTTCCTGTGGTGCCCTCCCACCTCACCATCCTTGACTACATCTGTTTTGTTTGATACACAAAACCCAGTGAAACTAGCTCCATTTGTCAAACGCTGATTGTGGGCAGACAAACCGGTCTGTCTGCGCCCAGATAGCGAGCCCCACTGTTATTAATCACAATTACAGAGTGGGCCTCGCACGCAGGAGCTGCATCAATATCCCCTCCTCTCCCCCCTGTCACCTCCCCGTGCTGCTCGGGGTGGCTGGGCCACCGTTTGGAGGTCAGTATACAGCCAGCGATAACGGCGGCATCATTTACCCCAGCCGGCCGCCTCCTTTTTATTAGCAATCTTTTAATTTTGAACCCGTCCCCGCCTTCAGGAAAAATTGTCATTTAATATCACAGCTGATTCACTGCATACTGTTTTTGACAGGTGTGATGAATAGCCTGAAGTGATGTATGAAAACAGCGAGGCGGATGGCAATATAGATAAGGCAGCCATTTCGGTTAGCCCTGATGGGGCCCAGAGAGTTGTTTTGCCGCCCTCCCCTGCTCACGTTTCATTTGGTCACTGCTGAAAATGAACAAATAGCCGAGTCCGAGCCATTCGTCTGAGCCACAGGAACATCTTTTGGACACGAGGGAAGCAATGAAAGATCTCTGACCAAATGCACATTTACGGCACGACTGGCCGCCTGCTCACTAGCACGGAAGAGCTAACTGGGAAAGCTCACCATGCTGTCTTTGCCACTCAGTGCAACCTTTTCCCATAAATTATAATCTAGGAGACAGTGTGAATATCATGAATTATGTGCACCTGTTTAGTACATGTTTGCAAAAACAGACCCAATATTTTTTTAGATGAATTTTTCAGGTTGTAGTACCTCCATGGTGATGTGACAAGCTCCCTCCATTGGCAAGGATCTCTTCTCTAGCTGCATGCTGGGAAATACAAATAACATAAAATAAAACCACATTCAGTCATACTATATAATACTTTATTCTGACATTCACTCTCTGGGGTGCTGGAGATGTAATTAGGATCTATGAAAAGACTGTACTACGCCATAATGTTGATAAAAATCAAACTGGTCGTACCTCCACTTGTTCATACACATGTATTGGATCACTGAGTCCCCTATAGTTGAAGGCAAAGTAAAAGTAGACACACGCACCAGCGTCGTACGTCTGAGTCACCCTGTAAGAAACAGGTAAGAGTTGTGTTTAAACAAAAATATTCCTTAATGTTTCCCCTTCAGCTGTGAATTTACATAAAAACAGAGAACAGTGTTTTGTCAAGGAGCACCATTTTCATACAACAAATGCATTTTTTCCCCCATCATAATCTGAACACAAAGTAAAATGGGAGGTTTGGTTTTCCCCTGTGAACCCCTGACCTCATTTCCATTCATGGTTTCCAGAAAGCGGAGGCAGCTTGGAAGCTTTGTCACCTTTAAAAACATAACATTATCAGCCCTTAAATGGCTATCAAATGCTTTTACTGAATCATCTAAGCCATTAGTCTCTTTGATGCGGGACAGAAAATTGACCAGTTTGTTTGTTTTACACAGAGCTAAATATCCTTACTGTTCACGTGACTGCTCCTAGATAAAATGCAACTTTGATTCTCCCATCAGTAACATGTTTAACAACCACTTTGTTACAAATAAAATGATCTACAGATTGCCCGTTCTCTCTCTGGCTTCGTTTCCCTGCGGAGGAGCAGGGTGCAGAGCCCTTGTTCATTTGACATGGCCCATCACCTGGCACACTGACTGTTCTAGAGGTTAAATGGACAAATCAATCATGTGACAGACTGCAGCCGGGGAAATGAATGGCTGCAGCATAATCAGGCTGAGGCCTAATCTGTCCGCAATCGGCGAGCAGAAGCCTGGTGCTTCTCAACCGGCTGGCCTTCTGTTTGTCACTTTGTCCGTCTGTCTGCTTGTGTGGCTCTTGGTAACTCACCAGGGGTCGGGTGTAGGACTGGGTATGTGACCTGAATACCTTTTTTTTTTTTTTAATGTATAGATGATATACCAAAAGTTGGCAATGAATGTCTGATCAGATTCAATCCAATAAATTATTGGCCACTATTTATTCCTGTTTGAGTAAAGTTTGCTAAAAACTACAGTGCTCAGCTGGTTTACAAAGTTACTTTGCCTTTTTTTTTTTTAACGATAAAAGAACATATTTGTGACCCATTTTTAGAGATTTTTGTTTTCAGTATTAACACAGACGGGGTAGGGAAGCAAGAAAGTATCAAAAGACATTGGTTTTGGTCTCTTCATGGGATATGGTGACTTTGGGTTCTTTTGTTAAATGAAAAAAGGGATTTGTAGAAAAAATGTTAATACTTGTTGTTTGGTTTTACTGTTTTTGTTCAGAAACTTAGCACATTGTATCTGCATTTGTCTGTTGTTGTTGGTGGTTTTAAATGATATCCAGCCCTAATCTGGACCTATATGCATTAAGACTGTCATTTGCAAACATTACCTGCATGTGGATAACGGTGTAAACTGCACTCCTCTGTCTTTACACTCTCGAATGATGCGTGCCTTTACGTTTCTGCAAATGTCTAACACCCTGGAAATAAAGTAAATGGCAGAATTAAAAAAAACAAACAGATAAAACAGAATTGCCAAATGACATTCAAGTTTCACAACAAAATCACATCCTAAACTGTGACATTTGTGTATTTAAAACATAATAGTTACATGTATAGGGAACTCACATTAAAAATTATTCAAATTCAGAAAAAGGCCAGAAAAGGGGAGCAAGAGGAGAGACTGACTAACATGATGCCCATTGTGGGAGAGGTTCCCACTGGTGTGGAAATGGCCGCCAGTACTAAGCATGTGCAGTCATGTGTGGAGAGTGGAGGATGGGGAGGAGGATGGGTAATGAGCCAGGCACATATGCTCGCCTCAGTGCCTGATCTCTTGGTCTCTCCCGTCAGGCATGTTACACAACATAGAGCTCTGTGTGCTCCTGGTTGTTGTTGATGTTGTATGTGTCTGTGTGCGTCTGTGACAAAATGATGATGAAACCATGTAGAAAATGCAGAAACTCACCACATGTTGATGTGAGATAAACATGTGGCTCACATTGCATTTCCTCACACAGATAGGACTCTCCTGGTGTGTGTGTGTGTGTGTGTGTGTGTGTGTGTGTGTCACTAATGGCGTGTTTGTAGGCTGAGGAGTCAACGTTTCCGCCAACACAGAGGCAGTTAATGTGGGGAGGGAGAAGGCAAGCATGAAGGTGAATGTCAAAGAGAAATAAACTAGAGGAGGAGAAACGGGAGAAAGAGGAAGAAATAGGACTATCTTAGGACAAACTGTGTGGGAGGTGAATAAGGAAAAATGTTTACAGCTATTTTAATTAAACTGAGAGAAGCCTACAGCTCATATCAGTGTATTTACCTGTCCCAAGGCACAGAGGTTTCAAAAGACTCCCCGATCACATAATAGTCCATCCCCAAGTCCTGCTCAGAAGACAAAATTAGCATTAGCAGGCTGGTAGGTTAACGGTCACTGAGTTAATTTCATAGACTGAGTAAAAGAAGGTATATTTATATGAATACTAGAAACCAGGTCAAAGTGTGTGTGTGTGTGTGTGTGTGTGGGGGGGGGGGGCTGCCTCTACAGAAACCGAGTTTCTCATACATATATATTGTTTAAGAAAACATTTTACCACGAAAGCCTGAAGAAATCAGGTTACTTAAGTGCATGTAAACTCCTTGCTTCGTGTTTGTGTGATGATCAAAAAAGGCCTCTGACAGGACTGACCTCCATTGTCATTTTGACAGCAACCACTGTGCTCTCCTCATGATGTAGATACCTAAGTGTTAGACACCCTGACAACAACTGTGACCAGATCAAATCATAGACCTCCCGAGGTCACATTCTGCAGCCTTTCTGTGTGGCTCACTATCCTATCTGCTGTCAGACTGAATCCTCTCCGCTGTCGCCGCTCAGGCAGGAAAAAAAGCCAAAGGACCCACCCGAAGGTAAGCGATGACGAAGGTCAACATGTAGCCTCTCTGCCCATTGTCCTCTCCAGCTGCCAGGCCCCTGGAAGCAGATAACAGGGTTAATATTTAATAGCTCTTTTCTTTTAGCTTTGTTGGTCAAACCGCTACCCTCACAACAGCAGCCTGGGAGCCTGTCAATCCAACAATGTACAGATCAATGCAGCTATGCTCTGTGTATCGCCACAGGTCAGCCACACATCCATCACCAGCAGTGGGTAATCAAATTTTCATCTACCGCCCAAACTAATCAGGCCAAGCTCATTAGAAAATCACTATATTGATTGTCACCCTTCTTCCCGTTTCCCAACACCACAAGAAAATATTCCTCCCAGAACCGCACCAATCCATCAAAGGCACTTGATCTGATGGGTGACCGCGATTTATTTGAAATAATGCTATAAAAGCAGAGGATGCTGCGTGTAACTGACAGGTTTCTTGTGATTTAATTGCTTGCTATTACCAGGGCAGTGCTCCACCTACCTGCTAAATCTAGGCACTGGGCCAAACAGTAACACTAACAGTAATATATGATCGATAAGCCTTACAAGGAAGAAATCCCTGATAATGCCCAGTGAGGAGCACTAAGCATCCCTGGTTTGTCCCCTGCTTAAACTGTGGCTGTAATGAGCATTTGGTTTCTGACTAGCTGGTATTACTTTCAAATGATTAAAATATATGAAGAATAGAGTGGAGACTTTTACATCAATTTTGTTTTATTGTAAGAAACCTTTTTGTTGACCCCAAAACTATATTAATTACTACTTAATTTCTATATGTATAGACAGTAGATATAAAGGCTCAGTATTTTTCTTTTTACAGACTTTCAAGTAAAGATCGGTGATTGATCTGCCAGTAAATTCCTGTTGTGATAAAAACATATCGGAAAATATTTTGGTAATAGGATATAAAGAGAAGAAAATCAGAAAATGCAAACTAGTGGCTAATTTTATACGTCCCTTTAAGGGAGTTGGAAATAAAACAAAAAACTGAATGGCTGAGTTGTTATCTTTAAAATCACGCCCCCCCCAATATTCAGAATATACAATTATAATACATAACATAATAAACCCTAAATATGAAGATGGCATTTTACAAAAGGTAAAACTCTACTATTACACAATTACCAATGTTAAGCACAGAAAACATTTCTAAATTTCAAACACCCCACTGGATCATCAGAACCACAAACAAACAATAACTCCAAATCACAATAACCAACTGGACGGCACATTGCTTCATTTATGTTAGGAAGAACTCATTTATAAAACTGTTGTTAAAGGTTTAAAAACAGGCACAGGGTAGAGAGAACATCCCTCTCAGGCTGACAGGTAACTGATTTCCACCTAAGTCCTCATTGATCCGTTTCATGATCAATCACAACAGCGAAGGACTCCCAGGCTGTCTCCTCTCGCCCTGTGCTGTCCTTAGGGGAGCTGTGCCCTACTATCACCGCCCACACCACACCTACTTTAACATAAAAGCTGGCCTGACAGGAGGAGGCGCACATGTGATCCATCAATCCACACTGAGACAAACTACTGAGTAGAAGGCCAAGTCTGAAGTGTGTAACTGTGCTTCTCCATCCTTTTCACCGCTACTACATAATGGCTGGTTAAATAAAGTGACATCGGGGCCTCAGGCAGCTCCCTATCATGTTCAAAGTCACAACAAAAGGTGCTTTGTCATTTCTGTGCATTCCATGGCCGGGCTCTGCAAATGAAGACAGGGAGAAGAAGAAGAGACTACTTACCCAAATTTAGCAGCAATGTCATAAACTTGCTTCTCATGCTGCAGGACCTTCTCACGGTCGCCCTCAAACAGTAGGGTGGCCACACACAAGCAGTTTGGGTCGAACCCTTTGAACTGGTGATTAAACAGGCCGATTAAGTTGTCATGAAAAACACTTGGGGCGAGCAACTGGTGATGTTCACTTCTAATTTTTTTTTTTACCTTGGTGATGTAAAATTTCTTCAGCCCATCCACAAAGGACGTGAAAATTGAAGATACTTGAGGCTTCAGGGCATGACCTGTTAAAATATCAGATAAGAGTCAGCTCCATCTACTCACAAGGAAGTGGGCCTGAAAAAAACCCGATAATTTCTTTCACACATTCTTCATACCCCTACTTCTGCTTGCATCCTCCAGCGTTCTGAGAGGGCAAGCGAGTCAGATTTATTTGAGGTTTCAAACAAAAGGAGGAAAAATAAATGGTAAGATTTGAATAACTTTACAACTGGCCAGTGGCTGCCAGCGACAGCGACTATAAATCAGAGGGATTCCGAAGGGAAGTGGGGTTGACACAGCGATATCCGTCTTCCTCACCCACACTTTTTGATTTATTCCTGATTGGACGCACAAAAGTGCCTGTGGACAAGTGAAAATGAGGGGTTGGGGCCAATGGGATGGTTATCAATCACAGTGGGGAAGTCACGGGTGATGTCGCCGAGACTTAACAGTTCATTTATTTCCCCCCATGCTCAAGTCTCTTCATCACTTAGTGTCCTAATTGTTTCCATTCCAAAATTTGATTGCAGGTCTTTAGGTCTCTTGCAGCCATCATACTCGTTAATTAAATACTCAACATCCAGAGAAAGAAAAATACACCTACATGGTGCATTATTTCACTTTTAACTCTCCCCTCTGTGGTTTGGTTGTTGTTGTTTTTTTGCATATTAACACATGCTGCTACTTACTACAACATTCTCATTTCTCATCTTGTGTATCAAGGAAGGCAGTGCTAAATTGTAGTCCCAATCTGAGAAAGACCTGTGAATACATCAACTCTCCTTACTCAACAGCCAACATGATTAAAAGTGAGGACACGCCACTAATAAGCCCAAGAAGGTATCATAGAGCCATGAGTTTTAGTTATTAGTGAAAAACCTGGTCGCTTCATCTTCCCTACTTAATGCTTAGAAGTGCCTACTCTGTGAAAAGTGGAAATATAGGGGAGATAATGAGATCCCTGGAGACTGGGGAACTTTACAGAGATCTCTGGCAATGCCAGATGCATTCCACTAGACCTTAAGAAACAACATCATATAATTTCAATGTAACAACTGCTTAGTTTTGGCCAGGGTAATTTTTCATCTTGCTTCAATTCTTTGTCTGTGTGTGTGAGCAGCTATTCTGCCACAGAAATGATAATCAATTCAACAATTCAGTGCTGTAGACGGTAAAATCATTTCATGCTGTACAATTGCCATTCATTGTTCTTCTCTCAGCCCACATATTGACAAAAAATACAGTGTGAGCAACAAATTCAACTCAAATAAATATGATTATTATCATGATGCTGCCATGTGCCTCATGTTGCAAAGCTCAGTGAACAAAGCCAAAGGTTACATTGGACATACTGGAAAAAAAAACAAAACACATTTCCTGAAAATAAAAAACAGGTCAAAGTTCTACTTGTACACTGAAGGGTCACCACATAGCAATTAGAGGGCTTAAATGAGAGTGACGTTCGTTTACAAGAGATAATGACAGCAGTAATATGTAATACATTAAGTTGAGGCTGGCCTTTATTATGAATGATCAAACTAAACTTACCAAACTGAAATTGTTCATTATCCATGAGTCGTATAGATGCCGGGGCACACCTCTGAAAAATAATAATTTGGTCTTCATTAGTTTGTTTGATTCACAACTTCTACAAAATGATGTCAAGAATTACGTCAAATCACTGTGCCAAAATAAAGCTTCCCAATGGCATCAGACCAATTCAACCAATATTTATTGTCAACATTTAGTGTAACTGTTGTGGCTTTGAAGCTTTTGTTCTCTTGTTCTCACCGTCAGCCAGGGGCATTTTTTTGTAGCAGAAGAACAGAAAAGAAGGCGAAAAAAGGACAAAGTGGAAGAAATACATGAACATACTGATTTACCACAGGAATTGACCAAAGAACACGGATAAAGGCTGAGTGGGACCAGTAATGTCGGACATGCCACAAAAACTATGGGCAATAGCTGGCCACAGATGCTCAACAGCAGCTGACAGAAGACTGAGGGCTTGGTGTGTGAGGGCCTTCAGGCCACAGCAGTATATACTAAACCCACCATGTTATACCAGTGAACAGAAAGAACTAACTTAGTAGAGGCCAAAGTAAGAGGAGCAGTAAACTGGAGCCATTGCACTTTTAGGGTGCTGTGAATACAAACACAACACTTTCTGCAGTGTCTTAGCAGTAAAGAGTCTCAACATAAAAGTCTGCTTAGGTTTTACTGTAAGATTTTTGTTATGGGGAGACAGCTACTGTATGCTTGAACTATTAAGGTTTCAACAGGGAGTACCAGTTGGTCTAAAAATAAAAAAATAAATGTTGCTGCTTTTTGTTGGCAGGTCGGTTTTAAACAACGAAGAGGTGAAGTGAAGACCTGAAAGTGCTTATTAAATTTCATTCCAAGCGTTTCTCGTAGCCTCATGTTGAGACAGGGAGAGAAAGCAGTGACAAAGTGCAACATGTTCAAGGACAGACTGACATGTTACCTGTTTGGCAACCTCTCGAAGACAGGCAACTCCCTGCTCAAAATTAGGAAATACCACAGAGCCGTACTTCTGATACTCCGGCACGGGACGGATCTTCAGTGTTACCTCAGTAACCACACCCAGAGTTCCTGTGGAAAATCACAGTGAGAGATTTTGAGTAGAACAAAAAGAGGTAAATCAGTTCCCATAATTTATATGACCTAGCCCCCTCTTAGAGCGGACCTTAAGACCATTTTACAGGGCTCTGGTACACGTCCCAAGGGTCCTTTGGGTGACCTTTGTCTCACATTTCACCAAGTAGATCTGGTTTTCTACCACACATGGGGGGGACACCTAAGATTTATCAACTTAAAGAGCACAAGGAAATAAAGCAGGGCTCTATCAAAGGCAGTAACGCCAACAGCAGCATAACGTATACAGATACAGCTAAAACCTCTGGCTGACCTCATGACCCTGAAAACTGTCAACCATTAGCTGCTGCTGAAGGAATCACATTGGATGTTTAAAAACAAGAGTGTCTACTCTGGCCTTACAAAGCAACTATGTCTGGGAATAATACTTTAATTGCTTTCATCCAAATATCACAGTAATATAGTAGACTGTTACTGAAGTGTGTTTAACTTTGTGGTTGTTGATGTGATTGTGAAATGATAGATCAAGCAAAATGCCACAGATTAATGGTCCAGCTGCTTTTCTTTTGCTTTACATTGACGTAAATTAAATATATTTGGATTTTGGACTGTTGGTTGAACAAAACAAGATGTCACAATGGGATCTTGTAACTTGTAGTTATATATATATATATATAACTATGTTTTGGCTTTATCTGATACAACAATTAATAAAAATAAATAAATAAAATCAACAATGAAAGTCAGTATGTGAATTGTATCTGTGTGAACCAAACCCATTACCCCACCTCCCAGCCTGAACGTTCTGTGTTACTACAGACGATCATGAACATACCCTGTTTCATTAGGAAGCTGCCTCACTCAGCCTGTTATGGCTGTTAATGAGCCCTCTAACGTGACACTACATGCCACACACTGCTCCCTAGTGGCCCAGTGAAAAGCATGTGACTCCATTAGGCCTCTGCCAAGAAGAAAGGCCCCTCCCTCCTGAGAGTATGCAGGAGGAGCCACCAAGCAAGCTAGCAAGGGAGGAGGAGGGGTCAAAGAGGCAGAGGCAGATGCAGAGGCAGAGGGAGGGGGAGAGAGAGAGGGGGCACTAGGGAGGAGCTAGAGTGGAAGGCAGTCAAGGAGGGAGAGGAATAAAGGGAGGTAATAAGAATAGCAAGGTCAGAAAAACACACTCTTGGGGACTAATGCAATGAAATGAAATGCTGGAGTGCAGCTTAAGCCATTTTTACTGCTACCGTCTCTAGTGAACCAAACTCATCTTCCAGGATTGGTATTTGGGGGGTGGGGGTACTATTCGTGATGAAGAGTCTCTCTGCTTTCCGCCTCAAAGATTTCTGGGTGAAAAAAAGCTGAGTGGACCAAAGCCCCTTTGGGCTATACAAATAAAACTGACTTGACACTGAAGCCACCACTTTGGGAATCAAAGAACTGACTCTGTACATTAAATTAGCACTGGTTGGCTTCACACACCACCATTACACCCTCCACAGTTGAGGAGTTAAAAGGATTATTATTGATTATTCCAACCACTCCTTACACTGGTTGAAGCAAGAGAGAAGAAAATCCTTTTGCATTCATGCTTCTTCAAAGTCAGCGAGATAGTGCGACCCGGTTGTTGTGCAGTGAATGAGAAACTCGATTTTTCACAGTAATTTCTGATAAAATGGATGCGTTCCACTTAACATGCAGAGCATAGATGAGGGTTTTAGTGTGGTGCTTTGCTGTTGTTGTTGTTGTTGTGGCCTGCTGTCAGATAATTTTAATGAAACTGTGCGGTGGTGTGACCTCTTAGTTCTAGCGTTCAGCCTCGCAGAAGTACATGTAATCCAAGAGACGTGTGGTCCTGTCCCATCTCCGTTACAGCACCACACCCCAGAAGCACGCCCACCTTCAGATGTTTTACACGACAAGCTCTTATGCGCTTGCATTATGAAGCTTTATTTTAACTATTCACTTTTAAAATTATGTGAAGAGTTGGTCAGATATTAAAGAATCATAAGAAAAAGCACAGTATAGCTAGGTATTAAATTCAGTATAATTCAATTTATAAGATCATGGACTCTGAGCTAACCGAGTCATACACACTAACAATAAATATGGCTGTCTTAAAATAACATATTGCAAAGATGGCAAGTGTCTGATTGTGACCAGTTTATACAGATTTAGATTGACTAACACATTGACGCTTATACTGTATAAGTTCACCAGCACAGTCAAGATGCATATTTAAAAAACTAATATTTACGCAAATGTAAACACAAAAACTCTAAAAAAAAAAAACAGTTAAAAATGAATAAATGAATCGCAGTCACTCAGACTGAAAACTGTTAATCATTATATCAACTAGTAAGAATGCCTTCATAATACTGAAACAGTTTTAATTGTCATCTACATTCATTAGTCACTTGTTACTATATTTTTGAACACATTTAGAGATTTCTGCAGTGATCCCAGTGCAGTCAGGGAGCAGACTGCTGAGCTGTGTAGGGCGAATATAAAGTTTGCCTCCACAGCTGTTTAACATAGCGATGCCAAGAGTCTCTGAACCCCCTCATTATGTAGGGGGAACCTGGCATATGGCAGTATTCTCTGTGGGCATTCACAAGGACAGGGCACTGCAGATGGGGTGTGGAGGACACTTGCTGGCTCCTAACTAACACCCCTCCAGATCACTTTCACCAAAGCTGGTTAATGTGTAAGAAGCCCAGAGCATGAGAACCTTCCTGATGTTACTGTTTTATCACAAAGACTTGCAAACATCCACACAAACCCACACACACATGCTCTGGTGTACTGAAATCACGAGAAAGGTAGCAAACCTTCTGAGCCCATGATGAAGTGGTGAATGTCCGGGCCCGTGGACATGCGTGGGCCCTGACAGCCCTTTTCTATCACCCCTCGTGGGGTCACCATCTTTACATGGACGACCTATTTAGTCAGAAAACAGCAACACAACAAACACTTTTTAGAAACAAAAATGTACAAACAGTAGTAAACTTACAAATTTTGTCAAACATTATAATTTAGATATTGCCATGTGTGCCACATGTATGAGCAGACTGACACTGTGACCAGTGCATTTGAAAGTCCACAAAACTTTTGCTAATAATTTTGTTTCTAATTATTATACAATAACTGTTCTGTCCTTAATCTAATCCCGAGTTTGGAACAAACATGAGCAGGAATGTAAAGAGGAGGGCGTGCAACTCACCAGGTCCTCAATATTGCCGTAGATGTTCTTCTTCATGCCTGATGCTCTTGTTGCTACCCAGCCCCCCAGGGAGCTGAACTCCATGGAGTCAGGCTCATGCCCCGTACAGTAGCCACTCTGATTGAGCTGTAAAAAATTTAAGGAAAACATGCATTTGTTGTTGTATGCCAAAAATGTCTGGAAAACAATGGCGTGGTAAACCCACAAGAATGTTTTAATAACAAGCAAGAAGAATGAGCAAGCAAAGGGAAAAAAATAATTGCAGCTCTGCTGCTGAATTTCACTGCTCTCGTTTTGCTGCAATGCTAAAACTCAGGTTTTATGGCATCATAGATTTTTTTACAACAGCTTAAAATAACCCAAGTGGAAAGAGCAGGAAAACACTAAAAAGAGAGATCAGTGCATTATTTGGGCAGTACCAAATTCCACTGCTTGACTGGATAACTGATGTTAAAATAGCTGTATTCTGCCAGGTGACATGTTCAGGCCTTTTAAAAAGGAATACTAGTAAAATTTAAGTTACAGAAACTTCACTTCTACACGTTTATGTAAATCTGTGTGTCAGAAAGTCTTGATGGAAGATTGCTGCACAGTAGGCTTCTGCAGCCCCACCCAATCCACAAAATACTGAGTGACTTCTTGGTTACTTGTCACATGGCCGTAACAATATGAAAATGTACTTGTGTAATGTAATTTTGGAGTGCGACATCCACAGAAAAAAACATCCTTTGAGCAACCCCCAACAACCTTCATCAGATGCACCATCCCTACAGCTTTGAGGAGACTGTGTAGGTCATCAGGAACCCACACGGCAGCCCAAACCCGAAAAGATTGCATCTTTAGGCAGAACATTTAGTAGTAATAATAGTAAGGATCTTAAAGTACAACAACAACACTGGCCAGAAGCACAAGACGCGGGTTAAGTCAGGCCTGGATTTATCACAGCCCTCCCCTAGAGGAAGTTTATAATGCAGACCCATCTGCTCCATCAAAATGTCCCAGTCTAAATGCAAAGGTGGGGTCTGCTTTAGATGCAGCTCATGTATTCCTCTACATTAAATGCCCGCTCCTTCTCCATTTTTCTGAATTAGCTTGATGGTGCCATCTGCTCATGACCGCCGACTCACTCTCTAATCTCTCTCCTTCAGCGCTCTGCTCCTGTCTCAAACTCCTTCCTAAACACCGATCTACTGAGCAAAGACCACCAAGGTGACTGAGCGTGGGCAGCCTGCATGTGAATGGTCAAGCAGCTCGATTGCTGGCACAACCTTTTACAGTAATGTAAGCTCTTTCAGTGGATGAATATGGATGGATGAGCAGTACTTACCAATCTCTCCAAATCCTGACCGACGATGCCAGCTTCCATATGGGCAGTTAAATTTTTCTCGTCAATCCACAGAATGCGGTTCTGAGAATGGAAAACATGACTGAGCTCAGCTGTAAATACTTTAAGCTATACGTCTTGAAAGAAACCCTATTTAATGCTGATTGTTTCATTTGATTTAAACAGAAAATCTTAATAAGATGTTGAGTTCCACCATGTCTGCCATCTGAACTCCAAACCTGCCTACATCTGCTATGCTGACTTGAAATATCTGCCCTCAACAGAAGCGCATGGAAACAGCCCCTTGACAGTTTGCTTACAATACTGGAAGTTTTGGACCAGCATGTCCTTCTAGCCTGACGGTCATGTCTGAGGATAAATGTGTGCAGAGTGGCTACGGGACGGAGACAAGGTTAAAGTCAATTTAACATCTAATTCCAAATACATGCTTCTTATTTGGTTCGCTGGGCACGTGGCCTACCCCTACCTGCAGGAGGTCATTTCACACCAGCCATCAATTATTCTCCAGAGGTAATAAACTTGACATTCTAACCACACTGCTCCTTTCATGTGCTTCCACTGGAGCCACCTCACCTCTGACCCCTGACATAGAACACTGGTGTCTGCGGCACCAAACTCAACGACTGGTGGGCTCGCAGCATCCGGACAGCTTATATATCACCTCTGTGAGCCTGGATCAAAGGGCTGTACTGTACTGGTGGCAATATTTACCATTTTATATTATGTCCAATGAAACATCAACATGTTCATAGTGAAATTCCATTTAAATGAACTTTCTGAAGCCCAATTAACACATTCATAATTTTTAAAACAAGAACTAAGTTATATCCCACTTACACATAACAAATACGCTAATTTTAACTAAGCCTTCATTGAATGCTTATTTTCATTATCGGCCGAGGTGATGTCTTCAAATTACATAAAATCCAAATGTATTTACATTTAGAAGAAAAACTGGCATATTCTCACATTTCCTCACAATAATTTAAATAATGATAATACATTTCTGTTGACTGACAACCCTCTGGAAAGTGGTATACGGAAATATACAGTACATGTCAACATGTAAACTAAAATTGCTCAGGTTTTAGTGTGGTGTTGATAAACGGTTTTGTTCTGCAACAACAGCATATAGTTTGAATTGGTGGCACATGTTGAGAGTGACCACCGTCGCCACTTTAAGTTCACTGTGCTCCGCCTATCAAATACAGAAGTTGATTACTGAGTGCCAATAATGTGTAACAAATTAAATCAATCATGAAAAAACAAATACATTTGAACAATGTAATGTAAACCAATACAGAAACTAATGTAATGTACTAACTATGAAAAATGCATAATGTTCAATCTTAGTTAAGATGGTGTCAAAGTGTGTAGAATTAACTCTATGGTCATTTTAGGGGGCTACATTATATTAATTGCATATTTCAGTTTTTGTCAATCTCCATTTACATAAATATATAAACACTCTTTAAATGTAAGCCAGTAAAACAGTATCCTCAGTACAGTACTTGACATTTGAAATTTCATAAATGATAGCATTTGTTCGACTGTATAAGATTCGATTTTTCTTGACCTTAGTGCAGATCAGCTCTTCTGAAACATTACAGACACATGCGTTTACATACCATCTGCGAGGTATCCAGAGAGACAATGGAACGAGTTTCCTCTGGGGGGCACTCTAGGGCACTAGAGACACTAGTGCCTCCTAAGAAGGGAAAAACAACAGTTACAATAGGAGTCACAGTGGACAATCACTGTCAGTCACTGGACAATTTCCTGGTTTCATGTTTTTAACACAAACACACTCATGAATCTAGTGAGCAGATTTTGAATCACACCTCAATACTTATTGAATATAGTCTTAAATGTATAGCATTGAGTAGTGACAACTGTCCAGTAGTGAAAGTTGGCACTGAATCTCGTTTACATGTTCTTTGATCAGATATCTTCTGGTTTATGTTGCAATTCTGTCCATTTTATGTCAGCAAAATTTTGAATGGCTTCTTATGTTAAACACTGCTGTGTTTGATAAATTTGGCTTGTTTGATTAGAATTTTTTTTTAATTTAAAAAAAATTGTTTTGTACGAGTAGCAAACTAAGGTATCATAGTAGTATGTATGGAAAAAAATCAAATGATAACAGCTCTTTGTGAGTCAGACTTTTCATTATTTCAGAAAGCAAGGTGCTGCAATGTGTTAAAAGGCTTGCAAAGAGTTACAAAAAAGAAAAGTGTACACATTGCAATCAGCACTTCCTCATTCTTCTAAAATGACTAGGCTTCAGGATTAAATTACAAATGTGGGAATAACTTTTCTTGATTACATCATTCTCACAAACCCTTTGACAAACTGCTTAGCTGCTTTAAAACCATATTAGATTAATTTCATTTCCTTCAAGGTATCCACTGGAGTGTCAGCGGTACCTTATTTACCAGGTTCATAGGTTATGTAGCTTCATTAATTAAAAAATGCATTTCACAAGCGTGAATAAATAATATATATTAAAGTACATTAAATGCAAATACACATCTAGTGGCCAGCATATACAGCATGTAGCAGCTAATTATGCTGATTAAAGCCACTGATTTCATGACTCACCTCCATATGGCATCAAACAAACATTATGTTTGCACGCCAGTTCCACAATTTTCACTACATCGTTGTGGCAATCTGTAAAGACACAGAGTATCATTTTCTATTCTACTGCATTCATAAATTAAGTGTTCACATAATAACACATTGCAAAGGATTAAAAAAGGCACATAAGACTGTGTATACAGAAGACAATAAAGAAATATATATAGCCTAAGCCATAGGTCATTAATCTGTGCATTCCGATGCTTGTGAGTCAAGTCCGCCAGATTCACCAGAGACGTTCTGGAAACACACACGAATTGAGGAGACGAAAGGGAAAAGAGATTTCGCATGGCTTTTAATCAAGAATGTACTGATTTTTACATGTACATTCATCCCAACGCAAGTTAGTCGTTTTGATGTTCCGGACCTTTGCTTCGGGAAATTTTCTCTAACTGGACATCTTTGAATTCTAATTGAATACCCCTGGCCTAAGCCATTAGAGCTGGGGGACCAGCAAGAGGCAGGGTGCCTTTTGATTTGTCTGATAGTTGTGATTTGCCCGGGGCTTTCCTCAGGCGGCGTCAGACTGCATGAAGCTACACTCTCTGGGGTGGGATGTGCTGGATCAATACAAACATGCTTTAGCCAATCATGGAGCTCACATCCATTCACACTGGAGTGGTGAGCGAGTGGGAAGAGTAGCAATACCCACCTACATGGATGTGCTTGACTGGCCTCAAGTGCTTTTAGAGGCAGTGAGAAATGTCTGCATTCTAGTACATTTTGCCATCCAATTAAACACACAGCTTCTGCCTAGGGATTAAAGTTCAACAAACTAAACACAGCTTCACTTGGACGGACTACTGACAAATGAAAATTACAGGTGAAAATATCTATTAGATATATAGCAAATGAGAGTGTATTTGCCAGGTCAAAAATATAAATTTGGTGCTAGTGTGGATGAAACAACGACTACAGTTGCTTGGCGATTTGCTGCCCATTTGGGAGGCTGCTAATCAAGTTTCAGCCATCAGTCAAGACTCATTTGCATGATAAAATAGCGCCAGCCATAACAACAGAAAACCAACCTCAGAATCATAATTTATGGGTGTACTGTGCAGGTCCACACTGCGGAGTATTGGGTGTCAACCGTCCTCCCCCTGACGCTTCTTATTAAGCCTCCACTCATACATATTAATATCCCTGCCTCTGCAGAGATTAACCCTTTAAATCACCTAAGCCAGTAGGGGGATAAGTGATACTACGTGGGAGGAGAAAAACAGACAGATTAAAAAAAGGACAGAGATGAAACAGCTTCTGAACTCACTTGGCCACACCACCATATCTGGAACGCGACCAACTCTCCCTTCTCGCAGAGCGAAGATCTCGTGTAAGCAGTGGCCTGGAACAAAGTACAGTAATTAGATGACACAAGTCCACAAAATATTTTGTGACAAGCACAAATAAAAACACTCTTGCTAAAATAAAAATCACGCTAAACAAGCAGACAAACAGATAACATGCTGATTGTGGTTTACAAATATTAAGAGTGCCTTACCGTGGGAGCGAAACACCCGGTCCTCTGCGTCATGAGAGAAGGGAATACCTGTGGATTTCAGTTCGTCCACGAAGGCCTCATTGAGAGTGGGAGGCTGTACAGCGCTGCTAGTCAGAATGGGCTAAAACAAAACAAGCCATTGTGGTTTTGGTAACTTTGTGTAAGAGTGCTGTTCTTTGCCATTCACTAAAGACAACAAAAAAATGAATTACACTCACAGTTGCTGGAATTTTATGCTGCAGACTGGCTCCAAAAGTGTTTACCATCCAATCTTTAAGACCGGGGATGATCATACCACTTAGTCTATACCTGGATTGTGTAAAGGAAGACAGATTGTGTGAACAACCAATAAAATTTTTTTTAAAAAAATCAACTAAGCCTCATGTATTAGTGATTTCCAGTGGTGGAAGTCAAAGCCCTCAATTGAAAACATCTGAATGCTTGACTGGGCTTATTCATTTGGAAAACCAGGCCTGTGTCTAATAAGAATAGAGCGTGAGGTTTGAGTCCAGTGAGGTTATTAGGCAAGCAGAGCAGCAGTGACAGTGCTGTCCGTGTGATCGCCATCCCTTGCATAATTGAGCTGCTGGCACAGCCTGGGCCAGCCCATCAGGGGACTGTGGTGTGCCTTTGTCCAAGTCACCATGAAGCACACTCTATAATGAAAAAGCCTCTGTCAGAGTGAGCGTGGAGGAGGAGAACGCCATCTTTGACATTCATTCAACTGCGCCCCAGCCATAGCACTGCCCAGGTAGCTTACAGTCGAGAGAGCACAGAGCCATTTGTGGCAACTGCTTGCACAGGAGGAAACCATTTGCTGCGCAACATCCTGTTCAGCTTGACTCAGTCGGCAGTTCTCAAACAGCCATGCAGGGCTGTCTCTTCCAAAGTCATATGTCATGATTACAATAAAAAGGCTAATCTATACCTCTTCTGTCGTCATGTGAAACAGGGATAAAGGTAAGGGAAGAGATATTCTCTCTGTTGTAAAATGAAGCCATACTCAGTGACACTCAGGACAATTGCCCTTGTCTCTGGATACCCTCAGACATTCAAACAAAATCTTTTTTTCTCTAACAGTCAGTGAATAACTGTGTTTACCCACAAATCCCTAGAGACACACCAATAATTACCAATATAATGCTTTCCATTTCTGAACAGAAGTGGTTTCTGTTAACAAGCCACAGAGTTTGGGAAAGCTGAAAATCACAACCAGTGACCTTCTCAGATGACAATGAACAGTTTAAATGCCAACCACTAGGTGGCAGTAGCACTACATTGCTTGGAGCGTAGGAAGGAGACAACAACTGATTTCAAAAGCTGGGTTCACATTATGGGCTGTGAAAATGATCAATGCATAACTCTGGCCTCAAGTCACCCAAACATGTGAATGCTGAAGCTAGACACAGGGGCAGTGCTAAAACAAGATTAGAGGCTGTGAATGAGACCTGGTACTGACTGGTTTCTCAAAATCACAAACAGATAAGAATAAACAGTATATATGGCAGTGATTTGATATTATAGAGTACCTTTTGCCAGTAAATTCTGCTTGACCTTTCTTATTGAAGAGAAATCTTGAATCGCTGTATCCCCAGCCGTTCCATTTCATAATCTCCTGCCTGTGGAAAAACAAATATTGGCAGAGATTAAGTCGCATATAACGCATACTCCTTACACTGAAGTTAAGACATGATATTAATATCATTAGACAAATGTGAAGGTGATTCTTGTGGGGTTGTGACCTGGTATATTCTTAATTTGCCACCACCGCCCCTCTTGACTGACGCTAGCTTGGCATGGGCAATTTCACCAAGACACAGAGGAACGGGGAAAGCCCTTGCTGATAATACGACAATTCAACGCCCAGACATATAGCATTTCTCTGACAGAAAGTCTCCTTATTTTATTCAGTCATTCACAGCCTTTTGCACTCATCCAAGGTGGGGATGGCTATCAGTTTGCAAATTTACAATATGGGAAGGTTTCAAGACAGGCACGCCTACAATATTCCCTGGGTGACTACTACTGCTACACAATGCTCTGCACACAGGCTCACAAAACACAGCTTATTGACATTGTAATGCAGAAGCGACACATTCAAACGATGCATCCACCAACAGAGGAAGCTAGCAGATACTCCCTGTGCTGTCAGCCATTTCCCTATCCAACGCATTAAAATATTTTTTATTTATGACACCTGGTAGGCACTCTTATCCATAGCTAGTTTCAATACCGCTCTGTTTTTATGATTAGATCCAGATGTGTCTGCTGAACTAACAAGCCTCAGCTAATTATTTAGCACGTGCATCCACTTAAACAGCACACAAGCAGCAGCCATACTTTCTGTTCTTTGCTGAAGAATCAGCAGCCATATAGGAGTACAGCAATAGCTACTTAAGATGTGGATTTTTTGTGTCACAATAAAGTAAGATAGAACTTCATTAATCCCTGGGGAAATTGTTGTGCACCTGCTGCAGTGCAAAGTAGGAAAGAGTGCAGATGTGTAAAATATCAATAAAAGGTGCAAGTAGGAAAATATCAATGAATTGCTGTTGATTGATATTCAATTATTATCACTGGCTTTCCAACCAAAGATGATGCTACACTGTCTATGCTCTAATACTGTGCTGAGCGTGTGTTCTGTACTAACACTCTACAGAAAGACGGCTCACCAATCACACAGCAACCATAACTCAGGGGTCACTTGGGTTGGGATGCTAACACAGTGGAGTAAAAGCCATAATTAAGATTAATACCTGCCAAAATGGAGTTCCCCGTAAATTAAGAACGAGAGTAGAAACGAGTGTGACACACTGAGTCATACTTTAATGAATCCTTGCCACCATTAATATTCTGTCATAGCTGCTGTACATACTGAATAAAGATTTATCAATAAATGTGGCAAGGTCAGTGAGTACACACTGCTGTTAAAAATAGACAATTTCAGGTCATCATCAAAATCCTGTTTAAAAGGCACAACAGAAGGTCTTAAGGAATTTGTTTTGATAAACTCAACTCTTTCCTGCCTGTGTGTAACCCAGAGGAGGGACCCCTCCTCTGTTGCTCTTCCTGAAGTTTCTTCTTTCTTTCCCCTTAAAGGTTGTAAGTTTTTTCCTATCCTAAGGACTTGGGTGTCATATGCTGTACAGATACTGAAGCTCTTTGATGCAAATTTGTGATTTGTAATTTTGAGCGATATAAATAAAATTGTAAAGTCATTTATACAGTTTATTGGAGGTAACAACAAGGAAAGACAATTTAATTGCAATAAAAGAAACTGACTGTGTCAATGATCTAGCAGCTCAAAATGTTCAACTGAAATGTTTTCCTAACTGTGGTCTGTGGCTACACGTAAACTTCAGATTAGCGACATACTTTGTATATTGTAAGCTAAAATTGCTTGACATTGTGCATTTAACACCATTTCCACGTATGTGTACCTACTAAACTGGTACGTTTACACAAGTCATCTAAATAAAACAAAAGTGCATATCCCTTTATCAATGCATCAGGGGTGGTTGCAGTAGCTGAGGCATGCTTTTAACTAAAATCTTGTTAACACTGAAGCTGAAACCGCACAAAATCTTTGAGTCAGGACTTTTGCCTGAAACCATCACCCAAGAAAGGTAGCAGTGTGAATGTCCGCGAAATTGTAGAAAGGCTGAACTTGTCTCTTGGTACTTCTCCAAACAAACAGACTATTTGTTATTTTGTTATTACAGCATGATAAGTGGTTATGCAAATTACACAATATGTAGGGACAAAGAAGTTATCTAACACTTCCCCACATTGTTGAATTGACCCTGTTCCTTTTATTAACATATATTATCCTTTTGTAATTTAATCAGTATATGTCAAAATTTATAATTTTGACATATACTGATGTCCCATGTAATTATGTTACTATACAATTACTTATATCACTATATTACTATATTAATGGACAAACCCACTTACTATTTGCAATTGTGCTGCACTTTTTCTTAACCATCAAACTTCCTACACACTGTGGACACTGAAGTCCCACACTGACACTCAGCATAACTGGCAGAACAGACAGGGCTGCAAGACAAAACATTTTATTGTGTCACCACAGTGCCATATTGACCAGAACAGGACATGATGAATTTCACAAGGCCAAATGCTGATACTTTTGCATTGCAGGGTAGATTTTACATTTAGCCTCAGCTGTTATCTCAGACTGACACTAGGCTAGATGTTATCCATAGATTCCACAGGGAGCCTAAGTCCCTCCCTTCCACTTCCGCCCCATAGGACCTTAAATAAAATATGTACAGTAGTCAACGACGACGAGAGACAACAATTTTTTTTTTTTATCCAGTTCCAATTGTGCCCAGAATTACATGTATAATGTTTGTGAATTTAAAAGATAATTTTCTGAGTCAATAAAGACGCAGTTTGTTGTAAAACAGTAAAGCAAGATTTAGTTTTCTGGTGAAACTGCTCAATGAACTACATCTCTTGACTTGAACAATATGTCACCAACAACTTAACACTGTAATGCTAGCTAACGTTCACTGCTCGGTTGCTACTAGCTAGGTAACTTAGCTATGTTCCACGCACAAAATATATCATGTGTATCCCTGATGGGTTTAATTCTATGACTCTTGGTCCTTTCATCACATCATCTACATGTTAGTTCTTTGACGTTAGCTTCTGTCAAAAAGTTATGATGTCACATATGCGACTTTGAGTTTGTGGTCTTTCTAAATACATATTTTCCAAAATCAGTCGGCCGAAAATAGCAAAAAAAATAATACGGCTTAATACGTCAAAAGATCGACAAAATTTTACCGAACAATTACGTTGACATGTCGGCAGAAGCATTTTCAAGTGTCCGAGAAAGACGCAAAAATCGCAGTTTGCAGACACTGTTCTGCGGAATTGTCTCCTAGCACATCCACTCCATCTGAACAGAGGCTATAAAGTCTTCATGTTACGCGATACGAAAAGCACATGCAACATCATTTGCCAAATTGCGTCGGACTTGATGAATTCAGCGTGAGGATACACATGTGACAACGCCGTTTTTCAAAATAAGGTGTCTATACAGGATGGAAATAAGATTAATTGGATTATATTCACAGAAAGTATAAAACATATTACATGTGTCCATTAAAAGTAAATGGACATATGTCATTTACTTTACCGGATCCTCTTAGGACTCGGACCCACCCACCATAGTTTCTCCAAATCCTGAGGGAAACACTGAGTAAAAAGCACATTTTGACTATTTAATTTATGCAATGGTAAAAAAAAAAATGTTAAAAATATGAATGTACTTGTTTGGCCTTTGGTTTTCGGCAATTTTCATTGTATTTCGGTTTCGGCCAAGAATTTTCACGTCAGTGCATCCCTAACATGAACTCATTAATGTGTTTCCTAAGGTAATAAATCAAGTGAGAAGTATCGTCATTAGAAAGAATGCAATTTTAAGGCACTTCCGCAGTGGCTCCACTTTTCAGACCTGGAGGGTACTGCTGTGTTCCATACAACACGAAACTTTCTGACCTCCTACTAGAAAAGGTGTAATGAATGGAACACCAGCCAAAGTCAGGGTTCCTACTTGTAAAAATATACCCCGACTTCATGAAGAAGCAGTTGTCGCAGTTGTCTGATGTCACATAACAATGGCAGCCCTAGTGTTATAGTACTCGAGAGTGGTCTTGGTCCCAAGACCGGTCTTAAGACCACTTTTTGATGGTTTTGGTCTTGTCTCGGACTTGACTGCATTTGTACTCTGTCTTGTCTCGGTCTCGGACATTGAGCACCCGGGATTATATTTCAAGACCAGTCAAGACCATAACTTTGGGAATATCAATAAATTGCTTTTGCATTGTCTGATTTATTTGTTAGCATAATTTCTTTGATTGGATGTAATACGTATTGCTTCAAATGCAACCAATAATTCTAATTAAAATGTGTTACTATTGACAACAGTGGCAGCTAGTAGTGCTCGTTTGGCCTCCCTCGACTCACTGCCAACTAGGGCAAGACCAAATTTCCTGCGAAACACCACTGGAAAAAACAATTCTCTGACATCAGCCTCTCAAGTGTGAATATTTTATGTATTATGACAATAAACTGAATATATTTGGGTTGTGGACAAAAGAAGACATCACATTGGGCTTTGGGAAACACATTTTCAAAATGTTCTGGCCCTAATAGCTAATCAATTAATCAAGAAAATAACTGACAAATGAATTGATAATGAAAATAATCGTTGGTTGCAGCCCTGGTTTGTGTTCTACTTTTTTTTTCTCCCCCCATTAATTTTATGTAATTACTTTCACCAAGGATGCTATGATTTCACCAGTTTTGAAATAAGAAGGAACCAAAATACACTTGTTACTAAAAGTGATTTTTATAGTCATTTATAACAATCAGTGACAATAACGAAAACCAAATCCTGTTTTAGTATTCGTAATTATATATATATATAAATAAACACACACACACACACACACACACACACACACATTAAAAAAAACATATAAGCTATAAATAACTGTTTCATGTTTGTTTCTTACTAAACATCGAAACAGCAGAAGAAACAAAGGACACTGACGTAGTTAAGTGCTGTATTTAATAAAAAATACAACTATGAAAATATATTAAAATATATAAAATATGTAGTGCCACTGGGTTCCAGTAGCTCCCAAAGATATTTCAACGTAAGATATATTTTGGTTTTTCTCTTTGATTTCACTTCATTGTTTATTATATACATTATATTGTTTATTTGTGACTTTCTGCTTTGGCAACATGTTTGAACTAAAACGTCATGCCAATAAAGCCAATTGAATTGAACTGAGTACCACTAGAAGGTGCCAGTAGCTGCCACGTTAAAAATGCCCATAGAAAGGTGAAAAGGTTAGGAAATACACAACATTTACTGACTTTTGCAGATGACCTACCAATGTAGCGGGAACATAGTTAACGATCTTTTAAATTAACATCAAGGGCACTACTGAGAGCATAATTGTGTGTAACGTTACACTTGACACGCCACAATCAGTTTGTCACGGTCAGTTATTTGTTTACGTTTGGCGTCCTGTACATGGAACCCTTGCAGGTCGGAAGTTTTGACATTTTATCTGACCAAATGTGACTAGAAAAGCAGCCCACTTCTTTTTACACAATATATGCTGTCAGCACAGTGTCGTGGTGTTTCCTCAAAATGAACGGGGCTGCCAATAGGTTGAAAGTCAGGCCACCACTTGTTCTAGCCAATCAGAGCAACAGAGGACACATAAGTTTCACAGTGTGCTCCGTGCGGCGTCACAAATTGCATCACGTTTTCCAACGTGTCCCAGAACTCAACATTTAGTTAAGACAAATGGAAAAAACATCAAGGACGATGTCTCGATGATGCTTCTACTACCAACATGTTAGCATAGTCAAATCAGGGTTAACTTATTATCTGTATCAGTTAAAATAAACCACATAGCTCATGTACATTTATTTGAAAGCTGATAAATCAAATGGTCCGTAACGGCTGTATGTTACAGTAACAGCTACTCGACAACTCGTTAAACAACTGCGTTAGCCAATTCAACTCAATGACTTTGTTATGTGAAGAAAATGCCAGAACATTAGCCATGACCGTTAACAGATCTCTGAAGCTGAAGCAACCTCACTGACACCAGAAACATTGCCATACAGTAAATACATTGGTCCTATATAACGTTAACAACCACAGATAAGTGGTCCAACTTTAAGAAAGTCGACTCCTGAGTGTAGCCCTAGCCGCACCCACTCCGTAGAAAATGAATGTCTACTTTGTAGCCAAGTAACGTTAGCTAGCAGGCTAATTAAAACCGCTTTAGCCCAGTCTCCCTACGTTATTAGTGCTTGAAAGAGAGAGGGAAGCCAGTCTGTCCTTCTATGTCACCCTATTGGTTTTTGCTTAAAACAGATCCGCTGATGTATGACTTAATAACTAGCTAACGTTAAAGCCAAAGAGGATGGACTCTTGTCCACCGCTCCATCACAGCCTTGTACCTCCTCCTCGGTACGGTCTTCCCCTCACTGGAGACATCTGTCTTGCTCCCCTGAGCTTTGCAGTCCGCAGCTACGATGGTCGAGTCACCGTCCGTCGGTCTCTGTAAATGCCCGGCAATTATACTTAGTCTTTGCTGTGCAATCCGTTGCCTGTCGGAGCTGCCGCCGCCGCTGCTGTTGGACGCCATGCTGCTTCCGTGTTTGTGAAGGGAGGGAGCGGATCCATGAGCGGCTGTCAGAGGTCAGCACAGGGAAAGTGCGCTGCGTTCACAGGCCGTCGGAAATATGATAGTCAGTCCACACCAATGACCCGAATATCGTTAAATGGAAATTTTCTCTAAAGCACTAAGATATGATAAGCAGTAAGATAATACAAAATACGACATGTTATTGTCGGTTACTTTGTGGTATGTTCAATGGCTTAAGACATTAAGGCAATTAATCAATTATGAGATAAACAGAAAATTAATCTGCAACTATTTTGAAAATGTAATAATCGTTCGAGTTATTTTATCATCAGACATGCCAAACATATGCCGGTTCTAGTTTTTTAAGTGTAAGAATCTGCTGCGTTTCAATTGTCTTACAGGACAGTGAACTATATTGTTTGGGTTGTGGACTGTCGATGGGACAAACAAGCCATGGGAATATGGCATTTTATGACCAAATAAAATTATTGTTGGATAAATCAATAATAAAACAAAAAGAGTAGTTGCTGCCCTAGTCCAAATATGCATACTTTCAGGTGTGCATGGTCAGGGCAAATATGAGGAATTGCATTTCTGCCTGCAATTATGGTACTATTATTATAAGTATAACAATTAAAATAATGATTATTGTTGAATGGATATATTCTCTTATATAGAATATATATATTCTATTTAACTTTAAAACCAGATAATGAAACATACCGATAGTTACACAACTGACATGGCTAACGAGTAGCACCTGAATGCACCATTGTCTCTATTTCCCAGCATGCCTTGCAGTACAGGACTGGTTGCATACTGTGCAGTCTATGGTTGAGACAAGAATTTACAGCCAATTTGCATAGTTGTTACAAGATAACAAAATGTGTTCAGCCCTTCTAGTATTACTGCTTGAAATATTCAAGAGGACAGGATGTCGTGCATAAAACTGATACATAATAACAATCATACATAATTGAAGTGAATGCATGGGCAAAATTGGACAATGGAAATTAACATAAGCTTGACTTGGCTCTGGATAATGCAAGAAAGTGAAACAGTGGACCAAAAGTGGAAAAACACAGTTAATCAATCACGTGCGCTAAACTGCTTTAGATTTGTTCAAATGTCTACCCATATATATTGTATATTTGAGTAAATCTGGCAACTTAAACCTATAATAAATCTATAGTAGGAGACTAATCATTTTAATCTGCATTGTCTTTCACATTTAATTAAACTATGCTGCAATTATTAAAACAGCATCATCATAGTGTAAAACTTCCTCATATGTAAGATTAACCTGAAAATGTGACTTAACTGTTTACCTCTGCCTCACCTCCACTCAGTTATCTGACCAGCGTGGCTACTGTTTCCATATGGCACACAGAAGTGCTGTTTAAGTAATGATTTATCACAAAGTTACGCTACGTAAATGACAACCAATGGCATTGCTACTTTAGAATACAAATTAACCTTGGTATATTCTCAAAAAAGACAGAGTCTGTGAAAAATGCTTCAAACAGAGATACATTTTATTCAAGAAAACAGTCACTTATCAAGAGGTATCAAGAGGAATATCGCACCATGTTGTAAACTTAAACTTTCCATATGTTTGAGGCTTTATTTCCCACAGGTTAAAGTATTAACTCCCAAAACAAAGTTCTGTAATGCACTGACTGCAAGCAATTAAGAGTCTAAGTGTATCACAGAACTTTATTTGGAAAGCCACAGTGCCACCTCATAGGTTTGTCCTTGTGCAGAACCTTATCCTCCTCATGACTGGGTGTTCCTGTAACCTGTTGTAAGGCACAAAAAGCAAGGAAAACAGGACACCAACTTCTCTTTTTTTACTGTATTGACTTCAATGCAAAACATATACAAGAGAGAAAAGAGCTGGTGTCAATTGAATAAGACTATAGAAGAAGAAGTAGTGAAGAAGACTTGAAGAGTTGAAGGGGGCCTACAGAAAGGCTTGCTGTGGTGGGTCCTCCCTAAAATCACACAGGTAAAACAGGCCAGATGCAGTCTTTTTACACATTGTCAGCTCTCTAAAGAAACAATTAAATGGCAAAATATAATTTGGGTGTAGTTGATTCTGTAGTAACTACACCCCACCAAAAATTACCCTAACATGTTTTTACTTACCTCTTTAAGCTTGAAGAGCTGTTTGAAGTTTCCAGTATTGGTCATATCTTTAACTTCATTGGAATGATTTCACTCCTGTGCCACTGATTATACCTGTTGAGCTTTAACAGCTTTCTGAATTGAACAGGCTCTGTCATATAAGCTATTCACCACATGTAGATAGATATGATAGTAATGAGGAAGGTGCAGAAGGCCAGCTGAGCTCCAGGAGTATTAAGAGCTGCCAGTTTGAAGGTAGTTAGGGCACTTGCCTCTTTAACAGAAAACAAGTGACAGCAACTTTAGAAGTGCAAAATAATGCAAACAACAAACAGTGTCAAGTCTTAAACACCATCTTGACATCTGTTTACACAAGAAGTAGTGCTATGATAAAGGAAAGAGTAAGTTATGCAAGTCATACTGTACCTGATATAGGTAAACTCAAGGCACCAGCTGCAATCCAACACGAGGGGCAAGTAGTCTGGACCATAAAATGCAAAAGCAGAACGCGATCTAAGGACATTGCAGTCCATGGCTGGATTCACAATGCAAACGCCTGTTTTCACTGCGGTTGGTGTCCGTCTGCGGACTTGCAGCGCACTGATCGAAAGGTGGCTACCGACGCTTTTACCTTTTCTTCCCCCAGTCCTGTGCAGTTCACTATATGCAGCTGGAAGAATGTCGACGTGGAGCTGCCAAACGTGAACGCGTGCTCATGAGCGCGCACGAGGGAAAAAAAGAGTTTTTTTTAGTGTAATTTCGCGCAGTGGCACACTGAGCTGCACTTTACTGTGAGGTTCTTCACAGATAGGTGATACAGCCAGGACTAAGTCTGTCCTATTACCTTGACACATTTCAAAAATAACTTAATTACATCTCGATCCGACTTCTTACTTACGCTGAAGTGTCAAATATAATTAACGCTGAGGATTTCTATAAACGTAACAACTTTCTTAAAGACTTGGCTTGACTGAGAGCGAGTTTTTTATTCTGAGAGTACAGCATATTTGCATTTGTGTAACGTTACACCATCGTTGAGAAAAGTATCTGGCCTACTTTAGTCAACATGTGACTTAAGTAAAAGCACAAGAGTATAATTAATATAGGCTACTTAAAGCAAAAGTAGCCTACTCATTACAGACAATAGGCTACCTTCTTTCAATCTATTAAAGTAGCCTGTATGGCTATTATTGGATTCTCATTACTGATGCATTAATGTTTAAGTAGCTAAATGTTGTGGAGCCAATTTTAGCCACTGTATTTACTGTTGGTTTGATTAATCTATGGCATCAGTGGTGGAACTAATATTCAGACCCTAGTAAAAGTAATGATACCACAGTTTAATAATAGTCTATTACAAGTAAAAGTCCTGAAATCAAAACCTTACATTAAAAAAAATTATACAAAAGCTGTATCAGCAACTTAGCCTATAGAAAGTATGGAAATTAAAGTAGGCTACTTACTATGCACAGAATGGTTTTATTAAGAGATTATTAACTTGCTTAGCATCACTCAATTCCTGGAAGCCTATGGGATCATCATTATGTCATATGATGACATAGACACTAAACAATTGAGCCATGATAGCCTTATATTGTTGTTTGACATAACTTCAGACTACACCAAATATTTAAACAGGTTCTGGCAAAGGCATTTATTAAGTTCAGACTCTGGGAAAGTGGGAAAACAGTAAAATTCCCCATAACTGCTGTATCTCTGAACTATCTCTTTAATCAGATCCTGCACATGCAGTCTATGTGATCTCCTTTTAAAAAAATTAATATGATGTTTTTTTCACTTCCATTCAATGATCCTCCCCTGAAACAGTTTGGAGGCTGTTCTTTAATAAATAGCAATAAAACTGTTCATTATTGTTAGTACACCAATAAAATCCAATTAACATAAGCTTGAACACTACAGATACCTGCTCTACATTTTGTTGCTAAGATGTCTGCACAGTTACAAAAATTAAAATTTAAATACAATAAGTTTCAGCCTTATACAAAACAGTTAGCTCCACCTGAAGCAACTAAATGAGTAATGATAATTTTTTGCGCACGTATTTTTCTGAGTAGGCTACTTTTACTTGTATCCTATGCAATTTACTTTAAAATACATTTTCCTGATTATACTTAATTTTAATTGAGTAGGCTCACATTTTCAATGCAGGACTTTTACTTATAGCAGAGTACTTTTTACAGTGTGGTATAATTACTTCTTTTTAAATTTGGATGTGAATCCTTCCCCAACCACTGTCCACGGGACATTAGGGCCCCAGGGCGTCCAGCGCCACTCCAGGGACTGTAACCAGCAGGGGGCGCCATGCACCAGTCAAAACTCTTCAGATGACTGAGTTTAAATAGAAAAAGCAAGGTGTTTTTTTTTTTTAGTGAAGTAGGCTACATATTTGCTGGCTTACGCAGTTACAAATGTAAAATTGATGCATACATAAGATTCCGGTTCCTAATATTTTAGTGACTTTTCAGACAGAGTGACAATCAGTAGGAGCCTGCTAAAAGTTTGTTTTATCAATTTAATGTATTTATAATCATATGTAGCCCACGATCATTTATGAAGGTTACCCGAATACAACTTTCACATGATTATGTTGTGTAATGTTTTTATTTGGTAACCAGTGTATTAAGTGGCTATGTCCTCTCTCCTCTCCTTGCTCAGCCTGGCTGGCTCCACGCGCATGCACACGCGCACACATTACCGAATCGCCTCATAGGCCGGCGCGAGGGGGACGATCCCGGCGCCGCAGCTCGGTAGGCAGGGCCATCATTTCCGTGATCTTCATTAGATTTAAAGGAAGTAGTCTTTCCTACAGCTCAGCTGCTGCGACGGACTCTATCGGCTACGGACCGCTCGCCATTTTAATCTGGCAATTTGAGGAATTACACACATTTATTAGTCACAAGGAGTTTCTTTACGGCGAGACAGAAATGGAGGTGATGCATTCCACTCAACAGGTAAACAGAGTATTTCTTAAAAACAACCACTAGACCAGATAAACCGGCTGACATTGACTATTAACTTCCCGTTTAAAGCCTACGATCTGATAGGCAGACATGGACGTGTTTATAGTTCAGGTAAACTTTTTAATGTTTGCCAGTGGGCTACGCGTTGACAATGTGGTTATGGCGTTGTTACGAGGTTATAATGTAGAAATAACAGCTTCAACGTGGAATAGGCCATACAACAATAGACCTTGAGCCTAGCTGTGTTTAAGAGATATTAAGGTTGCCCTCTGTACCACTTTCAGTTCTGCAAGTCATTCAGATGTGACGTTTTTCCACGAAAGGAAATTACTGTAAATAAAATCCATCTTATCGAAAAACACTCTGGACACTGTCTTAGTGTCTGAGCTGTTACTCTGAATAAAATAACATAATTTCTTTCATCCTGACCTGTTTGTTAAACAGAAACCGAGACTCTAGACATTCTCGTAACTGCTCCCCTCCCCTCTCCTCCCCTCCCAACACGTGATATCATATCTGACATAGACAAGCTCATTCATTATGCATGATTTCTTTAAAGACTTGTTTCCCCCGTTATGTTCATAAACATCGAATTAACCTACATGTTGTTAATTTAATTATTATTCATGACGTAAGGCCTCACTTCTTTAGTGTTTGGTTAAACCTGCCATAAGTAAGGGTCAGTGGAAGTACATAGTTGACTGATGAGGTCTGTTTTGGAACATGTGTGTTTCATCATCCTCACTGAATTGTGATGAAAGAAGGTGTAATAAACCATTTGAGTCAGGTCCCCTTTGAGGCCCTTGTGAAGCTAGCTGAAGAGAAGTAAATGAACAACCCATCACACACCTCTTTCACCCATAGCCAGAGGAACCATTAGCTATTTGTAAATCTGTATGTGTTTGACATATGTTTTCTGGTAATTGGGAGATGTGTGTCTGTTCTGCATATTTTGTCTCTATTTTAAGCTGAAGGCATACTGGCTGGCTTGTATAGCTGTGAAGCTGTGTATTATGTGGCAGAGACGTCTGGGAAATCCAAGTAATTTTACGAGCCAGTTTCCTTGTTCTGGTGCCAATCCATGTCTTGTGACAGCCACGTTACGGATACTATACTGATAACCTGATCTTAAACACACCCACAATTACGCAGTTTGGAGTTAGTACAGGACATGAGCTATTGTTTGATAAATCACTTGACAGTGAAAGGGCTCACTGAACTTTCCCTTCTTTTAGGCAACAGACCTTCTTTAGACATTGGGATTGTTTTTTAAGGGACTCGTATGACTTGTCTGATGAGCTTTTAAGGTGTGACCAACAGACAGGAGTGTGGCTTTTGTAGTTTAGAAAAACACTGATGACCTCAGTAAATGTGTTCAGACATCCCACAGTTATTTTAGGGCACTTCCTTGTTCCTACAGAAGCCATAATTCCCAGTTGTGTGCTCACCTCCTAGTCGATGAGTATGACTTATAGTAGGTAGCTTTAGTAATGTGTAATCCGTCAGTGGTCATGCTTCTGATGCAACACTGAGGCAAAGAGGTTTAGTGGGTTCTTATTTTGCAGTGCCACAGTTGCAGTCAAACTGTGTCAACAATGTCTTAAAATATGTACAGATGCTTGTTTGCTATTATTATTAGTGTATAAAGATAACACATTTTCCTCGAATAAAAAAATCAAAGGAGAAAACCTTGTACAATATTTTCTCAGTATCACATCCTCTTTATTGTGGATTGTTCTGCTTTGTGCTTTATTTCCCTTCGATTCCCTCTTGGCTTCCTCCAGGCTATGTCTGTTCTGGCCATATGACCGACTGCAAGCATTTGGAAGCCTAACCCATAAATTATGTTTACACCCAAATCTGAGAAACAAATGTCACATGTCCAGACATTTTCTTGTGAACCAGTAATTTGGGCTTATGCAACATCCATAGTCCTTGTGAAATGGTTTCCTTCTGTAAATAAGTTCTGGTGAAAGCAGCACAGTTTATCTTTAGACATTCTTGTTTAAAAAGGCTAATAACATTCAGCCTGTGAGTAGAAATCTACAGGAAACAGTATTAAAATATCCTCACAGTTGTTAGCACGCTGTGTCTTAACGTTCTGTGGTGTCAGCAGCACTCAACTTAATGTGTAAATACTAAATGGAGGACAAACGTATTTGTGCAGGGTTGGGACAGGAAATGCCAAGGTCAGTTATCAACAGTTAACAAAAAAAGATATTTAATTCCACCCAGCAACATATCTACAGCCTCATATTCCTAATTTGGGACCGTGGTATCATTTTTTTTTTTTATCAGTTATAGATGTACATTTAACTTCCTGATCTTATAAATGCTGTAAAATATCAAATTAATGAATGTGCTCTAACTTATTTAGACCTAAACTGTAAAATGAATGACTTAACCAAAAACTGAGTTTGAGAGTGTGCGCCCTACTTGTTTGGCTTGAAACTGATGAATTCACACCTCAAGGTAATTGGATGGGTAATGATCACTTCCCTTGGAAAGAGTATCAAGTGAGGATACGTGTCTTCTGCTGGTGTATGGTGGCAAAAGGGGAAATAGAGAAGTACATCTATTATTCATGCAGCTTCTCCCCCTTGACATTAGTGCCAGTGTTGTTGTCAGTGAACAATCACTGAGGGACAGGGTGTGGCGGGTGCAGCAGCCACGTTCACAGCAGGGACACTCTTCCTTGCTCCAGTGCTGCTCACATTCTCACTGCAGGACAGCATGGCTACGCCTCACAACTCTAAACTGATCTGTGCTTCTCTTTCCAGGACATGAACCTGATTGACATATTGTGGAAGCAGGACATTGATCTTGGTGCCAGGCGCGAGGTGTTTGACTATAACCACCGTCAGAAAGAACATGAGCTGCAGAGGCAGCGGGAGCTGGAAGAAGAGAAGAGGCAGCATCTGGTCCAGGAGCAGGAGAAGGCCCTGCTAGCACAGCTACAGCTCGACGAGGAAACGGGAGAGTACATTCCCCGCCCGTCGACCAGCGCCTCACTGCAGTCGGGTGTCACACCTCTAGAGGTTGCACAGGTAAGCGCACGTGGTTGTCATTACTCATGTCAGAGGTGGACCACTCCCACCTCATTTGATAGGCTGTGGCTATGTTGTAGCTAGGGAACCACATCATCTTGTATAATTACAGAAGCACAGGTGGGTCTGTAGTTTTGCATCTGTGTATTCTGCTTTAGAAACAACTCTTCAGAGACCCATGCTATAAATATAAAATCACACGCTGTTTTTAAAACATGGTGTGCCACAATGGATGCTAGGTGGTAAATCTGAATTTGAACCTTTCTTACAGAATGTCAGCTTCACAGAAGAGACTGGTGATGCCATGTCATTTGATGAATGTTTGCAGCTCCTGGCAGAGACATTTCCTGTAGAGGAAATTGAGGTAAGAACATGAAATTATTACCACACACGTGACAACATAGCTTGCAGCCTTTAACATGACTTTTAGCTGCATTAAAAAATCACTATATTCTTGTGTTTGTGTGACAGAACACCTCAGTTTGCCTGGACACAACTGCTGTTTCAGTACCCCTGGCTTCCCCAGAGCAGACAGTTCCTTTGCAGGCCACCCTCTCCCCATGTCCACTATCACCAGCACCGCCACCACCACCACAGAGGATGTCCCTAGATTTGGAGCAGGCCTGGATGGAGCTTTTGTCCCTCCCTGAGCTGCAGGTATAATACATGGATTCTACCCTCTCAATAGCATGGTGGTTTGCGTTGTGGAATAAATACCCAAAGAATGCATCAATGGCTGGAGCCCGGCATTAGAGGACAAACACTTTTTTGTTTGCTGTATGAGAATGGGGTCTCATATATGTGAGACAGGTGCACCAGGCTCATTCCACTGTAATTAGGTTTCATTGTTGAGACTATTTAGAGAACTGAGGAGATGGGCTTTCGAGATGTGATGCAGTTTATATGATTAGCAGCCACTAGCTTCATCTAACAGAACATGACAACATCTTGTTCAAAAAGGGGTTGCAGTATTAAAACCATAAATCGCTGGCAACAATGTGAATATTTGTTCACTGTGGGTTTTTTTCAGCAGCTGCTTTATCAGTTTTGTTTCAAGGCAGCTTGTATTTGCATTAGCTGATGGGTGGAGCAGTGTGCCATTTGTTGCCTTTACCACTGTGTGTCAGAGTGGACTGCACTAACAACCCTGACCATACAGCTTACCATCAAGCAGCAGTGTATCAGTTGCACTGGCAAGCTGCTAAGACCAGATACTTTGGAGAAACGGGGATTGTGTGAGTTTCAGTTCTTGTTAGCTGCTGTGTGAACTTTTGAATGTTGACGTCTAAGCAATAGCAAGCCGGGAGATTGGTATTGGTGATTGCTGGTCATTTTATGTTTGAAGGCGAACAAATTTCATCATATACATCCCTAATTTCTATGTTTATGTTTTGTATGAGGGTGATGTCATTTTGAAAATGTGTAAAGTGGATTCCATTTTATGGAGATTGTTGAAGCCACTGTAGGTTTAGAGCGCATAACAAAAACATACGTTTATAAATTCACTCTCATTTTGGAATTAAACTTGTGAAACCCTTACGTTTCATGGAAAACAGTTGGAAACTTGTACTGTATTATGTCGATTGTATTTATTTTAATCGTTCTTAATCTTTTTCTTCTAGCAATGCCTGAACATGCAAATGGAGGATACACTGGAGACCACAACATACCCTCTTCCAAACAGCCCAAAAGTACAGAATCCAAACTACTCTTTTTACCCCACGACCGATCTCACAGACGGGGAAACAAACAATGTAAATGTCAGTCCTGCAGAGTTTGTGAATACCTTTGATGGCTCTGTTCCCAGTATGGCCCCACCAGACAATCTCAGCCAGATCAAAGTGAAAGCTCCTCAGTTAAATACTAACTTTAGTGCAGAAAGTTATTGTGACGTATTTTACCCCAATGCCATTCTGGAAGAGAGCAGTGGTCAACATGGCCTTGAAGTAAATGAAAGTAACACCATGTCTGATATCCCAAACAAGCCTCCCTTCATACCAGTGGACCTTTTTAGCCTCTCACCTGAAGATGAATTTGAAAGAGGCAAACAAAATCTGACGGCAGAATTGCCTGACTCAGATTCAGGAATCTCTTCAAACACAAGTCCAAATGCTAGCTCACCTGGGAAGTCTGTATATGGAGAGGGGTCCTTTCTTTATAGCGATTCAGACATGGAGGAGATGGACCAAAACCCTGGAAGTGCAGAATCTGACTACTCAGAGATGTTCTCACTCAATTTCCAACCGGATGATCTTACACCATCTGCTTTATCTGTAGTAATAGGGCAGCCACAGCAGCAGCAGGAAAAGAAACCCAAACAACACAAGACAAACCCTGCAGAAGAGATTGGCCACAACAGTGCTCCCTTCACCAAAGACAAGCGTAAGAAGCGCTCTGAAATGCGTCTCTCCAGAGACGAGCAGAGGGCCAAGACCCTCAACATTCCTTTCACTGTATCTATGATTATCAATCTGCCTGTTGATGATTTCAATGAGATGATGTCAAAGCACCCACTGAACGAGGCCCAGCTGGCCCTGGTCCGAGACATACGCCGTCGGGGCAAGAACAAGGTAGCTGCCCAGAACTGCCGCAAACGCAAGATGGAGAACATAGTGGGCCTGGAGAGCGAACTGGACTCACTGAAGGATGAGAAGGAGCGTCTGCTGAGCGAGAAGAGCCAGAACATCACAAACATGAAGGAAATGAAGCAGCAGCTCAACAGCTTGTACCTGGAGGTCTTCAGCATGTTGAGAGATGAGAAGGGGAATACCTACTCCCCATCAGACTACTCCCTCCAGCAGTCAACAGACGGCAGCATCTTCCTCGTTCCCCGCGTTAAAAAGACTTTCAAGAGCGAAGACAAACACTTATCTTCTTTGTAATATGGTACTGCATTATCATAGTAATACTATGCAATAACTTTCTAGACGCTTTAAAGCATTAGTAGCTCAGCAGGACTATTGTATAGTTTTTGCTCACTTCTCTTGAATGTTGTAATATTTTTGATATTTTACTTCTTTTGTACTCCGATACCCACAGATTCTTTAACCAATGTTATTTGTAAATATATACATTACTTGCTTTTGAGATTGACAGAACTGTTACTGTATGTGTGTGTATATATTGTATAGATATATCTGTATGCTAATGATTGTTTCAATCATTGTTACTTATATTTTATATAACTGTCCCTTTATGATTTGCTGCCCAGGTTTTTTTAAAATCTTGACTTCTGTGCTTTTCAATAAACTATTCATACAGCTATATAGCCGCCTGTTTTCTGAAAACAGAACATTGTGTGGTGTATAACGGCCCCAGCCTGCAAAAGATTGATGCCAGATGGATATATAATTTAAGGAATGATTACATAACTTACCACATGTTCAAGTCAGTTCTCGACTTGAAGGCTCTACCAAAAAAAATAAGAACGGAATATTTTACTGAAACAAGTATTATTGGCTTACACAACTTTCAGAATCTGCTTTTTATTAGAGCAAGCATGTTTATACAGTAACCTAAATCTTTTAATACTGTGAAACTCCTGTCGCAAAATAAATTACATCCACGGCATTCATTGTTACCCAACAAAGAATACAATTGTTGAGCTACAGTGGAGTATGCTCAGTCTGAACCATGCATGTCAACTTCACAATGGTCCACCGGGCCAGCATATTCAAAGGTATAGCCCTATGCAATCAGTGTGTGCTCTACGTGCACTTTCACACACAAACACTACCTTTGATCACAAGCCCATTTTCTGCTCAAAGTTCGGAGGGGGTGTGGCAAACTAACCTGGGGAGCAGGGTAACAGACTCAAGAATGTCTGTGAATCACGTAAATCAAGCAATCAAACACAGTTGCACAATATAGGCAAACATGTATGACTCAGAATATTGCTTTCAGAAAAAAAGCCACTCAAGTCAGGAAAAATGTTTTTATTTAAGATCACAGGGTAGTGTAAGTAAGTAAGCATAATTAAAAAGTTAAATTTGAAATGCATGTTTAAACCTGCCATGTTAAATAACATACTATACAATTGCTACATCCTCAGTACAGTAATTACAAGCAGTCTGTAAGGTGCATGTCTGCACCTTACAGAATTTCCTATGACATCTCAACTTATCTGGAACTGTCAGGTCGTAATGAAAAATGTTTGGCCTTTGAAGCAAGTCATCTTCCACAGCATGCCAAATATTAGTATTTTAAATACTCTGAATATTGTCAAACCGTAGGATGGTGTCAACATGGGTTTCCTCTCCGTTGACAGTATGTCTTCCATATGTTAATTTGACTGCCTGTCATGTAATTAAGAAATCATTTACCTTTTTTTGGCATATGTTCCTGAGATTTATGCAGAGGATTCGACCTCCTCAGAACTTGTAGAGGTTTCATGTTGCTTTAAAACTGGCCTTATTAAAGAATATAAATAAATAAGTATAAATTAAACAGTTTTCTATATAATCGCCTTTTCTAAAAAAGTCCTTTTCTATAATGTTTACATTGTTCTGCTTATTTACAAATGTTGTGAGGAGGATTAACAAGTACGATTTCCATACATCTAACACTGCATGATAGTCATGATAGTTTGGCACGATTATATACACACACACTCAGTGGCCACGTTATTGGGTACACATGTACAATTTAATGCAATCAATACAACTGCTGTAAAGTCTACTTTTATGATGCCTAGTTTGGTTGATTAAACTACATGTTTTAGAACTGAGGTCATAGTGGTGGTGTTGTACTGGACTGCATTATATTAAGAGGTGTTTCTAATATTCTGTCCCCCTCATGTATATAAATCGGGAGGACAAAATATTTGAAACACCTCTTAATGAATGTAGTCAAGTACAACACCACCTTTAACTGTGGCCTCAGTAATAAACAGTTTGCATAGGTCAACAAAAACAGATTCAAATCTTTGTAAAGGCAAAATATATGGCAGAGCTGTTGTATTGAATTGTGATAGATTGTACAGGTGTACCTAATAAAGTGGCCACTGAGTATAAATTGTGGTTCTTTTCGTAGGAGCTGGATAATGTATTGTTTACCCAAGTGTTTCGACACTATCTGCTTTACCAGAACTATCTGACTGATAGTAAAAGATAATAAACATGGACACATATTTTGCCTTCCAGGGATACCAAGCAGTGTGGTGAAGGTCAAGGGCTGATTCCAGTCAAGTGGAGCAATACCTGATGTCATCCTGCTTGGTTTACCTTAAAAGAACCCTTGCACATTGTATTATCACCATGTGCACTGTTAGATTACAATATGAGCAGCCTTGGATAATATTTTGAAAAAGTCTTACCCATCCAGAACCTTCCATGTTATCAGGTCTTTACAGATTTTCAGCAAGAAGAGAATTCCTCTTTCCACATCTGCAAATCAAGCAAAGTGGTTACTCTTACCTGCTCCATCTTCTTAAGTCAGCTTTTGTGAAATACTCACTCCCTTTTCTTGTTAATGTCTGAAATCTAGCATTTGCGGGTAAAACTGTGGTATCTGACTCAACAGGATCTCCAATGTGTCCAGGAACTAGTCTTTCTTCGCTAGCACCAGCTGCTGGAGGGTTTAGCTAGCCTTGAAAGGGAGATAGATGCTCACTACCAGGAACGACACTGCAAGTTTCCTCCACGGGCGTTGTGCTCGATGCTGCCTTCTCCTTTCTCTCTCAAAATGCTGCCTGGTCCACTGTGCTGGGGCTGAAGACGTCCTGTCTGACAGTCATCTGCAATCTTCCACACTAGCGATGCTGAGGGACCAACTGCAGGTGCTCGTGGCTGTTATAATCCTATTTGCTCAACACTGGCATATGTGGTGTATGGGCCCCTGCCCTAGGACTACCCAAAACTCTCTTGTCATGGACCTTAGCACAAGTAAACACAGTATGTATATTTACACACACACACACACACTATTTTCCCCCACAGAGGACTTAATACTCCCAAATGAGGAAAAAGTTCTGGACAGGCTGATTTGCTAAACTTCAGTCACAATAAGCAGGCAACATATAAAATTAATTACTTGTTTAATCTCTTTCTGAACCAATGACGCACTGAACTTCATGTTACTTTACTACACAATTTTATTCGGTCTTTTTTTTACTAATCAAAATATTCAAACAATCTAGAATGCGGTTTTTTGGGAACAAGATGAGTGAGGGATTCCCTTAATTCTAATCCAGACTGCTTATAATTTGTTGACACTGGTACTACGAAGGATTTACATACTGTGCTTCACATACAAAATCAAAATACACTTGACACTTGCAATTCAGCAATCATAATAACTTCAGAAAGAAAAATAGAGTAATTCTAGCTCATCTGAGGGCCTGATAAAACTATGCTATTTGACAAAAACCAGGTGTAAAGACAAAGAATTAATTAACCAGCAGAAAACTAACTCATATAAAAAAAGGAAAATAAAGATATTAAGATCTGGCTTCAGATAAAAAAAAACAATTTACTATTTACCCCTGATACCATAGGCACAATACACACACTTCAGACGCATAAAAAGGAAAAGTTGCTTAGGGAAACATCTATCACAATTAGGGAAGGGTATCATCTGCACTCATGTCTTGTATATACAGTCCTTCTTCCATAAACTTCTCCGATTTAGCTGCAGTAATGTCTGCCTTGTGTGTTCCTCTAATGCTTTCAGATGACTGCCTCAAAGTAACCTGCAGCTTTCCTGACATTTCCTTTGCTCATCTCCTCGCCTCTCCTGCTAAGAACTGAAGCCTGTTGAATGGATACAGGATAGAACAAATAGTTATTCTGCACTTTCATGGGCTCACTCTGTACTGTGCTACGAGGGTGGTGTGAAACTGAATGCAACTTACCAAAACATGAAATAATTAATATCGCCGTGAGCCATAGCCACCTCCGCCGCCGCCCCCGCCAGAGCTGTAGCCACCTGCAGGTTAAGAATCGGGCACCACAAAATGTTTTACTCTTCAGAAGAAATGATCATGTTATGTCACTCGATGTGTGCTTTTTAAATCTGATCATGACGTGTGGAGTTGGAGGGTAACACTCACCACCATAGGGTCCGCCCGAGTTTCTGCCACCAAAGTTATTTCCCTTCATGGGCCCATAACTGGACTGCTGTCCACCATAATTTCCAAAGTCGTTGTAATTTCCACCCCCTCCATATCCTGAAGATGTAAGTGTCAATTTTATGTCTTGATTTCAGGTGTCTAGTAGTGCAACCTTTCTATGAATTACATTTAGCACTTTAGTTTAACAGCAAAATTCTGTACTAAATAAATATTTTACCGCCGTCATTACCCCCGTAACCTCCATCACAGCTGCCACCAAATCCACCACCCTGGTTGCCATACCCTGGACCACCACCTCCATAGCCCCCCCTGCCTCCTCCATAACCTGGTCCTCCACCATAATTTCCTCCTGGACCTATTAATAGTGAAACACAAAGCAAACTTACAACATAACCTTATTTATAACAGTGACATGAGCGGTATTAACAACACACTGTTGTAAAGCACTTCCTAGAGACATGATACAACAGCTCACCATTGTCAAAATCATCCCCATAACCACCTCGTCCTCCTCCATAGCCACCTGGAAAACAAAGTTAAAATATATTATGCATTAAAACTGTTGCCAATGTCTTTATTCTTGCAACCTTGTCATAGACCACGTCCACACAAATGTCAATTCAGCTGAGAAAAACAATCTCTCTCTGCTCTGGCCTGTGTGGGTCAACATTTCACAAACATGACAACGTGTTTGTCTGCATGGCAGCAATTTTAAAACGAAACGTTTCTGTAGCCATGTATTTTGCATGTTAGTGCGGCTCATCACCTACAGTACATTCCATCTCTGGGATAGATATCTGTTTGTCTGACAACAGATTCCCTTTATTGTGAGTTCAACAGAGTTAAAACACAAAGTAAGTGCTCGTAATTGGAGGCAACAGAGCGGAGAGCTTCACACAGCGTTTACCAAGCTGCGTAACTGGTTTCATCAAATGATTACGGCCATACATCATTTAGTTGTTTGTCTCACTGACATAAATAGCAAGACATACAACCATTTCACTTTTCTGTGTGGCTGCAAAACTTTGATCTGGAAACCCCGTGACATGTTAACATAACTATCAAATGTACCTGCATTATTGTGGTTCAGGTCAGAGCCACTTTCATGTGGTATGCAAAAAATTCTCACCTCGGCCGAAGTTGCCACCACCTCCATAATTACTACCTCTCCCCATGAAGTTTCCAGATCCTCCGCTCCTGCCTTATATGGAGAAAGATTTTAGAGATATTTATAACATCAGTGAACTGTCAGCTACATACAATATATACAATCATGATCAGCGAGTATAACTTTATTCTACATGTGATGGTGTGTTTACCTCTGTTAGTGGATATAGCACTCATTTCCTGTTTTGAGAGAGCTTTCCTGACCTCACAATTGTGGAAGTTGATTGTGTGGAATTTTTGGGCTGTAGGGGAAAACAACACACTTTCATACCACTGGTTGATGTTTACTAACAGCCTTGTTAACTCTAAAGTCTAAACCACCACATACCGACAATTTTGTCTACAGTGTCGTGGTCGTCAAAGGACACAAAGCAGAATCCTCTCTTCTTCCCAGTGGAGCGTTCCTCCATGATGTCAATGCACTCGATCTTTCCATACTTCTCAAAATGCTCCCGAATGTGGTACTCCTCAGTGTCCTCCTTAATTCCGCCAACAAAGATCTTCTTCACTGTCAGATGGGCACCTGGTTTATTGGAGTCCTGAAATGGAGTTTTATCAATGAGTACAGACCTAACAATAACACTGCTGCATGATCTGCCTTCTGGTCTGGGATTTGTTTACCTCTCTGGACACGGCTCTCTTGGGTTCAACAACTCTGCCATCTACTTTATGAGGCCTTGCTTTCATAGCCTCATCAACTTCCCCTACAGAGGAGTATGTTACAAAGCCAAACCCTCTTGATCTCTTGCTGTTGGGGTCCCTCATCACCTAGAAACAACATGTTACACAATGGTAGGTGAGCACAGTTTAACTGGACAGATAAGTTACTGTTGTTTATCTGTGGTCCATTTTGTCACAGATTATGATAAAAAAATATGTACCACACAGTCGGTGAGACTTCCCCATTGTTCAAAATGGGCCCGTAAACTCTCCTCCGTGGTTTCAAAGCTCAGACCTCCAATAAACAGCTTTCTGAGCTGCTCTGGTTCTTTAGCTTCATGGTCCTGTAAAAGCATAACAAAAATATAAAAGTATATTTAATTTCAGCTGTATATAATGTTATAGGAAACTAGTTGTAGCTTAATACAGCATGGTAACGTTATAGCCGGTGCTCCTGTAAAAACACTAACATCGTAACTTACTGACAGTGTTTGCACCAGGCCGTAATGTTAACGTACCTGTAATACTAAGCAATCAATAAACTACATTATAGTGTTAATTAACCCTGTGCACCGACAAAACGTATCTTGACTAAATTATATACGTTGCCTCGCAGCAGAAAAAGAGGCCCGCAATCCATAGTGCATGTTATCACAGGCTGAGTTACCCTGCTAGGTTTGACAGCTAGCGTTAGCTTAGCTGCTTCAGGAATGCCGCAGGTTGACCACTGCGTTATTACCAAAAGCCTCAATAGATTTCGGTTATAACGAGTGATGTGTGTTAAGGAAACCAAACACCATTACCCATTCAATAGTCAACCGAACCAGTAATCCAGCACGGAGCTCTCCGGTGACCACATAGTTAGCTAGCTGTCGTTTTGACAACCTTTAGCTTAGCTGCAGCTTTAGCTCCCGTTTACAGCGCTGAAACTTGAGCTACGCTAAAGCTACAGAAAAGCTACACCCTATGACACAGCACGGTGCATTCCCTCGCCAATGTTACATAGATGCCAAAGGGCAACCGTGGTTTTACTATATTTTACAAAAAAACCCGCATCTAATTTGCAACATTTGCGAGCATCTCACCTCCATTTTGCAGATGTCCGCGGGAGCAGATCTGAGCAGATCACGTGACGAGGACATCGGTGTGGTTGGTTGTGTCCTGCTGATTGTCGGCCCAACCTGGATGATACAACTAAAACTGTAACGCACGATATAGGTGGTTCATGTAAAACAAAACAAAAGCATATGTACATAAAGGACTGTGTTAAGGTATGTTATATATTTTGCAGGCTAACCCTTTTTGCTGTCTGGCTTCATGCAATGAAAAAAGATGATATTATGCGACATCTACTGGTTAAAGGTGGATACGGCATTGGATTTTAACCATGAATTCAACGCAGAAAGAAGTAGAAAATACATTTCCAAGTAGAAAATATGCCATATAAGGTTCGGAAAATACAAACACTGTGGGTCACTACAGACCTGAAGTGCCGTACAATATGGTGAAACTCAACATTTAATTATTGAGACATGAGATTGGGTGTGGATCTATGGTGTGGATTCAACTTGACATTTCTGAACGCAACAGATCAATAAGTAAAGTGGCGACTGTTCTTGTTCAGTGTTGGTAGTTTAACTGGACGTTTCTAGTGAATAGGGATAACAAAAGCCTAATTTAATCTGAATGATCTTTGTAGTGTAAAACCCAAATAAGAATATAAACGTGGGCTACAGAGGCTATTAGTAGAATAGGCTATATGTTAAGAAACGCGAAACGCGAAGAGGCATAGCCTATCTAGGTTAAAGTAAAGAAAAAACCCACAACAAAAAATTTGGTGTGGGTAATGCTTAAAACAGTTTTTGGATGCATCAATTAGTAGGATATATGACATGTAAAACCATCATGTCTTAGGCTTAGTCTGAGTAAGACTGCTGCCCTTTCTACATGGCCCAAGAGCACATTTTAGCCTACTATTGGCCCCCCTACTACCCTCACCTAGCACCCTCTGCATGAAAGATAAGATAAGATATAGCTACTTGATTGTCCCTGAAAATAAATTTGTTTTGGACTCTCTGTCCCTTCTGCAGCTAAACAAAACAACACAAAAATAACAATAGATAGAGAGATATTGCACAACCCAAATAGCCTACCTTTTGCACAAATTACATATTGCACAACCTGAATAGCCTACACATTGCACAATGGCAGATTGCACAGCCCTTTTGGCCAACATCTAGCCTACATTACATGTTGATAAGCTTAATAGATATAGGTAAAAAGTAAGCTCGAAAATCTCCCTTGTCCCCACCAACCGTGACATGAAACATCTGCCCCTGTTGGGGAGACAAATACAGGTGTTTTAAATATTGAGGCAGGCGTGTCCCTGGGCCACCCCCTAAAATCTACGCCTATGGCACAATGTGTAGCCTAATCCAGCGCCTGATAGTTTCCATTAAGTTTAGTACAACCAGTGTTTGTGTGCTTAAATAATACTTTGTTTGGGATAATTTGATTTAATCAAATTTGTAGGAATATGCATGCATGTAAACACAATAGAAACAAAAACAATAAAGCCCTTCAAATTATATTTTGATGCAGAGCCCCTCAATAAGTGCCTAAATGCCAATGCCTAAAAAATTTGCTAATAAAGAAGGACTTGCCTTAGTTGATACCAAACTTTATGGTGCAAATTCACTCACAAATATGCCATTAATCAAATGACCAAAACCAATCTGGGTGTCACAGGTATGCAGCATCTCCACAGCGGCAGCAGCATGCACTATATTTTTAGCTGATCACAAAACATCACAATTACAAAGAGAGTAAATTTCAATAATCACAACACTGGGAGTGTTCTGTTTCCACTCAAAACAAAGCAATTATTATTCGTATTTATGGGTGTTCAAAGAAAGGCTGCTTACAGAAAAAGGACTAGAAATATGACTACTATACATATTAATCTGTAATTGTGGAAACCTGACATACATCTGTGTCAGATCTGTGTGAGTTCAACTTAGATCTCTCTGACAAGGATTCTTGATTGGGCAAGTATGATCTATGAGCCAGATGCTACTGAGCCTTGTTGAAACTGACCAGCATCTCCAAATATATTACTGTTTTATGGTTTAGACAATGTCTGTCATTAACTTTATTGTAGTGAGTGTGGGGAAAATACGGCCCCAATAAAAAGGGTAATGTTTTTCTGACACTATTAATGATGAGTATTTATGATCAACCCATAGTTCAAATTCAAGAGACAGTCTGTGTTTGGCTCCTTTTTATTCTACTGCAGATACTGTATTTGCTTTGTTCCTCAGTGTTTTAAAATATGTACAAACAAATAAAATCAAAATTGTAGCTAAATTCATTTTTTTCCTTAGTTAAACTTGTTCTATTAAGTGTGAAGAACTGGTAACATTATTTCTACTTCAGAGCATATACAGTAGGTCTTATTTAAGGAATATTATTGAAAGCAGTAATTCCAATATCCGTTATTGTTTTATTTATTTACATTTAATGTGCTGCCATGTGTGAACATGTGAAACCCACTGCCTACAGTAAATGGCTGTAGTATATTATCTTAGTATTTGCAGTGGATGTCTGTTTAGAAAGCCCAGTATAGCATCTGAAGTCTGTGTGAGCCACTGTCATTTAACAGACTGCACTTTAGATGAAAACGCTCTCATACGCTTGTAGCACTGCAAACAACTTATGGATTTTGGCTGATGGCATTCATTAGGGTCAGAAAAACATCAGAGTTCAGTATGTATGTAACTTGCCAGTAGGTGAAAATGTAAGTACCTTATTTTATGTTGGCTGTTTTCATCCGAGATTTGTAAGGAGGAGCTGAGCTGAGTGTAGTGAGAGTAAACAGTACAGTATCATCCTCTCACAGATGTAGTCTGATGGATGCTCTCTGTGTACACCTCTCCGCCCCAACCCCAGGACAACATGTTTGTTTGGTTGTTGATCACACCCCTCAGTCTTTGTTCCTAACTGCCCCCTGACACAAAGATATATCACAGGTCCCACACATTGCTACCTGGCAGGGACATTTCTATTCCGTGTGCTTGTGGTGGCTGCTTTGTCCTTTGGAATGGCATCTTAAGACGTTAACACATTTTTATTTCTAAAATATCAGCTTCTGTTTTATCACTGTAGTTTGTGGTATGTATCACTGCTATGTATGCCAGTAGGCCTTCAACTATAGGTCCAGTGCTAAAGAACTCAGATTTAAATGCAATTAGCACTTCATTTACATCAAATGGGGTAAAAAATTTATAAAAGTAACGGTTAATGATGCCCATAAATCGGACTTGTTGGTAATTTTTTCTGTGACAAATGAGTGATATAACGGCCCCCTGAAATAGAGGGGGATGACATCCTGGTGTGGACTAAAAAGGCAGCACTTAGAACCACGATTAAATAATTAATACAGGTTTTATACCCATTTTACACCTCCAAATTATGGTTTGCCATATATCTGAGACGCAGCGGCCGAAGAGTACCATGTCAGCAAAAATTTCATGTACAGTAAATCTTTGTGAGGGAGGAGCCAATGGCTGCAAATCATCTGTTAGGTGAGGGATGACATGAATAAAACCTTTCCCGCTTTTTATTCTTAACAGAGGGTGAAAATACAGAGTACAGAAACACACACACACACACACACACACACACACACACGCACTTTTCAAATTGTATAGTCATTTGACCTTTGTATCACTTCATAGCAATAGAATTGCTGCTCTGATTTTGTTCATCAGCGCCAAGTACAGGTATAGAGGAAGTGATCCAACAGTAGGTGGCACCATATCATAATGCTCCACACAACCAGTGTCAAGGCTCATGCACAAAATAACCGCTAAGCCTGCAGGGTTTTCTTTCCACTAAATCCACTTATTCCACCCTAAGTTACATTAAAAAAAATACCATTTCCTGGGTACAATGAACTCACATATGCCCAAACACAAGCCTTGCAATTTGCACAAAGCAAATAATACCTACACTAGTAATATAACCTCTCAAATAATGCCCATATTGTGTCTGATTCTCCTTTTGTTTTCAGCGTCCTCTAGATGGCACCATGGTCCATGAAAAGATGAGCCTTTCCTTTTCAAATTATATCACCATGTAAATGTCAAACAATGTTTCTCAGTACTAAATTATTATTTTTCCCTTGTGTCACATGTTTGGCTACTTGATTATCTGCAATCATTTCCAAACCTTAATTATATTTGTTTCTATTTGTTTCCGTAATTAATGTAATTATGGGGGGCACATTTTTATTATTAGCCTATTAGCTGACACATAGCAAAAGTATACTTTATTAAGGGGGCCGTTGCAAAATGATTTATTTACAGCATTACTTTCTAGCTAATATTTGCTAGAGATAATAATGCATTTTGCAACTGGTTTTATTTCCTCTTTTAGCTACACAAGTCACATGTGTTTACCTTGTCTTACCATTTGTCACTGAAATATTTTAATGAACTTAATGTCCTTCACAAACGCTAAGCCTCACTGTCTGTGGTGCCTGGGACTTTAAGGTTGACCTTGTCCTGAGAAAACTTGGACTTGGCTCCATTACTCCATTAGGGAAGCCTTCCTGCCATAACCTGGGTTTGGGCAGACGGACGTACGCAAGTGGAAATTCTGAGGAAATGGAGATTCAGAGCAGGGAAACCAGGGAGTCAATTTAGTCACTGTCTACTACCTTTTCGCATGCAAGTACAAAGCCAATCTCACATGTTGGTGTTGACTAGAATCTCTCTCTGAGGAATTTAGGGAAAGAACAATTCCTAGCATCTGTTTCCTGTTCACTTGCATAGAGGAAATTCGGTGTAAATCACACCAAATATAAATAGAAACAGCATTCAGTTTACAGAAGCTATAGTTGGTTACAGTGGCCTTGCATTCTGGTTCTCTCAGGTCACTAAAATCTTTCTGTATCTGCAGTAAGAGTAGCAATCGAACATATCACTGCATTAGATGCATCACAAGCCATGCCAAAAACATAACAAAGCTAGAATTATATGTTCTACTTGTTAACGTTGCAGAAAATGTAATAGTACAAAAATAACACTAATTTTATAGGGGCAAATCTGTATAGAATCTGCTTACACAGTAGCACAATTATTAAAACAAGGGTTTAGAGTCCAAGATTAAAGTTATGTGGCCCTGCAAAAAAATCTAGCAGGTAAATTAAAAATGTATTCTCACTCTATGGTATG